CAGTGTTTAAAAAAAACAATTAATACCACATTTGGCAGCAATGAAAAATGCTTAGATAAATAAAACGCACTTGGATTTGAACTCATTATAGACAGAAAATGTATTACAAAACAGCAAAATGCAAAAATTGCTGTTAAAAAAATACCGCATAAAGGTTTTAGTTAAAATGAAACATATTATGTGTTTAATGGATTTTGGTCGTGTCGATATTTATTTTAGCTAGAAAATGTAATATACTTCCCCTGCTCGATTTTAAAAATAAATCGTAGCGATTTTGTGTGCCTATAGTTGTTATTTGTTTTGTACACATTTTCTACTATGAAATGTAATATCAAAATAATTTAAGTCCTAAAATGTGTTTTTAAAAAAAAAACATTCAATCTTTTTTTGAGTTTGACTTTGGAAATAATAAAAAAACGTATATTTAATAATTAAAATTACTATGAAACCATAATAAACGAAATTAGATTTCATAGATTATGAATGTTGAAGTAATTTCTAGATTTTATTCGGAATAGTATAAGCATAAGCAATGAGCAAAAAAGCAAAATCTAGCAAAGGTTAAACTTTAAATTGGCACAGACAAAAACTAGCTGAGTCTGAAGCGGGTATAGTTTAAAATGAAAACTTTCTAGAACTTAAACAGAAAAAGCCAGTACAGAGGGAATGGGGAAGGTCTCAAGTCTAAAAAAATGATTATAGCTGAAAGTGATAAAATCACTTTTAAATAAACGCTTCGAAGCTTTTTTGAGGATAGTAAGAACCCGGCACCACAATTTTAAGCGTGCAGTGTTTAAAAAAAACAATTAATACCACATTTGGCAGCAATGAAAAATGCTTAGATAAATAAAACGCACTTGGATTTGAACTCATTATAGACAGAAAATGTATTACAAAACAGCAAAATGCAAAAATTGCTGTTAAAAAAATACCGCATAAAGGTTTTAGTTAAAATGAAACATATTATGTGTTTAATGGATTTTGGTCGTGTCGATATTTATTTTAGCTAGAAAATGTAATATACTTCCCCTGCTCGATTTTAAAAATAAATCGTAGCGATTTTGTGTGCCTATAGTTGTTATTTGTTTTGTACACATTTTCTACTTTGAAATGTAATATCAAAATAATTTAAGTCCTAAAATGTGTTTTTAAAAAAAAAACATTCAATCTTTTTTTGAGTTTGACTTTGGAAATAATAAAAAAACGTATATTTAATAACTAAAATTACTATGAAACCATAATAAACGAAATTAGATTTTATAGATTATTATATCAAACGATAAAATAACTTCTTAGGACTCGAACAAAACAGTCACTCAGAGAATATTGAATAGTTTTAGACAACAAATTGTGCAAATTAACGAAAAATGCCTAAAATTGATATTAAATCGCGTTGAGCGACCAGTTAAACTTTACCAAATGACCCCAAATTTTGATAAACTTATTTATAAAGATTAAATTTTAGTGGTGGGCTAAAAAAAAACCACTTTTTTTTGCGCCACCCTAAGGAGAGGGTATAAACATAAAAATTCATGGAAAATTGAGATCACATTAAACGAAATCACTATGGAAAAAAAAAATTAAATTATCAATTAATCCCAGTGAGTGGCCCATGATAAAAAAAAATAACCCTGTATGTATTTTAAAATATTTGTTGACTGATGATTCACACACATAAAACAACCTAGATATTGACTATAGCCAAGGTGTAATCTTCCCCATTTGTTTGGTTTTTACTTAATAAAAATAAAGTTTGACTACAGATTTTTTAGAAAATAGTATGTGTTTTAGGGATATTTCAAACCTAACTTTTGTCTAATATCCAGACCTAAATCACTAAAACTCCACATGAGAAAGCGAAATAATAAAAATATGTCAACCCCTACTAGGGAAAGGATTTAAGATATTTTTTTTTGTTTTGTCGGCGTTCATCGGTAGTTCTATGTTTTAAGAATATTCCATAGAAATTTGGAGCTAATATAACTATTTTTAAAGAAGTTATAGAGCGCCGTAATTTTAAGTTTAAAAAATGTGTCATTTTTTTCTTGGTTTTAAAGGGAAAGGGGTGGAATTTCAAATTTTTAACTCAAAAAAGTACCTTGTAAGTACGATTTTTGATCGATAGCCTTGATATATGAAGAAATCGGTTAAATACAAAAAACCGAAAAAAAATGTTAGTTAAAATAAAATGAATTAATCAGTTTATCGATCCTTAAAGCCGTTACTATGTGTACCTTATTTGTGTAATCAATACTTAGTTGTTCCATTACACTATACTACCATTATGTGTTACTTCTTAAACGTTTTTCAATTCACCTAATTATTCACAATTATTGTTTACCCCCATTGAGTAATATATTTCAACTTTTCATTCAAGACTCTTATTTGTAGAATAATATGAACAAATCCTTAGAAAAATTCCAAAAATGTCCAAAATTATGGTACATTTGTTATTAGTACTAACTTTTTTTTTTAAATAGAACTTTATTTTTAATTATAGCGTGTCCCACAAATATTTGACAAATGAAATAACTTTTGTTTTAGTGAATATTTTTAAGATATTTACAATTTCAATAGCTGAGGTTCTTTTTTTATAAATATAAACTATTTATTATATTGAGTGGCTCATAAATTTAATAACTTTAACCTAAAGTAATTAAAAATCACTTTAAATCCAAAATCTACGTCTAAAAAATATGGTCTGCTGTTGAAAAGTATTTTTTTTTTAATTTTAGTAAATTGTGTATGATTATTTCATTTTCAGCTAAAATAAATAGGCATTGTTTAGACTTGCTACATGAAGAATTCAATTCGGCAGTTAAAAAGTCATTGTGGGCAAAGGCATAAATACTTTAAAAACACGTATTATCATAGTTTAGCTTTCAAACATTGAATGTACCGAGAAAAGTTATAATATCTGTTAATAACTATTAATTAGTAAAATGCTTTCTCATATTTTCAGTCAAGAAAACCATTACATAAATCAAACGGGTGTGGCGAACCGTTAGATTTTATTTAAATGTTGAAGTAATTTCTAGATTTTATTCGGAATAGTATAAGCATAAGCAATGAACAAAAAAGCAAAATCTAGCAAAGGTTAAACTTTAAATTGGCACAGACAAAAACTAGCTGAGTCTGAAGCGGGTATAGTTTAAAATGAAAACTTTCTAGAACTTATACAGCAAAAGCCAGTACAGTGGGAATGGGGAAGGTCTCAAGTCTATAAAAATGATTATAGCTGAAAGTGATAAAATCACTTTTAAATAAACGCTTCGGTGCTTTTTTGAGGATAAGAACCCGGCACCACAATTTTAAGCGTGCGGTGTTTAAAAAAAAACAATTAATACCACATTTGGCAGCAATGAAAAATGCTTAGATAAATAAAACGCACTTGGATTTGAACTCATTATAGACAGAAAAAATACCGCATAAAGGTTTTAGTTAAAATGAAACACATAATATGTTTAATAGATTTTGGTCGTGTCGATATTTATTTTAGCTAGAAAATGTAATATACTTCCCCTGCTCGATTTTAAAAATAAATCGTAGCGATTTTGTGTGCCTATAGCTGTTATTTGTTTTGTACACATTTTCTACTTTGAAATGTAATATCAAAATAATTTAAGTCCTAAAATGTGTTTTTAAAAAAAAAATATTCAATCTTTTTTTGAGTTTGACTTTGGAAATAATAAAAAAACGTATATTTAATAATTAAAATTACTATGAAACCATAATAAACGAAATTAGATTTCATAGATTATTATATCAAACGATAAAATAACTTCTTAGGCATAGGCGGAGATTGGGGGGTGCTTGGGGGGCTTAGCACCCCCAAAATTATCAATAGCCCCCCCAATTATTTGATCACTCATCAAAGTAATAAATTCCTTAATTAATGGAGTAAAAACTAAAATTATTAATAAGAATAAATTATGAAAATTATTTCAGTTCCAAAACGGCAAAACATTATAACAATGTTTTTGATAATGTTATCATTTAATTTTAATTCAAGTGCTAAATAAAGTTATACATTTTTCAAAAAACGCAATAAATATTGATCAAATTCAACAAACATAATACAAATAATAACGCATGCGATAGATATGTAAAATGACAAGATTAGACAGAATAAGGAATGATTATACAGGAAGATCTAAAATCACAAGATACTAATGTGTGACAATATACAACTGGGGGTCTATTCTTGAAACCATTCGAAAATTATTCGTATACGACCGATTCGTATACGAAATGTTCGTATGCGAATGTCAAGAATACCATTTAAAGCATTGTTATATGACTATTCGTACACGAATAATTTTCTACTGCGGTCACTCAAAGCACTCGAATAACATTCTATTACGGGTCCAATTCGTATACGTTGCAACTACTGGGGTATAGGCAGTAGAATCTATGATTCGCGTACGAATAACGATTACTTATACTCATACTTATACTTATACGATTACTTTAATCCATAATAACAATAATAATAATTTAATCTATATTATTTATAGTAAATAATATGTGTACTACATAAAATATATATTTAGAGTATAAATGAAATTTACTATGCTATATTATTATTATAGATTAACATAAATGTTTAGTATCAATATGACGTGAAATACTTATATTTAATAATGACAAATTATTATCTTTAAAATGATAATAATTATAAAAATCAAACAATAGTTTCACATTATGATAATAAAAACTCAATTCATCGTTATATTACTTACATATCTAATATTATATTTATATTTGTTACATATTTATTAGTTATTAAATATGGTATCAAAACATATTTAATAGAATATATAGTCCGCGGGCATATGCAGTACGCCAAAAAATAATAATTGGATGCAACAAATGCATGGTTAGGGTTAATGGTATTTACCAATAGTTGTCAATTTGTATTGTATAGTCAACAGTGTCGACTGTGTAATGTGTTTTACTGAATTTACCGTAAATTATTTTAAAAAATGTGTCACCTCTATTGTTGACTACGTTTGTCGATATCCATTTATCGTTAAGTGATTACTGCCGGTGTCTGAACATTTCGGCAAGATTATTACTAAAGACCGAAAACCCACGAGATAAGTAAGGTCTGCCTTATCTAACTATAGGTTTTAAAAAAGCTAAGTATTGTCATTACTGCATAACTTTTTTTTAAAATGGATGATGATAATGATTTAATAATGCAATTATTTGCTATCGAAGAGTTGGAACAAAGAGAACTTGACGGAGAAGTAACTAGGCGAACTTATGAGCCTATTAATCCTTTTAAATGTAAGTACTCAGATTTAATATTTTATGTTACTATTAAAACAGTTATTATATTACTAAAATAAAATATGTCTATATATATATTTTAACAATTTGCTGTCATTACTACATACCCATAATTATTAGCTAGCAAGACTGTTTGGAGAAGAATAAAAAAATACAAATTAATTCGAAAATTTCTAATCTATAAATACTAATATTTAGTAAGTACAACTTTCTAAGTTAGTTCTTCCTACCAATAATTTTCATTATAGTAATAAAGTCTTAGATAATTATAATTTTGTATTATTATTATATATTGTAATTAATTATTAACTAAAAAATATTTTCAATACAATATAATGAACATAAATCAGAACCAACCAACCAAATAAATTATTTATTCAAATTTAAACATTACATTAGTGTACTATAGAATGTTGATAAAGTGCATTTTGTACTAAATACCACCTACTAAATATATAGACTATATTTTATGAAGTATCCATTTAACTAAATTTAATTTTACTATTTAGAGTAATCATAAATATTTAGAAATAATATAAATAGTAAACCAATTGTATATTTAAATATTTGACAAGATTTTAGACTAGATTATATAATAATTCAGGTAATATAATGTAATTCGTATACGAATGCGTAGTAGAATAGAAAGAGTAATAGAAAACGCAATTTCAAGAATACAGTTTTAAAAAACCAGTAGAAAGTCACATTTCGTATACGAAATGGTAGTAGAAAATTTTCAAGAATAGACCCCCTGATGTATTATTCTACACATTGTAAATATATATTGGAACCCAGAGATTCCTAGTCTTGATATTTAATGGCATGGCATTTTACTAAATATATGTATTGGTGTTGCAATACACATTTTCTAACTTTTTTTAATGTAAAATTTCAACAACAAAAAAGCACTTACGACGCATTCCGGTTACAGAAAAACCATATCCAGTAGTCGTATTCGCTTGTGCTAATCCAACGACGTCTGAAGACACGATTGCTTATCAAAGATTTCTATTGTTGTTTGATGATGACGCACTTGAATGATTCATTTTGCATTGTATTGAATGAGATGTTTATTTTATAAAAGTTATAACATAATTTTAGTATGCTACTCTTCCGTGTTCAGCATGTTCTAACATACTTTTCAAAAATGTTTTGGAGATTTACCCGCTCTCACCTTTCAGTAGTCACAATTCTATAATATCTATTCAATAACACAATTATAGACTGTATACTTTCCGTTTTGTTATCGATAAAGTTTTATATTACGAAATAAATACAAAGAAAACTAAACAAACCATTTAAAAAAGTTAAATTAATTGTATCCTATAATGTGTACATGCATTGTTATGGATATACTACCTACAGTCATTTTAAAGTGTCTAAAATAATATGGTAGTATGCTGGTGATTAGAAGAATAATTAATGTTTTTTTTTTTATTTATTGTTTACAAATTCAGGTTCAAAATTTTGGGGTTAAATGTTCAATTTAATGCAGGGGTTTGCGAATTACATTTATAATCTGAGAACATACATAATTACACAATGGATATCGTGACAACATCTTAGACTTAGGATCAGACTTACTGACTTAATATAAGTGAAATTATTTCAACTAGTTTTGAAATACTATAAATTAATGAAAATGAATGCCAATAGGATTGTTTGTAATTGCCAATTAGATATTAAAGCGGTTAGGTTAGGTTTTTTTTATTTTATAATATTTTGCACACCAATAAAATCAACCAACACTGCTCCGAAATTATCAGATTGAGTTCAAAATGAGGTAGTTTTTTGTTTTCATATTTTATTTTTTTAATATCATAGTTCTCATTATTAGATTATGTAACTGTAAAATTCCCCCTTTGAAATATAATATTTTAAAAAGCTCAAGCTCATAAAGGCTGAATACATAAACGATGGGCTTGTATTATTATAAAATTCAAAATAATTTACATAGAAAATATATTTTACCAATATCTCAATTACAAAAAAAAAATTAAAATATTAAAAAAATTGATTTTAAGCCAACCCAGTTCTTAGTCACTCTGTTGCACACTCTTTCTAAGCAGGAAACCGTCTAGAAAGAGTAAAATAAACTCCCAGAGGCGACCGAACTAGGCCTTAAAGCAGCTTAGCTTAAGAAAGCCAAACAAGTATAATAATTAATTGAATCTCAAAAAAAAAAAATCATAAAATATTGGCTTTGGATAGACCAAAAATATATTAATTTTATGTTTTTTTTTTTTAATTTACTTTTATACTATGAAAAAAACATTAAGGAGTGTAAGAGCGAAACTTAAAAAAAAATGTTTATTAGACCACTCTAATAAGTATGTAAAAAAAATATTACAACACAATTCAATTATAAATGGTACTTTATAATACTAATATTTTAAATATTACATAGAAGATTCACAAATACAAGCAAGATTTTTAAACAATTTGTAGAAGAAATGGAACGTAACAGTAATAAGAAATTGTTCAACGAATGATGATGTAAATTAAGTATAAACAATAAAAAAGGCAATCGGTAAATATACATCGTAATGAATAATGATATTGTATTTCATCAATTCTGAAATTTACACAATCACGTAATAACAAGAAAAAGATAGGTTATTTTCCTTTTTCTTTTACCGATACTAAAACAAATTTAAAAAAAAAATCTTAACAAATGAGAATAATATAAAAGATATATTTTACTATACTTAACAAATTAGTACATTTTTAACTTATAAAATATATATTCTCTATGAGTTTCTTTTAAAAATTCAAAACCGTACCACACTATTGTCTAAAACAGGCCGATAGTAAATTAATATAATAAACATTTTACCCTCCAAAGTAAACTAGTAAAAAAAAAAAAAAGGCCTAAACTTTCAATTTATAAGTTTTTATTTTAAAGCCAGGTTGATTTTTTTTTTTACAACAGTTATACATACCTATTAAAAAACTGTCGATTTTACCGATCAAAGTTTGTTATTATTATTATTCTTATAACTAAATAAACACTATTTACACAATGTGTGTTATATAAATTAAATGCAAATATGGCAAAATAATAGTATTAAAAATAAATATATATATATATTACGGTAAATATAAAAGTTTGCCTTTATCTGTTTTCCAATAATAAGTTTTATACAACAAAAAATAAATAGATATAAATACTATAAATGTGACAATAACATTTAAATCTAGTAAATAAATACAAACAATATTATATGTTTATATATAATGAGGTCATAAATTAATTGAATACAATTCGTCTGAGAAAAACTATGATAAACAAGAAATAGAAGGAATGCAAAAAAAAAATTAAAAATTATAAACGGAAATTGTGTAAAAATTCGTTAAAATATATTTCAATCGTATTTGAATTATTTATTTGTAGAGAGTAAATTATGTTTTAAGTGTAGTTAAGATGTTTTTTCTTTTTTTAATCAATAACAATATATGAATGTGTTGAAGCTTTTATGGATTTAATATCATACTGATGAGTTTCAGTTATATCCATGTCAATACATCGGCTTAAAACTATTGACAAGGATATATCTGAAACTCATCCGCATGATAACAATATAATTACAGTTTATACACGGACAGTTGTACTATTTTCTTTCTTTGTTACGCGTAAAATAAGGTAAGTACTTTGATGGAATTGTTATTTAAGTTTAAAATCACTCTTATCGATAGTTTAAAAAAAATATATATATATTTGTTTCTCTTAACTATTTTTTAAAATATTTACAACAATATTCGGACAACTTTTCAAAATATTTATCTTTTTAAATTACACTAGAATGAAATGTGATGACAAGTTGTACTATACTTTTAGTTAAAAAAAATTAATGTAGTCTTAAAAGGGGAAAGAAATTGAAGATGGTAAAATTGAAAGATTTATAAATATTTAAAAATAAACAATAAATTAAATGTCAAGATATAAAAACTATTTTCTTTATAGCACTAATTTTTTTTTTTTTTTTTATAAACATATTATTTAGTTTATTTTGCAATACTTATTGTTTAAACAAAGTTAATCTAAACCAATATTTTAATATAATGTTCATATCAAAAATCTATATTAATTAAAATTATGTGGAGGGTATAATTGTTCAGAATCACTCTCAATTTTAAAATTGTTAAAAATTCTCTCGATGTAATAATAATTAAAAATAATTTTTATTTAGCAAGATAGAACTAAAACAAAGATCAATAGTCCAATAAACTTTTACACGTGTCAATTAAGCTGTAGTGTTTCAGATCGCTATTCAATAAAAATATAACACGCGCTCCTGTGCTGGTACACTGAGCAATCGCCAACCACGTTTGATATTCATGTACTGAATGACGGCACGAATACAAATTAAAAAGCCGAATGCCATCACTAACCACCACAGCCACGTGTTTGTCCGGTTCTCTGGCGACGTTTCCGTCATTTCAGTGTTACGTTTTACTATCATTGTCCATTTGGCCAATGAAAGACCGAATCCAGCCAACGCTCCGTAACGAGCTGCGACAGTTTGACACAGGCACATCAGTACTAGGAAACCAACCCAGTTGAAAAGCAATGCCACTACACCAACGGACAACCAACACACGTTAATACTTAAAGTGTTCACTTTATAAATTAACTATTGAAAATGAAAAACCAATTGCAACTTTTTTTTATAGAAGTAGGATAAATTGTAAAACAATTTGATTAAAACAAGTTTAAAATCAAGCCTGAACAAAATAAAAAAATCAATTTTATGATTACCCAAAAATGCTGTCAGAAACATGTAGTCTGTACCGAGTAAATTGGTATCGATTTCACAAGGGTTTGGAGCAGTGTCAATTGTTAAAACGGTCAATGTTTGTGCTGGTATCTGAAAAAAAAAATGAATGTAATAATATAGAGTATAAATGAAGCGTAATGAAGCGTATATAGATACGCTTCATTTATAATAGTTGAAAATATATTTTTTAACTGTATTTTTACTTAAGAATGTAAAATAAAAAATGTATTAAAAAAAATACAATATGTAATTTCTATAAATTTTAGTTAATACATACTGTTTTTTTTAATTAACTTTATAAAATATTTATTAAATAAAAGTAGATATTTTTTTTAAATTTTATAAAATTAGTTATCGAAGAAAAAGTGTTGATTGCGGGCAGAGAGTGTAGTAGAAGTGGTTGGTTTTAGCTCAGATAAGATTAAACTCTTTTATCTTATCTGTGGATTTAGCTTGTTGAAGACTGTTCATTATTTTTTAAAAGACTTAAGGACCCCCAGTGTATAGTTTCATCACTGGTCTTAGGATCATTTTCAAAAAGTTAGAACAAATTTTGATTATTTTTATCAAATAATAAAAACATTGTTACTATGATTGAATTTGTCTGGTTGTGCTATTAATGTAACACTTATAAAACAATAATGAACATAAAAGCTGTACCTCTTGTGAATTTGCTCCAATAGTAGGTGGTCCCATAATTCTTCCCTAAAACACATCATTACATATAATATTATCTTATTATATATTTTAATACTAACATAAGGATCCAACTCACTGGTAATCTTGGAGACATTTCTCCTTCCAAACGTTTTTCCATTTGAACTTCTTCGTAAGTAGGCAATTTCACAAAATCTGGATTGCAGTCTTCATACGGTGGCGGAGCTGACATATCTAATCTGGGTGGCTGCATGTCATAATGCTGAAGAAAAAAATGTAATTAAAACTACTTAAGCCAGCACATTTAGTATACAACAGAAACTTACTGGCGGTGATGTCGATGGATGTATAGGTATTGGCTGAATATTATCAACATTTGAGTTCTGTACTATGTTGGACTGAGTATTAGTGTTGTTGGTTACAACATTACTATACACAGGAGGTGGAATATCCTATAATCATACATTAAATGTTTTATATTATTAATCTTAAGCAACTTAACAACATAAATCCAAAATATGTTAATGTCGGGTTAAAGTCCTTAAAACTACACCTAAATTAGACAAAAACTGAAAAAGTTTTTATTCATTCTGAAGGAAAGGATTAAAGATAATTTCTTGATCGGTAGTACCATTGATTATACATACTAGTATGTATAATCAATGGTAGTACTTTAATATGTAGAAGATCCCACACAATTTTGGAAGTAATTAAACTAATTTTCAAAAAAATTACAGCGTACTTAAACTATTTTTCTTTTTTGGCCTTAAAAAGTAACTTTAGTAACCAAATGGACAATTTAAGTTTAATTTTCCAAAAATTACTTTTATACATAACTTGCTCAAAAGTTTACTTTTAAAAAATTATATACATTTAATTTACCACATTAGAAGCTTTTAATAATTATTTGTAAGGCTTGTCTTTATGTAATCTAACGTAATCTACTCATTTTTAGAGAAAATAATTTTAATATTATAGTTTCACTTTTCAAACAAATTTTAGTTTATAATTTTTATGTCAAAACATCACCAAATATTGACTATTTTTAGTACTTTTCAGTGTTCAATAATAAGACTCTTTCAATTAAGAAGAATCCAATAAATATTTTAATTGGTTGATAACTAAGTTTCAATAACAACTTATTAACATTATTAACACTAGAGCATAGGTGAGATAGGATGAGAGGTTGAATGATGTGCACAGAAAATAATTGAGATGCACTTTTCCCCTCATCTGCACTTTTTATCGCTATTTATAGTAATTATTGAAAACTGTTTATTATTGATATCATTACAATTTTTAGAAGATTATTCATAATTTAACAAATAATTAATTCAAATTAATATATTTAAATTTCAAAAGTAAAATGAATATACTACACTTTAGTATGAACTAAAAAGAAATACAAACAATAATTAAAGTGTATGAAACTAATATTAGTTGGTTTTATAACAAATACAATATAATTATACATACATTTTTTAAATAATATAAAGAAAGTGAATGTGATGTCTAAAAAAAACAAAGTATAGGCGAGTTGTAAATAGTCAACTCTTAGTATGTAGAATACAATCTACAGATTGTACTTTAAATCTGATTGCTGATGCCATTATCAAAATTTCTCACAATATTTTTCACATAAAAAACTAATAATATATTTTTGTTAAAGCCGTAGATAATGCATTACTAAAACAACACACTAATAAGCAGTGTTTTTCTAAATGTATATACTTAATTTTTCTTTATATAATTATTTTTGAATTATAGGTATGTTTTTAAAAAAGTTTTAATTTCAAAACATTAAGTTAGTTTTGGATATTTTAGGACATTTGTAAATGATTTTTACCGTCTCCTCTATTATCACTGAAATATATTTTAACAGACGAGTGTTTTAAATGTTAAAAATATGTACATTTGGTTAAAATGTCATGGTAAACCAGTTTTATTAATAAAATTTTTAAAAAATATTTTGTCCAAATTTATTCCTCATAAAATAATGGAATAATTATATATTATTAATAATAAAAATCTTAACCTGATACAATAATATAATATTTAAAGTAGCTAATTTGTGAAGATTACACCGAAGAGGTACAAACAGATTGGTTTTGTGTGGTAAATCACAAGTTACTAAAAAAACCAGTCATACAACTTTTGAATTACTAACCATGATATGACTTTCTGGTTGCCGACTCATAGTTGTGAAGCACAATATTTTTTAATGGGATTGTAATTATTCAAAATGACATTTGCGTACAAGACACTTAAAATAGTTCACTAGAAATCGTCGGCGCCGTAAAAGAACAAATAAAATTTATAAAACTATTCCAATCTGATGTATTTTTTTACACGTTTTATCATCGATTTTTAATAATTTTCTAAATTTATCTTAAACATTTTACAACGAAACCAGCGAACACTTGTAATTTGTAATAAACATAGGCCATATTAGAGTCACTGTAATACACAAATCGTAAACATATGTTTAATCAATCCAAAAAATGCTGATAAAAGGCCGATAACGAATACAGTGCTACCAATCCAACATTAATTTACGTTTCAAATATTTCGAAACGTAATATTATTCTTCAAACCAGAGTACTAAGATACGAATACCTACCTAATACTATTTAAAAAAAATGAACACTCGATAATCAAATTTAATCTAAGTAATGATTATTAGTTTTTCTATTGAAGCGAAATTGTTTTTTAAAACATCCTTAGAGTAGTTTTCGGTTAGGTACCTAGATACATATGTACTTCAACTAATGGCATATATTTATGAAACAACTGTAGTAGCAAAGTGGAGTTTTTTCATTTTACACTAATGCAAGTGAAATATTACATTGTTGTTGCTTATGATTTAAGCTGTAGGTAAAAGAAAAATGCGAATTTCTATTTGCCTAAAAAGAATGCTGGGTTATATTGAAACTCTAAGTCTATCGCATATTATGCTTCATCTAGTGTAAATATCAAAATGCTCCTAAGAGGCACCCGTGGATTTGTCTTTACACTTTGATCATTTACAATAAGTGATGTGTATGAATAAAAAATGTTCACGTAGTCTACCTGCGTCATAGTAATGATTTGGTTTTAATTGCCGTGTTTACAATGATAACATTAAATCTCTTTGGGTTTCCCGGTGAAAACGTTTTATGGTTTCAATTTTATTGCACTTATTCTACACACCAGCGAGTTCCTCATCTGTTATTTTGTTAAATAAATTATTATACCTAATATATAAAATATGTTGCGTGTAATATGATGATGCGCGAAAAACAACGGTCAATTTTATTCAAACCCGTTTCGCGTTTCATTTACCCGCCGTTGTATGATACAATTATAAAATATAAGTAATATAGATTTCAAAAATATAATAATTTATAAACATACAAACTGATTTAATTCAAAAAAGCGTTCCCCTTCGTCAAAATAAAAATAAACGAACAAAAGTATTATTATCTCTTAAATAATTTTAATAAAAATTCATATGCACAGGTTTTTTAAGATTAGGTATTGTACTTAATCTAAGGATATTTTGTTTTCGTATAGTTTTGAATACAACATATTTTATATTTGTTATTAAATACATTTAAGTTTTTATCATTTTTTTCTTTTCTGCGCCTACTTCTTTTAAACCTAGTCAAATTAACTTTTCTGATTTTATAATTATTACACCGTTGGGTTAAATTAACAACTTAAATTTTTTAATTATTTGTACATATTACTTGCCCTCAAATCATAAATATCGCCTCTGTAGTTTTAGGAAAGGAAGAACTGTAAAAAAAGTATGTTTTTTTTTTAAATTCTATTAATTCTATAAAAACTACTTGCTGATAGGAAAGTCTTAATTTGTTTCTACATATTATGTATATTAGGTATAACATTAGAAGCGGATACAATTAATTGTCTTACAGAATTTTTATAATATCTACACGCGTTGTTAAAAATAAAAACGTGATCTTGTTTATATATGTTAATCACTATTGTAATTATTTGCAATCGCCAATATTTTGCTGTGAAGGAACGCGTTTTCTTTTCTTTGAAATGTGGAAAACAAAATAAGTGACAATGTGTTGTATCTAGTACAGAACGGTTTAGCACTATTTGTTATTTATCAATGTACCTACATTATAATGAAAATTCAACATAAATATGAGCTTGTAAAAAATAAATAGTTTTACTGACGGCTTGGTCAGAATATGCGCTTTTTTTAAGAAGTCATCGTTGAGATTGGTACCCTCAACGATCGGCCGTTGACAACAATAATTGTTTACGATTTTGGAAGTTATGTTCGATTCCGGATTCATTCAATGAACTTTGAACATAGGTAATACAAACATGGATAGGACATAACGTCTTATCATCATCATGTGTCATCAAGTGTTACGAATTCAATTATTTTTAAATTTATAATCTAAATGAGATAATATTATGCAGTGCTGTAAACAAACGGCCTCAATTTGTTATGAGTTCAGGAGTCAGGACCGCAAAAATGCAGTGGCCTCAATTGGAAATGCCCTATCCATGTTTTTATTATCTATGGCTTTGAATTAGTCATTCAATTACCGTCGTATGTAAATTAAAATTACTTATTATATTAAATAAAAGCGGTAATTCTTTAATGCGATGAAATACATTATAGAGGTTACGTTCAATGTAAAAATATGGCGACGTCCAAGGAAAAGTAAAATAGTAATAATTATTTTATTGTAAATATCATTACTATGCCACCATAATATATTATTATAACATATTAATATTATATACTAAATTTTGCTTTCAACATCTAACTGTTTGATTTAAAACTCAGTTTGATAATAATCTTGGTTAAAACAATGTTTCGCGTGAAATTATCTTCCTGAAAGTAAAATGGTATACGTCTAACAATGACCTTCATTCAGGATATCTATCGATTACGTTTAATCAAAGTTAAATAATTTAACACAATATTATATTCAACGACAGTAACATGTAACTGTGTAGAATAATTGAGTGGTCAATAATCGTCCAGGAACAAATTATTATTATTCAGAGAGTAAAAAACTCGGATTTATTATAGGAAGGTGTATCTATTGATTTCACATCTACCAAAGTATAATCAATTATTAGTAACACAGGTCATCTTTGTTTGTTATGATAGTAAAAATAATACATAATAGAAGTATACCTAAACTGCTGCCTATTAATATTGTAGGTACCAATTGATTTTTATATTGTATGTTATGTAAATTATCAATCTCGTCATAAAATTAAATTTTAATAATTTAAGTTTTTTTTGTTTCTAATAAAAATAAAAGATGTATAGGCCTTTTTTGAAAAAAAATGGCCATCATCATAAATTATGTAGTATAGGTAAGTGTATAATTACCTACAGCAAAACCTACAGAATTCCCAGAGATTAATTATAAAATCCCGTGTTGTCCGATAAGTGCTTATCGCCATCATCAATTTAATATTGTTATAGATGAATAAGCATTATTTTTAATGGCCTGCATTTAATTTTGTTCACAAGTATTTTTTTTTAGAGTTGTATTATAAACAAACCACTTCCTATTTAAGCAATAAGCGTTTTCAACGATTATTTATCGGTCGTACCTGTGGATTTGAAATTATTATTAATTAGATATCTTCGTTTCTGACATTCGTCATTTAAAATTCTCCAGATAAACAAAACAGACTAACGTTAGAATTTGAACCGTTAATGTACAAATAAATACAATAATAAAATATTTTTTAGTACAACTTGCAAGACAAAAACACTTAAAGAGCTACAATATATTATTTAGTAGGTAGGTACCTATAATTAAGGAATGACGCAGTTTTGTGCATTTATCAACGCATGCTTTTAAATAATTAACTATATTACATTATATAGAAGAAGGATGCTCAACAATTTGAGCCGACGTTTACACATTTTTTTTTGTTATTACAAGAATCGACTAATATGAAAATAGTGCTGCACTTTGAAAATATGATATCTTTTGGGAATCTATTGTGAGAATAGGTTATAAGTTTAAAATCCCTTCAAATACATATATCAGAGTTTTAAAGTTGAATGGGAGGGGAAGTGCGCGTAGGTAAAAATAAAACTACACTCCACCTTTCCTCCTGCCCTAAACTTGAAACTTCAATAACTTTATCAATAGTTGTTCAAAACTGGTTATCGACCAGTCAAAATGGTTAGGACATAATTCTCAATTTAAAAAGTTAATGAAATGTATGCGTTACCATTTAAGATTTAAAGGTTGCTATCAAAAAACCCAGTTGGTAGAGGGGTAAAAACAAAAAGAATAAAATTTGAAAAATTGAGATCATATTGTATAAAACCATAATGAAAAACAATTTAATTTCTTATTAAACCCTTTGAGTTATTGAGTGGCCCATAATAAAAGAATCATCCTCTATACCTTTATAAAAATTATAATATTATAATGTAACATAATATTTACTCATAACTTATATGATATTATAATATCCATTATTACATTTTATTAATTTTAAATGTATGCGTTGTTACCATTTAAGTTTCAAAAGTTGCTATAAAAAAAAACTAAGTTGGTAGAGGGGTAAGAACAAAAAAAAAAAAGATTAAAAAATTGAGATCATATAATGTATAAAAACATTATGAAAAAATATAAAATTTCTTACAAAACCCTACGAGATATTGAGTGGACCATAATAATAGAATCACCCTGTATGTATAAATGAAAACAAATTTCGAAAACATTAAAGTGTCTACAGTAACAGCGGTAAGCAAAGTAAGGACAACGTACCTAGTTATACATTTGGAAGTGAGAAAGAGGCTTACAGTTAAATGCATTAAAAACAATTTTGATTTTTACAGATTTGTGAATCTTTTTAAGAGGTAGTGGTTATGCAGAAATTTGGTTTTTAGGCTATTGTAAACTGGTAAAATTCTTAATTTAAGTTCCGTACAAAATTCTACTTGGTCTCACCATTTTATACGAAATTATAATATTTTAAAGCCGTTAACTCGAAAAATTAGAATAGTTTTTCCGGGTTGGGTTTTTTTTTTATATTCCACTTCTCGAGCATGGACTGATCGACCAAGCCATATACTTTTCTGGTAACTCTATTTTAGACTCATACCTATAAGTACCATTCGCCAGTGAACTATATATGTATATTAATACATATGTATGTATATTGTAATCTAAGCCTTAAATCTTATAGTAGGTACCAAATACTATAGACTTTATCGATTTCTGATCAACTGATGTAGGCCCAGAGATATTACGAGAGACGTCACAAAGATAAAACAAAAACACATCGTTGTAAAACCAATTTCTCAGTTGTGCGCAGATTAAACTAAATGAAAATTAAATACAAATTGGTTGTTTACTTATCTCTTATCCTTAGCTGTTGTCTTTTAATGTCGTTTTAACGAATTGGTATCCTATACTATCCATTAAACAATACAGAAATAATAATTTATTATTCCACGTTCTGAAAATGAAATATTAAACAACAGCGATATGTGTTGAATTTTGAGCGATTTCCCTCGTCTTTGTGTTGTTGAAAATATACTGCAAGATGTTCTTAAACTTGACGAGCAATATGTGAAATGCCTATATGGACTTACCACCACACCAATGTATTCAACTATACATTGAACATTATTGTAAATTCAGGTGATTATTCACATCCTCTATGCGAAGGTTAAGGCGACAACGTGTCGGCATTTAATAAAATAAAATTTCAACCATAACATCGTATGACTGTATACAATTTTGGAAATGATTAACTACCGGTACGAGTATGCCTATTTGTACTCTTTGAAACACTTAATAGTCAACACAAATGAAATAGGTAAGTGGGAAATAACAAGACGGTCGTATTATGTTTTATATTAATAATTTAATTTATTTCTTTTTTTTAAATAAATAACTTTAAATAGGTCAAAAAGAAAAAAAAAAGTATTTAACTTTTAAAAAATAAATAACCTCGAGTCGTCAAAGAATCAGAACGAGACTCTCATATATAAATTAAATAAGTTACCCGCCAGCCTCGGTCGCTGTACATCATATAAATATGTGAGTATCTCGTTTGCGTCGATCACAAAAGACATATTTGTCGAGCTACTCTAGCGCATCCAGCCGGGTAGGTAACGTTAAAACGTGAGTTTAAATTAAATTAGTAAAAAAAAAATTATAATACAATTTTTTGGTATAAGGAAACAATTTGAGAAATACTGCGAACAGCGGACTACTGGGGGAAGATGTCCGAGTAGGCGGTCTTCTGGAGCGCCTTGTTGACAATATCTTGTGCAATGGCGGCAACTGCCTCTTCGAATGCGGGTTGCAATTCTTCCAGGAGCACTGACCAATTTTCATTCAAGATGGAGTTCATGCTTTCGCCTAAAAGAATAAGAAAAAAAAAACAACCGAGTGTTAGACTAAGGTAATCGCTATCGTTTACTTAATCTCGATAAGTAGTTAATTGAAGAGGTGAGAACGAAAAAGGGTACTGGTGAAAACCAATAAAATCTTCCGCTTCTATCCGTATTTGTCAATGTTCGATAGAAACATATTATAGAAAACTAATAAACATAATCAATACTATGAGAAACATTGAAAGTATAATTTTGACTTTGATCTCCTATCATATTGTGCAAAAGTCACGTTACTCTTTTGATTCTCGCCCGTTTCAATTAATATAGTTAGGTACACTAATTCATTTGTAGGTTCTGTGCAAAGCTAAAACGTGCTTACCGAGTTGTTTGTTTCCGTTGAAGAGGTTTTCCAATTTGACGTTCAATTTCTTAACGCTCGTCAACTTCAAGTCGATTTTCTTGACTTGGACGTAGGTCTTGCCGTTCTTCTCGTACGGAGTGGCGACCACTTCTTTCAAGTCCAATTTCGGGTCATCTAAAAACAACAACGTGAAAAAATGTGTTAATTAAAGCGGGCGTTTGTATTTTTTTAGCCTGCAGTAAATCAATAGTAGACATTTCGTACACCGGATCGGAGAAAATTTGTCTAAAGAATTTTTTGTGTGGCAGTTTAACCTTTGCCTGACGGTACTTACGGAGAACGATGGTGCAAGGTCCGCTGCCGGTGATGGGCAACACGAGCACTTTGCCGTTGACCGTGTAGTGACCCGTGATTTCAAGGGGCTTGGTGAAACTGATCTTTCCGCTCAGTCGGTAGTTGTCCAGGTCGGTCTTCAAGGAATCGATCACTGTGCTGGTCAGACCGTTGATCTTGACGTCCTTCATCTTCAGGTCGATGCTGACCGACTTGCTGGATCCCTTGCCGTGGTCGATTTCCAACGACGGCAGCTCGAACGGTTCGATGGCCGGAATCCTGAGTTTAGGGTAACCTTCGCCCAAGTCCGGGATGACGTTTTGTACGGCCGTCCTCAGACACTTGTCGATGTTGGGATCGTTTTTCTTGCATACATTGAACGAGATTTCTGCAAACAATAAAAACCATTATAATCGCCACAACAAAAAAAAACACAAGCATCGGTTTGGTAAGAAAAAAAATCGACCATCAATTATATTACGTTATCCGCTTCTTTCAAGGAGCGGAGGGGAACTTAATCTTAATGAAAACGGTAACTCGTTTATTGATTTTTGTTAAGTAGGTACACGAAGAAAGTTTAAAGAGACATAAAAGGATGTAACAAAAAAAAAAACGCCTTTTTGAAATAATATACTACGATTGTATGATTGTCATACATACATTTTGTCAAGGCATGTATATATTTTTTTTTTTTACATTTGAATTTGAAAAATTTTAAAACATTTTTCTATATAGGATGTTAATTATTATTATTATTGTGTCTGTAAATCGTATAATCGCCTTCCAATGCCATCAAACCGTCTAATGTGTGTGTAGAGTGACCGCGGTTGTTATTGATCGGTTTAAGCAGAATCTGTCAGGAACGATTAAACCTAAGGATTTGTCCTTGCCTGGACGGTATACCGGATTGACAGTGTTAAATACCTTCCGGGAACGTTTTACATTACCCACACTTAATGCGTTACCGCGGTGAACTTAATCACATTGTTTACAATAATAATATGATATTCATCACTGTCGAATGCCGTCGGCTGACCATATTTTTAATTAACAGTTTTTACTGGCTTAATAATATTATAAAACAGCACTGTAACAATTTTCCAAATTGACCGCCATTACATAATTATATCCATTTATCAATATTTTTAGGGGAAAATGGGAAAACAGCAAATGTATTTCCATTAGATTTGAGAGCTTAGAGAAAATAAATAAATGTTTAATTTTAACACGCAGCAATTGACAATAATCATAAAATCATGTTTTTAAATAATAAAGTACTGAATTTTGCATAAAACATAGAAATTGAAAAACGTATTCAAAGAAAACGATTTTTGTTAAAAAAAAAAACTAATATTTAGCATTTAGTAAAATGTTGTTAAAACATTCTGGCGATAATATGTTTTACTTGCAAATTTAAAAACAAGTTATTCATTTTTGAAAATTTTAAATTTATTTGATAATATTTTAATATGATATAAATATTTACCGAATATGTTTCATTAAGTGATTTTAACTCTTTTTCTTATTTGAAAATTTGATAAAAATATATTTTATGTTTTCTTCGACACGTAATTTTTAAATGAAAAAGAAACTTAGTTATAAAATATTTTATCTCATTTAAAAATGTCTGTGTGGAATTTTATTTTGATTATACGGTTTTACTAATTTTGTTGTACTACTAATTAAATAAAATAGTTATTACTAGAAACGAAATTAACAGTTCAAAATAGCGCGTTGAAGCTAAAAAGAGCTGTTATAATGTTTTTAACGAAAAATATATTAAAACCGCAAAGAAACTTTAATATAGTTTAAAGCATAAACCATAATAATATAAAATATAAATAAAAAAAAATAAACTTTGATACAATTTTAACATACATTTCCAAACATTGTAAAGAACACTTACGATTGAAAATAATATATTTTTCGGATACACAAAGTACATTATTAAAAAAATAAAAGTACTACTAACAAGTCGTTTGTAGGTTTAGAATTTTGAATTTATTTTATGTGCAAATCTATAGTAATCAATTTTTATTAAATTCGATTTGTAGAAAAAACAAAGTTTTAGGTATCAGAAGAAAAAAATGAAATATCTAATAGGTTCAACAGAAAGTGCGGTACTTACGTTTCTTAGGAGTCGGGGCTGCAATGACAGAAGCAACAACGGCCAAAAACAACACACTGAAGACCAGCAACGATTTCGCCATTTTTTAAAAGAAAATATTATTTTGGATTTATACAAAAATAAATAAAAAATGTGATGTCGAAATAATATCGATTTCGGGTCAAGACAGTGCGAATTATGTTTCTTGAGAGGTGTGTGAGTTTTGAAAAAACTTAACGGGTAGGTTAGATACACCGAAGTTACTTCTGAAACTGAAACCGTCGATTGTGTGATGCCGCATCCCCGTGCTCGGGTACCTTTTATACTTGCGCGGATGTTGGCGGTGACCTCCCCGAAAACTGGTTTCGATCACATTACATAGCTGTTATACGGTGTTCTTAAAATTCGTGTATGTCTTAGAATGCTGAACAGTGCGTCACTTTACTACCCGAATTATAAATCATAATCGGTTCGCGCACGCAAACAACACAACAGCTAATTCGTTTTCACGACGCTACTCGGGCCATTTCTAAGGAGTAAAGCATAAGGAATGTTTTCGAAAAATCTTAACTTAAAGTTTCAACTTGAACTTATACTTATTAATATACATAGTAATGCGTAGAAGTCCGAATAATATTATTTTGCATATTTGTTTTGTTGAGTCTACGCAGTCAGACGGCGGTTTGAAATTATACGAATTGTGAAACTTGAAAATATTTCAAGACAAAAGAATATTTCGTACAATGAAGAATATTAGAGAATATTGTAGTATCTGTTATTATTGACGTTCAAATGTACATTTAAAGTTTTTCTTTCAAAGTAATAATATATTATATTTTATATCAGTTTCTTGTTTATTTTGTAAAATTTCCAAGTAATAAAATAAACATTTTTTTAATACTTTTTGGCAAATAAAAGAAAAAAAATTATTCTAGTAAATATATAAATTTTATCATATTAAGTAACCTTTAAACATCAGTTGTAATTACTTTAATGTACCTAAAAAAAAAAATATTTGCATATAAAAACATATTTTGAATTTAAGAGATTATATTTATGTAAAATCATATTTTACTACGATTTTTATAAAATATAAGAAGAAAATTATCAACTTCTTGAGAGAATCTTATTTTGGCTCTTTTAGGAGAATAATATTACTCCAGTCTCTAGTAATGAGGATACTTTATTGGTTGCCATTTTTTTTCTCAGACTATCACAGTCATTTTTGTATAGGACAAAACATTAAAAAAAATTAAATTTATTAAGATTTAAAAAAGTTAAAAAAAATGTATTTTTGCATTCATCATGTTGACCTATGCGTTATAGATAATGTTAATCGTATGTTATAATGTTCTCTCTGAAATCGTCTCCTCAATTTGTTTTACAATAAATGTTTTCAACTGTAAAATAACTATGAACAGTCCTAATTACTGAACTAATAATTACACATCACAGTTTGACATTTAAGATTTTTCAAAAAGTTTTCTATACCAACTCCTTAATAAATAGGTGGTATGTCGTCTACTTAAGAATATGTTATCAACACTATACCGGCGTAAGAACGTACACGCCTTTTACAAAGTCTTCCTAAGTGATCACATCAATCTCATACAAAACGCTCTGATTCGAAACTACATATTATACAAGTATTTAAAATTTTTGTAAGATATTAATGCGCTTAAATTAGCATTTTTAACATTCGGATAACATAAGATTAGGACAAATCGAATATGTATATTTATTATCTGTTGTCTATGTGTGATAATTAACAATAAAATGAAAATTATTTTCTAATACCTGTTGATTCAAGAGATCATGAGTTGATTTTTCCTTTTTAAAAAAATAATTGACTAGAGATTGTTGAGAAAATTGTAGTAAAAAATCGTACAACGCCACGTCGATCAACTTTTTATCTTATGTTCAGCCATAAGTTCTAAAACTACAATTAAAAAAACGAAAATCAAGAAACAGTTTTTAAGCAAAGGATTTTTCAAATTTTTTTGGGCTTTCACTGCATATTGGAACTTTTAAAAAAGTTATGGCGCGCCATAACTTTAAGTTGACATTTTTAATATATTTTAGATGTTTTTCTCGATTTTGAGGGTGAAAGGGTGAATTTTTAAAAAAGATTGGCTGTTTTAAATACCTCATAGGTACGATTTCTGATCTATAGACTTGCCAAATAATAAAATCGATATAGCAGTTTACATTTGTTATATTATTTGCTTATAAAACCCATTAATAAAAATGTTTTTTATTAATTAAAAAATATACTTTGTCAATTTCGAATCGATTTATATCCTAAAATGTACCGTGTGACCGTATAAAATACCGCTGTATATTAATATTTAATTAGGTACAACCTTAAATTATACAATTAAACGTTGCACAATGCAAATGTTACCAAATTTTGTATTCATTGAGAAAAGGAACAGCTGTTATAGATATAAAATAAGAAATTATAAAACAAACCACCAAAAAACTATTTAAAACAAATAAAGATTACTTGTACTGATAGTACCGTTTAATGGCTTTATTATTACTAACAATCGTCAAAATAGTACTAACCACATAAAATAACCGTGTCATTGAAAAAAAAATTATCATTATTAAAAATAGAATTATCTACCTATATTTCAGTAAATATAATGCTAGAAAAATCCAACCATCGGTTTCGTATAAATTTACGATAATTTATCAAAATTTGTTTCTACTAATAATATTGTGGCAATTGACAAAAGTAAGTTGTCTGGATAATACATTTTATTTTTATTTAAATATAGGTATAATATTATCACTGAATAACAGCTAGAATAACTGTAGTAACTTGAACAAAATATACTAACCGATTTTGCTCTTAAAATGGTACATTCAATTAAGAAGACATTTAAACAAATATTAACAATTTAGTACAATGTTGAATGATGTCTTGTTTTAATTTTCCACAATTTTTAGCATTTAATTAAAATACAAAGAAGTAAAGTAAATTTATAAAAAAAAAAATCACTTCCACCACATATTCTAGACTTGTATTATTATTTTTAAATTGCTTGTTGGTAATAATTAATAAAGAAGCCATCAGATTCTCTAACTGTACTGTATTTTTAAATTTGTAATTTATACACTTTAAATACAGGTTACTTGTCTCACACTAAAACCTCCTAATTACTGCTTCTAGTTTTGGGATCAAGAAAACACTACTACAAGATGAGACAAAATAATTTTTTTTCAAAAAATATAAAAATAAATATAACTTATTTAATTAGCCAGAATAAAAAATAAGGTAAGTACTGTATTGTAACCTAATGTTGGATCAATTGATTAAAAATACAAGGACATTAACAAGTTATCTTTTATAATATGTTAATACTTCCCATTAAAAATAAATAAATATAAATAAGCTAACACAAATCATAAAACAGCTTAATACTTAAAAAAAAAATATATATATATAAATATTAAATCATGTAAAATGCCCCAGTTGATCTAAGATTAATATATTTTTTCGAATTTTAAAAGAAATAGCATATAAGATTATATTATAATAAAAAACTTAAGTAAATTGTAATAAACTTCTTAGAATAAACGACTGATTATTTAAGTTGTTATCATTGCCAAGGTCGTACGTGTTAACATTGCAATTTTATTTATTAAGCAGTAATTTTTTTTAAGTACTATCATTATTCAAGGATTACTCATCTCCCAACTCACATCTACTCGCTAACACCAATATCGGATTTAAAAACCCATAAAATGTATAATAATTATTTTTTTTTATATGTATAATTAAACATGTTTTTCACTTTCTTTTGAACATAATATTGTTTTAAACAATTATCTTCTTGTTTGTTCTTAAATTTTTTATGATGTATATTTATTTAGGTACGTGAGTGACCATAAGAAAATAACTACTCATTTGAAATTAAATTGTATGGTATAAACTTCACGATTAATTTTGTAAAATCAACTAATAATATTTAAATAAATAAAAACATCTTAGATTACTTTTAAAATATTTTAACAATAATTGGCCACGCTTATCACATTATATTATAAACAGCAAACGCAAAATTTGTTATTTCTTTTTAAAGTATTAAAACTAAAATCTTTATATAATGTTGATCATATCTACTAATAAACCTAACCATAAACCTTAGGACGCCTTTTTTTTGCTGCTTTATATCATAAGTTAACGCATATTTAAACGACAATAATATAAAAACTTTAATTTACAACATGCTAACAATACTTTTTAAATATGTCGTTTACAACGTGTAAAGTAACATAAGTATTGATAAAATATGTTACTTTATAATATTTCGAATAACGTTAAAACTAAATATTTACACAATAAAAATATTCCCTAATTGTTGTGTGGGTTAGGTTAGGTTGCATTTATAGAACGAATTTGCTTAACATATTTTTATGGAATTATTTTGAAGCTAAACGGTTTTTATGCTGAAACATTGCTACTTTTATTCAAAAAATCGATAAATCAATAATATATTTTGAATATTAAAACCACTAATGAACGACGCCAACTTCCTGTTCAAGGCGAACGAAACAAATTTTATTATTATTTTTATTTTTGTGGCCATACCACTAAAATAACATATATAGCCTCAAGTATTCCTATCCAGTAATCAATAATCTGCGGAAAGAAAAAAACTCGGTAATATTTTGTCGAACGAAACATACACATTATTCCCAATGTCACTAAGTGTTTCATACATTTTTAGCCAGTTGGCATTGGACATTATGCAGGTACCATTGGTAGGTACGTATAATAATATATTACACACATTATATACCACTCCAGTAGTATTTGCACGATACATCACATAGGTAGGTACATAATATTATGGACATCTCTTTTCCGGGGTAATAATTTTACCGCTGACTTTTACTTTGAATTTCTAACCCAACAACCAACAGCTGCAATAGGTATTGACATATTGTACATGCCGTTTACAAGATTTTCAAAATATTACTTTTAAGAAACGTCAAATGTTCCAAGGTTGATCGCACGCAAATATCGAATGCGTTCTATCGCATATTATAAACTCACCGGTAATAATAATCATAACGATAATAAAAATGTTAACTACCTGATCGTTTTTTAATGGAATTCTCGAGGAAGTAAAAAAAAATATATCTCGGTAGGCATATTATGAGAGAAAAATAACAGCTTTGACATTATATCATATTATTACTATTATACACCAGAGATGCATGACTTAACCGGATCGAGGTCGCAAATAATCATTTGGTATTTTATCGATAATGACTAATTAGTGGAGCATTAAGTATAGCAATAAAAATCACTGGGGAAGCTGAAGCCCTCGGATTATATACACATGTATAATTAGAAACCGTATTTTTTTTACAAAATACACTACCTGAAACTTGCTATAATTTTAGTTATTGTATTCTTTTTATTTGTTTCCATCAAAAATATGAATACCTATGTAATTTGCATATGAAATCCCGATCCAAGGAAAGCCTCTCATAAATCGTTTAAATTAGGTACCGGAAGAATAAAACGTATGGCATTATAAAACAAAACTATAAAATGACAGTTCAATTAATTCTCCGAAATATTTGCATTTAATAGAACTATAGAACGGTATTTAGAAAAAAGTTAAGCAACACTTGTGTATTAATATATTATATAATATATTAATTATTTTATAGAACGATAATTTATAAAACAAAATAAAAGTATAGCCACATTGATCAAACGACCGCAGTAATTAGTTTGGGCTACTTATATATGTATATCGAAAACGAAGCGTTTGACAGAGATTTAAATTTGTGACTTAGGTCAAATAAGATCATATTGAAGCTATGGGTGTATATACTTAAAAGTTGTTATCTTCCATGAGGCTTTGAGTATTTTTTTTAACCTGGGAGTTTTGTACACATTATAGAGTGTTTCATTTTGCAAGCTTAATTGCTTAGCTCTTTTTGCCAGTGACGTTTGTCTGCATGCCACAGGTATTACAAAACTATTATTTACTTTACCTCCGGGAGGGGTAAATGATTTTTCTTTATTTCCGTTTCTTTGAAATAGTTTAAATATTATAATATATTTTTGCAATTCTATAATAGTTTTTTTTTAGAAAACAACAAGTACTTATTTTTTTCAAGCTTTAAATGGTTCTAACTCCGATAGTTTTGAAAACTGATCCCACTTACATAAATGTGCAAATGGCGAGTGGTACAACTTAAACGTCAGTGTTTTATATATGTGTATTGAAAATAAACCGATAGAGATGGAATGGGTCTTGGCCTGTGTGTACCTATTGGGTCCATTCCATTATTGTTGTGATTAAATTCGATACTTAAAACCTGTAGTATTTAAAGGGACAAAAACCATAGGTTTGGAATGCAGGAATCCTACTTGCCGAATTTTTTCAGGTTTACTCGTAGAGTACCAATTTATAGAGCTGTAACATCATATAATGTCCTGTACTTAGTAAGAAAGTAATCAAGAGGCCGATCGATAGTGTGAACACTTTAAATAAATCATTTTTTTATAAGTTTTTAAACACTGAACAGTATGATCTTTATCAACCATGCAGATCAATAGATAAAATCTAATTTCTCATGATAATATTGTAACTGATAAGGCTTATGTTGTACCACATGGTGGTGAAACAAAATTAAAAATATTTCTCAGGGAATCTCGCCTTTTCGCTTACTTGGTAATATTTTACTTATTGCGAGTTGCGACCTCCCCATTTTACTATGAGGTAATGCATTTTGATTTTTGGTAAAAGAACGCTAATTAAGGCGTTAATAACTCTCTCCTGAATTTAAATGGCCGTTTTTTCTTTAGATCCGCTACTGGTTGACCGTTCAGTGTGTCTATTGATAGGTCTATTATTATTGCAAACTCTGTGTGTGTGTGTGTCTGTGTAGTGTTATTATACTATACGCCAAGTCGAATGATAGATATGGCTATGGCCTATGACGTTGTTTATACTGTCGGCTGTACACGATCAACGCGTCACGTCCGTTTCCAGAAATCCGCATAAATTAACTTCAGCCGATTATTATTGTTCGTTCCAGAGGACGTGTCACCTCGATTAATTACAGTGCACACTGCGTAGGACTTAGGTACGTGTCCACGTCAGTGTCTGAAAACATTATTAACGTCCAGTGACCACAATATGTGCATACATTGTTATACTTAAATAGTAAGCGCGCACACACACGCACACACACACAAGCCAGGACTTTATGATAAAACATCAGCGCGATGGCCGGTCAAAGTCTATTGGTCTACTGGTGTAATCAACGGCGCGGTGTGCTCTCCTTTTTCACAACAATATACTTGCATACGTGCGGTTTTATTCATTCAGGCAACGGCCGAAAAGTGTAAAATTGGCAAACCGTATTATATTTTCGAAGAGACTAAAACAATTATTCGATTCGACGCAACATTATTATTTGTGTACGTATACCATTTTAATGTTACACACTTAAAACGCACACCGGTTACCGGTATAATAACACACATAGTATACTGCAGTTGTCCATACACAAGGTCGGCCACAGGAGAGGATCAAGGGCGACGTTGTATATAAGTGTATTATTTTATTATCATATACTGTCGTGTGTGGGTAAAGTTGCACCCAAAGGGGTTATCCGTGAACCTTGGAGACGCTTCCCAGTTTCTTTTGTGAAATGACATCGACATTGTACAATAAAATTGGCCTGGCTTCCAAACAGAAACCAGTTAAAGTGATGATCATGGGACAGCCGGGAGTGGGAAAAACTGGTGAATAAATAACATTATTATAATATCCTGTAAGACGGTTTTCGAAAGACTGCTTGACCGTTTGTGGCAAAAATGTCCAAGTACAACAAAATGTCAAAAATTATTTTTATTAGAAAATTATACGTATAAACAAAATCCCATGTTATTTTTACTATTATGCAGAATTATCCAAATTTTATGTTGTTACGATATTTTCAATGAAATATCAGTCAGTTTCAAAAAGGTGTCCGGTTTTTTTTCTCAATGCATATAGCAGGTTATATTTTTTTTAATGGTTTTTTACTACATCCTACTATAAAAAGAACACCTATTAGAACGTTGGGACAATTTAATTTTAGAGACGTAACTCCTTTTCAAAATTGACTATTCAATTAAGGAAAATCCTTATTATATTTAGTAATAACAAATTATATTCCTGGATAGTCAAATATCTATATTGCTAATTGACTTTTAACAGTTATTACCATTTAAAAATACTAACAAGGAATTCATTAGAAATTTTTTTTAGCTTATATAACTATTATAATTTGAAAAACTGCAAAACATGTCTGATGAGTGATGTCAACCGACACAATAAAAAAATATTAGTATTCTGTTTACTTTTTTATTTTCGTTTGGTTTATTATATATTCTATCAGTGTTAATGCATAATATAAACTATATTAGGAATACTAATTCTACATTTTGTCATTTTTACTATTATCTTTTAGAAAGAAGTAATATTAAGAATACATCAAATTATAGCCTGTTTAAGTGAATAAACACTTATTTTTATTCTGAAACACCATTTTTAATATTTTGTTGTTAGTAAGCAACATGGTAGCTATATGATGGGAAATAATACTCTATAATCTTATTATGGTTAAGGATTTGTTTAAATATTTTATTTCTTTACTATATAATAAAACCTAAAGTGTTGCTTGTGGTTTTTTCTTTATAGTATTGACCTAATAAAACTATAAAATATTTGTCTCCTGAATATTGAAAATGTTTATACTGTTAATTCAAGTATTAACTTAGGAACTTATTTTAAATTTAAAAACGTCTTAGGCATTTCGGTACTCGATCATATTTTTCCTGACCATTTTTGTACTTGGACATATTTTCATCTGGATGTTTTTGTGCATGGACATTTTTACCTAGGCTATGCCATGATAGCAAAATATTTGCCCTTTTAAGAAAAATAATTATACATTAACAAATAGGTACTAAAAAAAATATATACTTATAATAACAGCTTTTCCTGTATTGTTGTTAGCATTGCTCGTGCGGTTCGTTACTAAAAAGTTCATCGGCGATTATGATCCGAATTTGGAGAAAATGTACTCTCACCAGGTCAACATAGAATCGGAAACGGTAAATTTCGAAATTCTGGACACGGCCGGTTACGTGCAAGATGTAAGCTAAAGAACAAAAATTGGGCAAGGGAAAACATTGAGTTTCACGAGAGAACGATACTGCCCAAAACCCGAACTGCATTACCCTCGAGTATGCATGCGCAGACAAAAGTAAACAGCAGTAACGCGTTTTGGTTTTTGCGCAGTACCGTTCTTTCGCGGAACAGAGTATAGTATATGTTACTTTATTTTTCCCAAACGCTAACTTATAACTTTACAGTGTTTTTAAAAATATTCTTTACAAGTTGAAGTCTACATTTTTTTTTTTTTTTTTTTTGAGATTCAGTATAGTAATATTTAATATGTTAGCCAACGCAGACAGTTAGATCTTTGGCAATGCCAGACATAACCCAGTTATTTTGTAACTTCACTTTACTACTTTAATCAAAGTATTGATCGTCTTTTATACATTAATACAAAAAACGTGTTTTAATATACAAAACAAATCAAAACATTTATTATCCAATTCTGGATTGATTTACATAATATTATGTGTGTTTTTAATTTATTTTATTCGACCTTTGATCTCGTTTTTCTGACTGCTCATATTATAAATATATTTTAAAAATGTCTTTGGCTTACTATTAAGCTCTTAAGTTATAAACATTCCGCTTATTTAAGTAAATTAAACGAATATTAATAATAACTAATAATTCTAGTTCAAATGCACACTTATCTATTGGATGTTCACCTATTGTTGTATGTTATAATAAATAATATAATTTTTTAAATATTATATTATTTTAGTTTTTTAATTTTTATTTAGAAATCTTGTAACCTGGAATTCAACATGCGCTGGGCTGAAGTGTTCATTTTGGTATATTCGATTACGGACAAATGCTCGTTTGACGATTGTAGCAGATTAAAATTCTTAATAAATTACAACAAAAAGAAACGTCGACTTACAGCCAAAGTAAGACAAACTCACAAAAGTTAGTATAATATTAGGAGTTAAACTAGATGAAGGGAGGGAGGCATTGAAGAGATAACGTTCTAATATATATATATATATATATATATATATTAGAACACTAAATTTGAAGTTAAGCAAAAAAGAGATTAAGAGTAAGAACAGAGAACTTCCTATGTTTGGAGATATCAAATTTTTATTATTATTATTATTCGTTTATTAACATTGCAACAGGCGTAAATATGGCAATAAAGTAAGTTGGTTGTAAAGTGCAGAGCTGTTTATGTCATCGTCAATTTTAACTAGGCGTGCTAATTAGTATTAATTTTTGTGTTAACTGCCCAATTTTTGAAGCGCTAAAAATGTCAAAGTAATGCGACGGCAACAATAATAATTATATCATTTGGACACGTTATGCATACTAAACGTATTATATTTTAACATGCGTGCAACCATTGAATATTGTAGTAGTCAATATTGAGTATTGACTACTATTGAATATTGAGTATTTTGAAATCCGAAGATAACCCAAAAATAGTGTTTAAAAATTCTAATCTTAATCTCTAGTGTTTATACTATTATAAAATATCCGTTTGGTAAATATTTAATGGTACAAGAGTGGACCTAAAATAGTTCAGAATTCTATAAATTAATTATAATCTGTTGAAATCGTTGGCAATTTGGGTAATTATCTAATGCCAAATATTGGGTCGACCGATAGGCAAGAACCACATTGAAGTACTGATAACTTCCTCAATTCTTGTGCTGGAGGGCTCAAACTTATATGAAAAGTCGCAGAAAGTTCTGTCAAGGTCAACATTTTTAGTACATTATTAAACCCAATAAAATATTGACTGGCCCACGATAAAAAAATCATCCTGTATATACGATACGCATGTGTTAAACGTTCTAATAAAAATCAATAATATTATTACAAAGTTATTGTAAACGAATTATTATCACTAATAGTTTATTTACAAAATGTTTTTACTAGTTTAAAAACTATTTCTTCGTTAAAAGAGTATTGTTTTTTTACACAATTTTTCGATTTGGTTTTTCAACGATTTTTAAAGATGAGTATCTTTTGTCAGAGTCTGTCACTTGTCAGATGTCAAAAATGAATGCCACATAATATTAAAATTTGTCGGATAAAATATAATACTGCCTAATTTATGTGTGACTTTATTAATTTAATATCTATAATTCTTACTGGCATGATCCTTGATGTTGACGTTTGATATTGTTATAATATGTTATTTGGGAGTCCTTATATTTGTTAAAACTTAAATTCGTGTTTTATTATACCATTAACACTGTTTAAAAAATGTTATGCATCAAGGTCGTGTTAATAAATAAAACCTTGTACCGTATCATGTACTTAACCATACTGTGTATAATATAACGACAAGCTACACGTTTGTAACAAATTAAAAGGCAAGAATAATATTTTTATTAAAATTTTTAGCTTTGGTATTTTTTTTTTTTTATAAATATTAAAAGCCAGTTAATATCAGACGTGTTTTGTACACAACGATAAAATGTAGTAAACAACAAATTATAATTTATAATGAATAACTTACTATGCTCTATAACTCATTATTTCTTTTAACCTTTTTAAATATTTATACATAATAGACAGGAATCTAATGTGTTTTACTTAAATTCTCTTTTTGTAACATTGAACAGCTCATTAAATGCGACATTAATCTCGCGTACCTTTATGTACCGGATTGTTTAATATTATGTTTTATGCAAATTAAATCCACATAAGTGTACTATTATATTATGCACATAAACTTCAAATTGCAATTAAAAAATAAAAACCTTTATAATTTAGGAAACATAATAATTGTATATGAAAGCATCAGTTACTGCATTATTATTATAAATAACTGAATAGTTCAAATATACAACTAACAGCATCACTTAAGTAGAAAATATTTTTATCTGTTGCATTAGTTTTTTTCAACTACTTAAACGATGATAGGTTAACTCTTTCTAAATTACTATTACCACATATTACCACTAAATAATTACCTGATAAATTGTCAGTATATTATTTTTTAATACTCATTACAATCGTATTTAATTACTATTAATTATTAATAATTATTTTCTTTTATTTCTTAATTTGTAATTTAAAACTACAAAATAATCTCATACAAACTTTCTTAATGTTGAAAACCATTTAGTGAAACGAAATAATATGTTTACAGATATATTTTTGTTATTATATTTTTGAAACGTTAATTCATCAGCCGAAAAAAATATTTACAACCTTATTATCAGTTTAATGAAGCTCAAATACAAAATATTATATTGTATCCTTTTTTCATACATTTTAAACAATTTTTTATGATGTGACAATATTTTTAAATAATTTTTAGACTACGTCATTATTTTAAATTATGTTTAATAAAACTGTTTTACAATGACAAATTCAAAAAAAAAAAATTATGGTCAGAAATTTTTATAAAAAAAAAAATGTATAGATATAATTTTGATGATTTAGCGTTTTTTTAAAATTAATTGGACATTTTGTTGTGTGTACCTGAGTACTCTTCAAACGTTAGAAAAGTTCAAGGTCAAAAAATATAAGAAAGATTTAAGTAAACATTTTTTCAGTTTACTGAATATTTTCTTTTTATGTTGTAAATAAGTACTTACACATACTATTATTTCTTATGATTAAGTATTATTATTTTTAAATATTTGAGCTGTCATACAACATAATAATACTGTTTATGATTTATGTTCTAATGCAGTCATTATAAATAAGCATATTTTTTGTTTATCGTATTTTGACGCAAATCCTTGGGTTTTGTTTGGATACAGTATATTTTTTAATCTGTTTCTCAAAACCGTTTTGTTTCCTAAAACATAATGACGGAAAAGCTTAATACATTTTACCATTTGGTATTTACTAAAAAAAAACCTTAATGAGTACTCATATTTCAAATGTGTCTAAAATATAATTTCTATAATCAATATACATATAATATGCATAGTTTTTGTCCGCCTCGAAGCCTAAATTAATTATTTTGTATACTACTAAGACTTTAGATTTTAAAAACCCTATTTTTTAATATTTCTTATACTCAACTAATCATTTGTGCTGGTAGAGTATATTAACTTCACTGCTCACGAGTCAATAACAATACAATATATTAAACTGTTTAAATGTTTTCATAAAATATCTCAACCGAACTTCACTTGTTATACACATATATTTTCTCAATAAAACGTAGTAATATTGGCCAATAAATTGGTTTCTGTTTTCTACAGAAATAAAATCGTGACAACCTTTGGTGAAAAATGTAGTAAAAAAACCATACTTTTTCCAAACACATTCAGTAAAAATATATTGCTAATCAAAAGTATTTTAATTTGCAACTTGGTCGTGCAAAGCATAAATAATTCCTTATTGGTTGTACTCGGGGTAGCCAAATCTGGGCGTTTATAATGTATATTTAAAAAACCCATTTGGATTATGAACCGCCATAAAATAACAATTATTGCTACTAATAAAACAAAATATTAGTGTATAGAGTATAACAAAATGATACTCTGTTTTTAAAGCGACAACTAAATACAGTGCTCATACTTTTTAAATATTGAGTGGATAATACTTGGAGGTTTTTTATATTAGGTAATAATAAACAAAAATAGAATATAAATAATAAACAAAGCCTCTGACAAATCATTGGTACAAACATCCTTGGAAAACAATATACTTTAGCTTTTATTTTTGAAGTAAATTTATATTTAAGGGGGTGTGATCGTTATTCTGATAATTTTCATCCGGTTTAATTGTTGCCACATTATAGGACCATACGTTTGATGTACCCGTCATATTGGTGGGCAACAAAGTAGACCAACAGTTCGACCGGATGGTGTCGTTTACCGAGGGAAGAAGACGATGCCAGGAACTTGGTTGTGTGGCGTTTCACGAAATTTCTGTCCGAGAAAACGTCGATCAAGTGAGCTGTGAATTCGACTTAAAACTTGTAATGGTGTTGCTACTGTCATCGTTGCCACATCTAACCTAACCCGCTATACAGGGATGATCCGACTGATGTATTTTTTTCTCTATACTTGTAGGTACATATTTTGCTATATTTTTAAATACTTTGAACGTTTTTATCTTCATTCCTTACACAGGGCGAACATTTTATCATGAAACCCCTCAATATCTCATACGGGTTTAATAAGAAATTAATTTTTTTTTCCCATAATGTTTTTATACATTATGTGATATCAATTTTTCTCATTTGTTTTTTGTTTTTTACCCCCCTCCCAACTAAAATGATCACCCTGCATGCAGAAAATTTGTTGACTTTTTTTTTCAAGTGTAACCACCTATTTTTGTAGATAAATTTGTCTTAAAAAATTCTAGCGCTTGAATTTTTAATTTACATAAATTTGTTTGTTTGCTTTAACTTAGGTTTAATATGAAAACAATTATAAGTGAAAATATAATATTGTTACAAAGTCATAGCAAACGAACAGGTTGATGAAAATTAAAAATCAAACGCTACCATTTTTAATTTTTCGTTTAAATATTTATGGAATAATTAAAAACATATGTTCCCATTTGAAAAAAAACCAGGTCCAGGTCATACTCGTTTTACGTATAAAGGATGAAGATACAAGTTTCTTAGTATTAAAAAATATAGTAAAATATGTAGGACTGTAGTGTAGGGGAAAATATTCATATTTTCCTAGAAAATGAGTGTCTTACATTATATGGATCACCCTATAGAATATAAACATTTTTAATCTGTTTTCCCCTAATCATTTCCCCCAAGGCGTTCGCTGTGTTCAAGGAAGCTTACATGTCTTGGAGAACGATGACGAAAAACCCTAAACTGAAACGTTCATCGAGCGATCACGGTGCTGAAGCGTTGTTCAATTCGGCTTCGAAGTTCATAAGTAAATATTAGTTTCATCTTGAACTAGTAGCTAGATACAATTAAAATAGCATAAATAATTTTAAGTCTAAGGGCCAGGGATAGGAACTGAAATCCATATTTTTTACACATCCTATGGTTATTCGAATTTCACCTATTGTTGTTACCATTTTTATTTATTTGTAATGATGTAAGTTGAAAAATCCAACACAATGGATCAATGGTGTTAGGTAGGTGATTGATAGGTCAATGATGCAGTCACAGAACTATAGGAATCGTTACAGCCGAAAGTGATGAAAAGCGATTTTTCTAGATAGTACAAGTATTGAAAACTTAAGTCCTATAAAATCATTTTAAACGCAAAAATGTGATTTAATTCGTATTTTTAGTTTTAGTGGGAATACGTTTAGGGTTGATCGTTTGTCTATAATTTAAAAAAAATAGAAAACCGATTTTTGAGAAAATGTTAGATGTCATACCTACCTATATTTTATTTACCTTCAGCCTAATTTTTAGACCTTAAGTCAAACTACAAAGCGAAATAATGAAAGCGTTTCTACCCTTTCTGAGCGAAAAGGTTATGATAATTTATTGCTATTACCCGGCATATAAGTAGTATTGTATTTAAAGTGTATCTCACTCAAGCAATGGCGGATCTAGTAAATTAAAAAAAGGAAAATCTAGAAAAAAATCACTTAAAACACATAATATAACTTATAAGTAATTGTCATGGAGTAAAATTTGAATAAACATACACTTTTAATGCATACAATTTAAGCACATATAGGAGGTGCTTCAGCCCCATTTGTCTCCACCCCTGCACTCAAGTTTGGAATAATCGACTATTTTTTAAAAATGTTGTATAAAGGTTTATATATATCTATTTTAAAGTTTCCCAACAATTTTTTAATTATTTTTATCGCATAAAGAAATTATTTTTCATGTTTACTGCAGGCTACAGCGAAAGATAAATTGTTGACAAATATTTTGTTTGTCCATGAAATATATCTCATATTTGCAACACAACCACTTTCTACTGTCTGGTGACATCAATTGGTAAGATGATTTTGTAGGTAAAACCATCAAGTACCTTATTACTGTTTTTTTCATCATTATCTTATAAAACAAGAAGCGAAAAAATCTACATTTTTTAGATAGAAAAAACCATTACAATAAGTATATTATTGGCTTTCCTCGTGGAGTAAGACCATGTAATACATTATATGACATAAAATTCAGATCCACCTATTATACAAAGAGGGTATTTCCATTATGGTATCTGGTAGGGAAATTCTGTTTATTTATTATTATTAATTTAAACTATACTTAGACTAAAAATCACTACAAATAAGTGGGTACCTATTTAACGTTTTGAAAAAATTAAAAACTGAACATGTAAAATCCAATATAGTGTATTAAAAATTACAAAACTGTAGTCTGATATTCAATTTATTGTGGAAAACGTAGTGGGTTTTGGCTGATTTAATTAAGTAGCACATCAATTGATCAGATATCCTTTTTGAAAGATACTTTTAGGGGAGTTAAAAATTGAAAGTCGCCCTCCTAAATTTCTAGGAATTGGAAAAAAACCTGAAAAAGTGATGATTATTCGAATGTTTTGTTTTTTAAAAATGCATATCTTGTCGTTTTCTTCGAATCGTTTACTTAGTCTATAAGTAAAAAAAAAGTGAGTACAAATATGTACTAAAAATAACTTAATAACAACTATAAATATTTACATGACTTGAGGTTTAACTATAAATATTTTAATCTCATGCTATAAAACTTTACTGTTGATTGTACACGACGATACTAAAATAAAATTAGATTTGTTCAATATAATCGTTAAATTTTATTTTGTTATAGGTAGTACACGTTTTTTTAAACAGATAAATCGCATTAATACATGCTCAAGCGTATGCCATGATTTCTCAAAATATATTTTTTTTATAATTTTGAAGTCCTATAATAATATTTATTGCCATGACTAGACGACTTACGCCCTTAGTCCATAATGATTACCAAAATAAACTGCTTGTGTTTAATTGCTTTTAGCTTCGACGCGTAATTGAATAGATATAGGTTTTGCAATGATGTGTTTTTTTTTATCTTAACTGATGAACACATTGCTTGATGTAGCAAGTATATATATGTATCAGAAATTGTAACTGAGAAGTATTGTTTAAAAGATAAGTTACCACTCGCCCCACAAACAAAGCCCCACAGTAATCAATTATGAGTCAACATTTTTGATCGAAGCCCAAGAATAATATTTCTCTTCAACTGTACAATGAAATTTGAAAAATTCAAGTTCTTGCAGAATCTAGTCTAAAATAAATCTCAAGGTCAAAGTTTCAACATTTTATTTTTTATTCTGACACACTAAACTATACTCTTTTGATTCATAATTTGTTTTATAATGTATAAGTAACTTCAAAGTTTGGAATTTTACTTCGAGCTTGCATTTGGTACCCGTGGTCAGAAAAGTGGACTGAAGGTACACATTGAACTGGGCTATAACATGCAAAATTTTCTCAAAATTAAAAGCATATTTCTCACTTGGGAAAATTTGTTTTTTAACGGGTTAATACAATACAGGCTGTATGCAAATTATATTACAATAATATTTTGGAATTTGTTCAACGTTATCCGCCTGTATCGTTTTTGCTTTGTATCGACAAGGGTTAATGATTAAAAATATTCTACTATTGTTACATCAGGTTGGCCACTGGTATTTGGTGACAGTTCGAATCGACCCGAAGATACACCCGAGTTCAGAGCAAGGGCCTCGACTGAAGGTCACATGACAATGCGATCCGACAATTCTAAGCACAGAGGTTTGCCAAATTCGTCTTCGAGGGGTAGTATTTGCGGCGTTACAAAAAAATAAAACACTATTTATTATCATTATTGCAAAAGCGCTTGTATGCATAATTATATAATAAAAATATTATTTGTCTGCCTATTGTGTCTTTTAAGGTGTGCAGTATCCATAAACTAGAGCATCAACAGATACATGGGTACTATAGCACCCAGTGACGTATGTCGGTTGAGGATACCCTGTGGTAAAATGAAAATAAATAACAACCAAATCAAAACGAATAACGTGTTGATTGAAATGAAAAGTTATTTTTTTTTATTCGATAATTTTTTAATAACGTTTGAATAATATTCGTAATCGAATAAAAAATGTACTTCAAAAATTATTAAAATATTATAATAAAATAATTAAGTACATAAATGATTTTTTTTTTAAAGTGAATTTATTATGATAACACAATTACCTAACTTAAAACGGAGAAATTTTAAAATCATAAATACAATTATTCGAGTACATTTATTTATTTTTTATTTTTAAATAATTTTATTTGTGGTTTAATCAAAACATATAATCCAGTAATATTTTTAAAATTTTAACTTAAAAATAAACTAAATTATTTCAGAAATATATAATTGTCGTGTGGGGTTTGATTATAATTTATAATGAAGTTCGTTCTTACATTGTTTTAAATGCAAACTGAAATATTTAAACGAAATTGTATACTGCATAATACCACTTGGAAGTTAATTTAAAAAAAAAAAAAGGTTTCTCACAGAAATTTAGATACATACAAAAAAATATATATTTGTATAATTCCGAAAGCTCATAGTTGAAAATATCTTTTATTTAAAATTTTTTTTTTTTAACCATGTGCTATAAATGTACTTAATACTACTTAAAAAATAAAAATAATTTTTATTTAAGTTTTGGTTTCATGAAAAAGGCTAATTAAAGAATTTGGAACATTGTGCATACAAAGATGTATAGCATGAGCAGATATAAATAATAAATATAATTGTTCCATATATGGAACATTATGCAGTGAAGGGTTAAACAAAATATCAGTATTTTTACTTGGAAAATAAAGTTTTAGCGATACAGTTAGGAAGTGCGATATCGAAAACTATTGGACGATTTACAGGCAAGTATCTTAAGTTACAGCTTGACGCATTCATATAGATTATGTTTCCGTCGGTTGTTACGCCATAACCTGCAACACAAATGTTCAAACGTAGTTTTTAGAAAAAAAATTCATTTTTAAAAAATACGAACTACAGACGTGGTTTTAGTAATTGCAAAATTGACCAAAAAAAAAAAAGGCGAGGGGTGTGAAGTAGCAAGGTCATTTGTAATTTCTTAAGAATTCATATTCGAGAGGTACTATACAAGGCAATTCATTAATGACAAGACAATTAAAAAAATATTGCAATTTTCTAGTTTGTCTTTTGGAAAATATTTTTGCTCAAGTTATTTTACAATATTATCATGAAATTACCAAATATATTTAACTTTTCTAGTATTTTCCAGAGCTCTATCGATTTTTGGAACCTAAATGGTAAATGTAAATATTTAATTAAATTTTTTTATTTAAAATTATTTGCTGAAAATGTCCACTGATCTAGAACCATTTTTTTTCCATTCTTGTACTATCAGGGCTTTAAGATCCTCTTGTACTATATTACAGCCACCTCTTCCTCGGTCAGCCTAGAGGTCTCGAGTGGAATCACACTATAGATCTTTTAAATATTTCTGGATTTTGGCATACCTTCGTGTACGTGACCGAAAACATGGTATTTTGGCTTTACCCGCTCTTGAACGGTAACCAAAAGATCTACACAACCCGCTCTAACGCCTGGCCAACAATGATCTCCATGGCCCAATGGCGGTGAATGTGTAACGAGAATATCGACACCTTCAGGTATTAGATTCCATTTGTCCAAGCACGGTCGACCACGGGGTAAGTTGAACGCACCTCCTCCATACTCTGGTTGCCTGCACAAAAATTGGATAGACTTAGCAAATTATTATCTTCTCACTATGAATTGTAGAGATTCTTATTTCACGTGCTACTAACGGGGATTGTCCCTTTTTGAGCAAAACGCCCACCCCCCCCCCTTGCTACGACTTACTACTTAGGGGAAGCTTTTCTTCGGGTTTTTTAAAGATGGTCCCTTTTTAATCCTCTAAACTTATCACCACGATATATTGAACGGTATTTTTTTTCCTTCTAACTGGACAGACTGTCTTTTGTTTTTCTGATAGCGTCACATTAAAACTACTACCTATAGCCACCCCCTAGTTAACACAGCAATTGTTTATTTTAATTTGGATTACATAAGCGTAGAGGAAGTAGTCGAATTTTGAACTAAAGGTTTAACGTCAAATGTTTTTTTTTTATTTCGTAAAGGTCTTCAAAAAATTATTTGAAAATAATGAATAATACAAAATATGCTTACGGCAGAACTGACCTTGAGAATTAAGGAAATTCAAATATATAATTATACTTAATTTTACGGCTCAATTTACAGGCCTATTTAGGGTCATTTCCAATAATTATTATGCATACAAAATAATAAAATCTATAGTGAACTCTTATTGACTAATATAATATTAGTACACCACATGATTGGACAACATTTTTTGTTTCGTTTTTTTTTTTTTAATAAATATAGTCACATACCATGGTGTTCCGTATATTTTCAGGCCAAAACGCTCGACCATAGAGTCTTCCAAGTAATCGCAATTGGTCAAAAATTGTTTGATGTTTTTAAGGTTGTTGACTTTTTCGATTTGATCTCGGTCAAACCTTAGCGCAGCGAAATCGTATGATTCCAGTCGTCTTGTGAACGTCGGATCGAAGCTGAGCTCGTGATTTCCGGCTATTACTATTTTGTGTTTATGGGGTAGAGTGCCCAGCCACTCGTTGAACTCCACCACTTCGTCCAGACTTCCGGAGTTAGTAAAATCCCCAGCATGAATGAATATATCACCAGAAGGCACATCGAATGGCATTATAGACGTCTTACAATGCGTGTCGCTCATACACACAACCCTGACCTTAGAAGAAAATGATTACAAAACATCTTGCCCAACGTTTCAGCTGTATTTTAGGATTTAGAGGATTTTTTGACGGATCCGAGGTTGGGCAGATTAATTTCCGCAAAACAGTCATAATTAATAGAGTAATTCAAACTCCTTTAGCTTCTATGAGGAACTGAGCAGGTGCTGTTTTTACAATATGTTCATGGTTATTTTTGTGTCTGGACCCACGATGTCTTCTAAACCACTGAACCGATTTCTTCGTGTAGCAACTAATGATGGGAAATAAATCCGGATTTACTTAAAATCCGTAAAATCCGGTTTTCGGTTTTCGAAGTTCAATGAAAAATATTCGGATTTTACGAAGAATCCGGGTTTAATGACAAATCCGGATTTCAAAATTTGAATTTCAGAAACCGTAACCTGGATTTAAATAAAAAGCCAAATTACCAATTTAAAAATTCATAAAGCCATTTTGTAATTACTAATTCAGCAGTACAAGATGACTAAATTGTTCAAATTAGTTGACTTTTAATCCTCTATGAAATGCTATTATCGGACTCCTTCAACTAAATTACCCTAAGTTATATGTTTCTAACGAACTTTAAGTTTCATATATGTAATCTAGTTTAAATACAAAGTAAGTATGCTGTATTTTTTTATTTTTCCTCATTTATTTATATATATATATATATATATATATATATATATATATATATATATATATGTGTTGTGTATTTTTCATATTATTACAACTTATTGTTCTAATCTATTATAAAAGTGTCATTGAGACTTGTAAATCGTGTTTATACATAATGTTCTTATAACTATAAAAACAGATACCTAATTTACCAATTAAATAATTAAATATTTTTGTGTACATAAACACGTTGTACATAATATTAAATAATTAACTAATATAATTTATTTATTATTGTAAAAAAATTGAAATCCAATCTACGGATTTATAATGAAAACTCCAAAATCCGGATTTATAATGATAACTTCGAAATCCGGATTTATAACGAAAACTTCGAAATCCGGATTTCGAAGTTCGAATACTACAACTCCGGATTTCGAATTTCGAAGTTTAAAACTCCGGTTTTTTGAACTTCGTAATATCCGGATTTTCCCATCACTAGTAGCAACTCTATCGATCAGAAATCGTAACCGAAAGGTACTTTATTGGACCAAAAATTTAAAAAGTCCACCCCTTCAAAATCTTGAAGAACACCCAAAAAATGTACACATTTTTCAACTTGAAATTACAGCACTTTTTAAAAAATATTCGAACTATTTTGAATTTAGTTGAATGAATAATTCAAATTTTTTAATTTATTCAGAATTTTTTTTCTTTCTAATAAATTTAAGTGAATCCATACCGAATTTATTCGACAATTTGAATATTCGCACACCCCTTGTGTGAAGATCCACCAGGAACTGCGTTGAATAAATCTATAAATCTTTTGAAAGACCAGAAGACCTGATCAGACGGACCGAATCCTCTGGAAAACTACTCATTTACAGGTGGATTTAGCCTGTTCAAAGATTGGGTTCTCAATTGTCGAGGGATTTTTATTTTTACATAAATGGGTAAAACCAGGGACTTGGTCTAAGGTACCGAATTTACATAAAGGCTTTACATATATTTAATGGGTGTAGTCTACAAACTTTGTCATCTTCCACTGGTCCGCCGGGAGTGAAGTTTTCAAGTTTGACGGATTTTTGTTTTTTTTTACATTTTCTCCATGCTTTTGACGGGCTCTCGGTCAGCGGATGAACGCTCAAACCAAATTCCGAAGCCTCAGTAAACTCAATTTTGCTATTAGCGTTTTCGCTGACGTTTGACACGTGACAAGCTAAAATGTATTACAGTAAAATCGAGGTAAGTACAAAATAAAATAATATCTCAACCAACTCGCTTAAGGGATTTCGATTTGCCAATCGGCTTCATTATTGTTATCATCTGGTTAACAGTCGAGTCAAGGCTAATATTTATAGATACATTTTAGTAGTTTAGTTTTGTGTAATGTTATTAATAATTGATAAAGTATTCAAGTGAAAGTTATTTGTCTATGAAGGGCGTAACGGGACTGTCCCATTTTGCCCCTAATAAATTGCATTTATTAAAAAATATTAAAATACTAAAATTTGTTAAGATTAAATCTACTTAAGTAGTTTATACAAAATAATTAAATTACTGGTTGTTATAATTAAGTAAATTAGGTACATGCAAGTTGAGAATTTTCTTAAAAAATTCAACATAATAGAAAGAGTTAAACACATAAGGTGTTGTACCCTTACCCTGGGTTTTCCTACACTAAAATATATACCTATAACATGTACTGGTTTTTTTTTTTTTAATATATGTATAGCATTTATTTTCGAGGTTAAATCATTTTCTGTCATATTATAACTATTTCTTTTGTTACAATATTTTCACAAGTAAATTTGGACACGAAAAAAGAAAATGGAAACATTTTTCTATTTAATATAAGCTATCGGTGAAAGATACTACACTTACAAACAGTGGTATAACTTGGAGTACATTTTAGAGGGGGGCAGGCAGTAGTAAAACTTAAAATGCCTCGATAAATTAATAAATCAAACATTTTTTATTTTACATTTGCAAAGATCAACAAAATCATTAAAAATTATACGTATATTACATATATTAATTTATTTTAACATAAGTCGTCGACCACGAATGGACGCGCCTTCTTTCAATTTTTTATTTCAGAAAAATTTTTAAATACTGTCTTGAGATTTTCAAGAACAAATATCTAGAATACCTAGATCTTCAATCCTACAGTTCCGACTTCCGACGAGTATTGCTGAATCATTTTAATGTTTTTATGTTTATCTTTTATAAACTATTATTCTAGTTATTATTTATAATATAATGGTCAATGCAGCGTCATGCTGTGTTTTTTTTGTCTATGATAAAATATAAATTTAATTATAACTTAAACGGAGGAGGGGGGACAAAACGGTACTATTGCCTCTTGATCAAATATCTGGAGGGACACTTGACCCCCTCCCCTCAGATTAGGTCTGTGCTTACAAATTTACTTACCAAATAACCGATGAAATTTCGCACACCAATTCGCGTCCGACCGGCTCATACTTTTGGGGTGCACAGTATAGTTTTTTTTTTATAAACTCATAAAACAATAAATTTTACATACTTCTAATATGGAATTTTTTTTCTATTAAAACTAAATCACTACGATCCGCGTGATGCACGCAGCATAACATAATGTTTACTACGCACAATCAACACGTATGAACGGACCCACCTAGCCTAAATAATAATACATAATGATGTAAACACAATATATATTAGGTACACCCACAAGAGGCCTTTTGCCGGCATCCAAATAAGTGTATACAATAACTGGTATTATTACTCATACATTACTATATTGTTTTACGCTTGTTGGGCTGTATAGTTGACTAGAGTTAATTGATATTTGAACTTTCTCACGAGAAAAACAACGTTGAGCAAACAGCCAGGAGAGGCGTAGGTAGGTAAACGGCATTGTATTATGTTTTAAGTACTTCACAAGAATAATAATGCTTGAATAAATTATTGTTGTTAAGTAAATAAAAAAATGGGAGTCCCACGACAAAAACCTAAAATTCACAGCCAACAATACATTGAAATAAAATAAAAACATCCTAAAAATGTATAAATATTTTTCAACTTGAAAACTACTAATTTTAAGATATAGGTATTGCCAAAAACTAATCGAATCGTTTACAAACTTCAATGATATATTCCTGGAATAATCTGCACTATCTGTAAACGGATAAATATTAGAAAATTAAAAAATTATCAACGATAATTAAGTCAATAAGTAATAAAATAATAAGTCAATTTGCTACTAAAGAAAACAAACAAGTTTATTAAATGGGCTTAACACTGGCGTTTACGCTTAAAGATTATATGAACAGTCAACAATAATGGATGTACCGAGTACTTACAGGACTTACTTTAAAAGGATTTTTTGGTACACTATCTGGACCAGACCATTGACAGGAATTAAAAAAAAATGTATATTCAAAATTTTATAAACAGAAAATTGTATACATGAAATACTAACAGAATTTACACATGGGAAACGCACGTTAGTCAAATCAAGATTTTCTGAAGAAAAAACTGAATTAAAATGGCTACTAAACAAATTAGTCTTTAACCTACAGAAACTGAAGATTGACCATTACTCATTACACTGGACATTCTGGTATCTTATAACAATTATCCAAAATAATTTTTTAGGGTTAGATTAAGCCTGCCTGATTTTTTTGAAAATAAACGTGTAAGGTTGAATATAACAATAAGAAATAAGTAAGTATATATTTTATGCGAGATTGTAGTTTGGGACAATATAGAAGAACAAGGTTGGATGTGATAAATTAACAAACTGGTTGTTTGTTTTTTAACATTTGTTTAGTGTTTAACCTGTATAAATCCGCTTCAGTCCAACTACAATTTAAAAAAAACTTAATGATTTTAAGTGTACATTTTATGACTACCAATTAAAAATCAATTAATCATTTCAAAAGTTTAACACGATAAATTTTAATTATATATATTATACAATAAAATATATTTATGAACGTTATTATTACAATGTTAATATTTCATACATTTTTAGGTATAAAGGTTAGTTTTAAAAAATAACATTTGTTTCTGATTTCAATTGACAAAAAAAAATATTGTACGCAACACCAACACGGTAAAAGAAATCGTCAAGTATACAACATTATAATTTGTTTTTCTATTCATACAATATTAAATATAATATATTATTTATATTTTGTACAAGTAGGTAACCTACTCGACGTTTGGACAATGTTGTTGTCCGATCAAATGCGTCTGTAGATAACAATCAATATTGACATTGTTTTATTGTTATTGACACAAAGAGATTGTTAAGTCTTACAAGTAGTACAAAAAAAAAAAAAGATTCGGCTGATACAACACATCGAGCAGTTATTTTTTGCACTATAAAATTTGATGTACCTAAACCCCGTGCACTCACATGAATAGAACATGTTACACGACACGTAACCGCCGTTTGACATGATGTGACTATGGGTCGTTTATCAGTTATCGGTAGGAACGGGTTGGTTAGATTTTTCTTAAAACAAAAGGGTAGGTTACATTTGAGAATAAATTATAATAAAAATATTTTACACATAAATTATATTTATACAACAAAATAGGGAAGTCGTCCAAGATAAAAATAAATACAAATTATGAATTAATCAAATTTTTAAGTTTCGTATATTGTTTATTTTGAGTTTGGTTATTTTGGTAAAAAAAAAAAAACAAAAACGACTACCTAAATATAATATTTAGTAATAAATCTTAATCACCGATTACGTCTGTGGTAACCATAATTATAGTTTTCTATCGCTAAGTGCCTTATGGTTAATTTATAATAATAAGAAAATAAATCTATAAATTATATGTAAAAGTTTTAAAAAGTAATATTCATATCTAATCAAATAGTTAAAAGAACAGAAAATTACTTAATATTACTTTTCTATATATATTTGAAATAATATAATATCGTAAATGTGTACATATATGTATATATATACATGTAACATATACAGTCCTAATGCTAAATTAAAAAAATAAAACAATAATATTAGACACATTTTATTTTAATACGTAACACACACGATTATTATTGTTTTTTTTTTTTAATTTATTTATTTATTATCATATCTCGAATGTAATTTAATTTAAACGTAAACTACACTATGTTATGATCTAAAGACATGGTAGAGCAATATCGTCAGGGTGGTGGGAGGGGTTGAACGCTTTGATTTACATGTGTTGCCAAGTGGTGGGTATCAGGTTGTGCGTGGAATCCAAATACCTCGAAATCTCTTCGTGCAACCCATGGCCCAACCAGAGTATTTGTAATTTGCGATACTGTTCTTTGCACAGGTACAACGGGTTTCCTCGCTTCAGCCCTTGATCGGTTTCGCCGTACTCGTCCAGATACGGCGGCGTGATAAAGCATCCTTTGTTCGGGCTGGCCAACAACAGGACTTCACATTCCCGAACTCGCAAGAAAATTCCCACACCGCAGCCACACGTGTAAGCGTGACTCGAACACGCACCCACCTAGAATGAAGAAGCAGTTTTTTTTTAAATTTAGGTAATATAATATAATACATATATTGTTATTATTTAGGGCTGTGCGATTGTTTTTTTTTTGTCTGGACAAAATACAATAAGTTTTTTATTAATAATAAATAAACCTGTTATCTATTATTGTTTATCGAGTTGCAAATAGTTTTATTCTTAAATAAAAAATGAATATTCAATTTAAATTTTGCCCAACATGGTTTTGAACTGATCGATCTCAGATCAATCAATTTATAATATTGCTAAGAACTTTAAGAAAAATTAATTAATCGTACAATTATTAGTTTTTCTAATAGTTGATTGATTGAAAAAATCACACTGCCCTAAATGGGTAACAAATCCAATTATCTCACCAAGAGACGTTTAAGTTCGGTTTGGCAACAGTAACTCTGTGAACAAAGCATCGCGCCACATACTAAGCACATAGTCGGATTTCTTGAGTCTTCGTGATCACTATTCGGGCACGTAAACATTGACACAGTGTTAATCAGCTCACTGTAATCGTCTGGTAGTTGAACCAACTCATTCACTTGTGTCCAATTTTTGAATGGTAATTTTTCACCGCGTCTGATCCTCAACAGTTTGTCGTTAGTTGCCCATTTGTCTATCAATGTCTCAACGTACGGTTTGTTCAATAGTTCATTACACGTAGTCGGAAGTCCTAGGTAACAACACATATTGTGGTAGGTATCGCCGTTGACTTCTGTCAAGACGCCGGAAGCTGGTATGCCAGTTAGGAAATGATAGAACAACGTGCAACATCGCAAAAAAGGTATTGAGCAAGTCTCCATCACATTCCAAAGTGCAACGGTATTCTTGATGTTAACACCCCGGAGTTTGTACACTAAGTTAGCTATGCAAGCAGTATCTTCAGATTCTTCTGGGTCCAATTCAAGCACATTGTCAGTTTCTTCTACAATTTCAATGGTTAAAATTATCTGCACCAAGTTGGCGATAAACATCAATAGGAGAGTGTGAAGGTCCAACATTGTCCCCCTCGGAGCTGGGCCTGGTACTTCTGTATAATATATACTCGGTAAAGTCATAGTTAACGACACCAACATGCCAAAAGCGTCCCAATCCAATATGCCGATTGTATTGCTGCCACCATTATCGATTGCTAATGACAACAATCGTAGGGCATGTAAATTTATTTCATGTTCTTTTTTCCATGTTGAGCTAAGTACGGCTGAAACACGAACCAACGCTTCTAAACAATCTCTTTGTCTACAGGATAATTCTCCCAAAAGAGGTTTATTCTTATAGCGAAGAATCACTTCGTTTGAGTGTATCGTGTAAGCACAGGCTTTCCACGTCATCAAGGGTATTTGGTTGTTATCAGGGTGTGGGTTCACGCCTGTGCCTTTGGAGTATGTACTGTGGGCGAACTTCAATATTGTGTCTACCAAACTGGTAGAGAGTTCACTATTTTTATAAACCGATACTTTGGGTACAGACGTTGGAGACGACTTGTCAAACATTAATATTTGCATAATAAAATCATGGGTTTCAATTGAAAATTTATTAGTTGGTGGTAAAACTTCTACTTCTTCGTCTTCTTCGTCCGGCTGAAATTCGGTATTATCTCGGATTACAATCACTTGGGCCAGGTTGTTGCCTGCCGTCAAATTGGCCGCACCGTGCTGCTGCAACAAAGCGTCCCTTCTCACTGGACTCCGCCGCTGTAACGGTTCTACTACTTCCGGTGTTGTCGGTCGCACAGATGTCGAACCCGGTCCTGTTACTTGTTTAACTTCTGAATTATCGGTGTTAGTTTTCGGCCTAGCTGCTTTACTTTGTTTTAACGCCATGTTTAGTCCTTCTAGCCAACTCTCAAATGTTAAACTCTCGAAGGTCCTCATATTTTCCGGTTCCGTGAAACTTGAAATTGGCGGTAATAATGGTATGACCGCATTACACAGACCTTCGCACAGTGGACATAAATATTCATTTTTGTGAACATCAAAACTTAACGAATGTCTCAACCTGTATGGTCTTCGGTTTTCTTTGGCTAAAATCATGTCAAAATGTTTTTGCCAACAAGCAACGTGCATGACATGTCCACACGTGGAAATATGAGGTGATGGACCAAAACTAGCCGGTATATAGTATGGGTCGGGTGTGTTGTCGCTGAAGGTTTCTGGACTGCATCTTACTTGACAGAGAACAGATGATTTTTGTACAAACGTAGCTAAAACCATCGCTTGGCTATCGTGCGTTACTATTTGTTCCTCTTGACATAATATGCACGTGTATCTATTGTCAAAAGTACTAGACGACGTTTGATAAGGCCCAAGAGCTACGGACAACTCTCCAATGTTTTCTAAAATGTCCATACTAGTGGAGTCCTGATGTGATTCTGAGTACGTAGGTGTGTTTTCAAATAATGTCGCATTGTCTTTCATGAAGTTATTCTGCATTTGTGCCATCTGGGCCATTACGGCCGCTCGTCGTTCGGCGGCTAATTTGGCTCTTTTTTGTTTTTCTATTTCAGCGTCTTCTGTTTTATCATCTTCCATTTCTTCTACTTCCACTGTTTTTTTACTTTTTCGTCTTGGGGCCGATACTTGCTTGAACTTGTTCAATGTCCATATAGCCAAATCTTTATAGGCTTCGACTCTAGGACTTTTTCTCAGTTCGTCCAGTGCCGCTTCTAAACCATAAGATTCAGAACGTTCTGTAAAATTAAAAGATGAACTTTGTTGTTTTTCTTCTTCATGAAGTGCATAGCCAATGAGATGAAGCACTTTATGAAGCTGAGATTCTGAGAAACTTCTACTTCTCAAATTTACTGTTCTGTCCAACAACAATTTAATAATATAAAACATAATATCACATTGCATTAAATTGGCAACATTCTTAAAAGCTTCGCTAAAAAGAGGTAAACTAGGGGGTGGACAGCATTCTAGTTCATTGGCTGCTTTTCTTCGCCTGCGCTGTTCTTCTTCTGATTTTGACATGTCTTCCCTCGAATAATGGTAGAAAAATACATTGTAGTCATCATAATAGTTTGGTTTCAATTCATAAACGCCTTTACCTCTAGTTTTTTTGAATACTGCGACCTCGTTGATAACTTTCTCTAAGCATTCTTCGTCATCTACAATATGAAGAAGCGTCTTATTCAATTCTGAATGTGGCATAGGTTCTACACAAAGTTGTTGTATTACCTCTTTTTTAATACAGTCATCAAAATTAACTTGGCCCACGCCCGGGGTATATCTTTCACCGACAATAGTTATTAAAAGTGTTAAAAATTCTTCTACTAAACTAATAGTTTGTCGAATAGATTCGTCTTCTGAGCCGTTCAATAAATTAAGTTCGAAATTTGGTTGTGCCCATTTCAGTAAATTGTATTTATTCAAAACGTGAATTAAAAATTCATTACTATCGATCAATGATGCACCCATTTGGAGTAACACAATATCTTTGTCTAACATTTCCATGCGACATTTGGCGTTGTGATAGAGGTATATTTGATTTAACAATGAATAACCGTTTCGTCTCCACATTCCCGCGTGTACTTGCGATATTAACACTTGAGCACGTAGAACAGGTTCAATTATTTGTTCAGGAGTTTGTCTGGCCGTTTGCAGTTCCGAATGATCGAAATTCAAACCGTAGCGATCCAAGTACAAATGTAGACCGGCGAGGAATCTGGATAATGGAAGGTGTATGGATACTGGCTCTGTCGACACATCGTAATCTATGCATGTTACCTTGCGATCGATTAGTTCTTTGACTGCAGTAGGTCTGTTGGGATCCAAAATTGGATTTTCCCAAATTTTCTTCAACGTCATCCTATAAACTTTTTTCAATACCAAACAATCTGATCCGCACCATAATAAGATTTTTGTTATCAACGGCCTTAACTTGATATGCAAATTGAATGCAGTCTCCCATTCCGGTTCATATTCCATATGTTGGCCGACTTGTCTGGTTACAGTGTCCATGTTTTGCATATAATTAAGTATCTTGAGTACCAGCGACACAGCATGACAGAAAGACACTCTTAACTCTGGATTCCACTTATCGGGCACGAAGCCTAATAAATATCGAATGTCTCCAAGAACATGTTGAGCTCTTTTAAACGGCATCGTAGAAGTGTTTCGTTCAAATTCTAATTTTCCTTGTTTGTTTACTTTGTGCGAACACTCCGAGAGAAATGTGTTCAACAACTGGTATAAGACATCGTGATGAGCCATTAAGTAATTAGCTAAAGTGGGAACAGTAAAAATCTGAACTCCCAACGAAGCGACGGAATAAGAATAATCGTGATCGTCGTTAATAAAATCTTTCATAATCGCTCCGTAGTTTTTGGTAAATACTTTGGCAAACTCTTTCTTATTTTCATATTCAATAAACATGCCAGCGATAAAAAGTTTATGCCAATGTAGTCTTGCAGATTTCCACAACGCAGTGTCTTTGCGTAAAATACTTTCCACTATACAACTTTCTGATGGACTTTGAGCAAGGACAACCTCTGTAAAAACGGCTCTTAAACGTTCTGAATATCCTAATAAATTTTGCATCCACGTCAGTAATCTAAGAGCGTATATTTGATGAGCAATCACGTGAGAATGGACAACAACAGTTTTCAACGGTTTGCCGCCGTGACGGGATGTGTATTTTTCAATTTCCTCTTTTAAGTCTTTACAATGGAGAAAACCAGCGCATTTAACAACAGCTCTTCCTTCTCGGTCAATAGATGTTACATAATCAATAGATTCTCGTTGTGGACATTTAATAAATCTGGAAAGAGTAGTTATTACTTGGTCAAAAGTATGAGTCTCATCATTATAGAGAACAGTACAGAAACTATCTTCTTGATTAACATATATGCTGTACAAATCATGACCCTTACCGTCGGTGTCTAATTCTGTGGGCAACATTGGAGGATGTTCTAACGTAAGAAGGGTACGAGCGTAGCGAAGGACAAAGCCGAACACCAATCGAGCTCTTTCTTCCATATCGTTTGTCAACACGTTCATATTGACATTTTTTTTCTCCAAACCAAGTTTATGAGTCTGACAGTAAGCGTCTTGTTTCCACGCTTCTATATCACCGCAGTCACAACACCCTCCGCCGTACGATGTACCCATTTTGTACTTGTGGTTTCTATGTGGGGAACGCTTGAAGCAATCAACACATAGTACACATGTACTATCCATTCCGCACTCACGGCAGTTATACGTCGGCTCACCCATTTTAAACACTCGACCACACACGGACGGTGGATAGTTTTGTTGAGTGAGACCTTGTAAAACTTCAATACTGTTTCCATTGCAAATGAATTCTTCGAGTGTATTGAATAATATTTCTTCAGTTTTCTGTTCATTAAAAGACCATTCTAACGAGCTGACATGTACTTCTGGCTTTAGTATGCGCGGTACCCAATACTTCCAGTAATTTCGGAAATCGGTCTCGACCAATGTATTTGATTGAAATTTGTCCAACCATTCGGGAACAATGTTGACATGTTTTTCTTGCTCCTTTGGATCAGCGCTTTCATCTACTTCCATCGGAGTATCTAACTCGCTCATTATGACATGGAGTTACCTACAAAAATACCGTTGAATTAATATAACATACCTGTTATTCAACATGGGTTAAGGTTTACAATAAACCATTTTAAAATTCAAATCTCACTCAAAATTTAATATTTTGTAACACGGTTTGCACAAAACTTATTTTAACTTAATACACATTATGTCGATGAAAAATGTATTTCGCGTTAATTTTATGCAGTTTCCTACATTAATATTTTTGAATACTAACTCATTAGAGTAGGAAAAATTAAAATAATAATTTTTTGTGCAAATATATATGATAACAACTTACTGCCTGAGTTAACGAAAAAATTAATTGAATATAGAATCACCAAAACTATTAGGTAATGGTCAATGTACATAACTCATGAATTGTTTTGACAAAGCATAAAAAACAAATAGATGGGCACCGTGTTGTTGATAAAACAAATTGTTAACACTCACAGATAAGTTAATAAGACTTAAGTAGGATCTTGATAAATCTTTTGTAAACATATATTATGTTAATCATATTATTAATTGTTTTTTTCCTTTCATGTGCATCCGTAGAGAACTGAACATTATGATTGATCGATTATGTAAATTTTATAATATAGTAAAAAAGACCTAAATTCTGAAAGTACAACTACAAAAAAGCAATAATGATATTTTCTTGAGGTTATACTGTATTTAGGTAAGTACTATGTTATGTAAAAAACTCCCACATAAAGTTGTTGATATGCGTTAAAGCGTGTTGTATAGTTAAATAATGTGTTTAGGAGGGTTTCTGTATCAGGAGCGGCCTTGGGACTTGTGATTTATTTTCAACCCTCTTCCCTCTCATGCCCTCATCAAACCCTAAACCTTATTCTAGGTTGTAAAAGGTAACTAACACCATCCCGGTTTATAGCGACATATAGCTAAAAGATATTTAAAATAATTTAAAACTTTCAGACATTGATTACTCAATTACATTATAACTTTATGTATCAAAAAGAAAAAAAAAATATTAAATTTTAATAAAAAAATGTATTTATAAAAAATGTTAAAACTCATGAATATGTTGTTTTGTTTGGCTATTGTTAACAAACTAATCACTTGTTGTTTCAATGATGTACAAAATCACAACACTAATACCATATCACAATAATTTTATGAACTTGGTAGTTTATCTTTTACAATAGACTCTTGAGATAATTATTAAAAAAACAAACCGTTACTTTATGGTCTAACGTAATCCCAATAAGTAAATGACGATTAATAAGAATCACATTAACGATAAATATACATAATGATACACTTGTCATGTTTTATTACTCAACTTCAACAGATTTATAAAATACTAATAACATAATATACTATATATAATTAATAAACATTAAGAATCCCGATATCTAGTGATTTTGTCACTTTCACGTCTTTCAAATCATTCAAGTTAAAATTATATAAATAATTGCATGTGGATTTTTATTTTATTCAAATTTCGAAATTTGTTTTTTTAGTTGGGTTTTCAACGATTTGATGGAAAAATTCCAATTTCATTCAATTTGTCTGATGTTATTTATGATGATATGACAAGACAATAAACTCCTTTCAAGTTTATAAAACTTTACGAAATACTCTACGGAAATAAATGATATTTTATTTACTACAGCATTTTTATCTGACTATATTAGCAAAATAGGAAAACGAGCACTTCAGAATAATAATAACACATATTATGATAAAAAGGACAATAGTTGCATTCCACATACCTTATTTAGAGTAGGTACTTCAATGATTATTTAAAACAATGTACCAGGTAGCATTTACGGCCTTGATCTTAGAGGAAATGATAAAAATCTATAATGGAGGCCAAAAAAGATAGTAAAAATAAAAATAATACCTTTTTTTGATATTTATATATATATTTTTTAATTGGAACAAAAATTACCTAATTGTTAATAACAGGAAAAAATAAGTGATTATTAAAAATGTGTAAAAAATAATAAGAATACCTAAGTAAAATATGCAATATTTCTATTTGTATAGTAGCCAGTCTACATTTATTTAGTTCTGTACAACAAAATAAATAAGTATTATTATTTTCATGCTATAGTAGTAAATAGTAGTTTATTTAATAGAAATAAAAAAATTATTAAAAAATAATTAGATAGTCCATTAATAGAATGAATGAAATGTAAGACACTTTTAAACAAGTCATACAAAAATGTATATTAAATTTAAACATTTATTCTATTAAATAAAATAAATATTAATTAGGATAGACAAAGATTAGTCGTAAATGACTTTCATCTTACACCTTAACAAAGAAAAATATTCTCTATGATTATTGGAATGCTTTATTCAATAAAATTGGAAAGTTTCCAATTTTTTTGGTTGTTATATTTATAAAAATCTTAATTTGAATGCAGTTTTTAATGGGATTTTGTTGAAAATAATTGTTCACAAAAGATAAAATGTATATTTTGTAGTTAATGAATGCATTTAGTTTATATTGTAATGATAAAACTGTTAAAAAATTAATTTATAGCTATTATACTAAGACAAATCATTACCCAAATTTGTAGCAAAACGAGTAGACTATGATACTTTTAAAATATATTGTACACCAAATTCATACATATGTTATGACATAAAAGTAATAATAGTAATATTTCTATATTTCAATAATTGTGTAACAAGGAAATCAATTAAATGACTACTATACCTATTAGATGATTCCATTATCTAATCATTACAGGAATTTGGTATTGACCGATTGATAAATACTGTCATTAGATTATATTTAGGATATCTAAAGAAAAATAGATATGATGCCGGCAATGTTTAAGGATTTGTTACTCAGTTATAAGTTACTCAGTAATGAAAAATTAGTATGACGAGAATGACTTTTAACGTGACCAAACATCCCCAACACCCACGTTAGCAATTTATATCTGATGAAATACTATAAAATGTATTATATTGACCAAAGCGAAACAACAGTTATTGTAAAAAAAGACAAGAGGCAAAAAATCAGACCTGGTAAAAGGATAATAATATGATAACATACCTATTGATGATCAATGTGCCTATTGTGAATGTTGTAATACTATAAACATTAAAATATTATTCCAAATAAACGAGCCACAGAAGTATATTCTGCTAAATGACCATTGCACCAACAATCCGATGCACTATCATCATCCACAGCAGCACTTTTGGGACAACAGTACAATACGTACAAACATATGTATCATACACTAACACTCACCACTCACACTCACACACACAAACACACATCTTTGGCGTATCGATAAAATAATAAGCAGCACCCAGCGATTTCAAAACACAGCCAATACTCACAATTTATCGGTTGTCGTTAAACTCTGTACAATATTCCCCGTGTCCACCGTGATATTTTGTACGACGCAACAAAGATCTAATAGTGAAACATCTACGTTTTCACTCATACGAGATATTTTCACTTTTACATTGGATTGAACTTTTTTTATTTGATAAAAATAGCAAGACTATTCGTGATCTCGAACAGCTGGCCCAGTCCCTTATGTGTGTATTGTATTGTTAATGTTTTTGTTATCAATGCATTTTACCAGAGCTAACTTCTTTGTCGTTAATACGGTTGGACCGCGGTAAGTGTCTCCGTCCAGGTTACCACAGGATAACAGCCCTGGTAACGACGACCATGGTCCATAGTCGACTTATCTCAGATGAATGTTGATAAAATTATGCCAAACAATAAAAACATAACAGTACAAAATACAAACATAGATTAAATATATTTAAATTTTAATCTATGATACAAATTACAAAAACATTACATTTTCACCGAAACACCGTAAGCAAATTTCCAAAAATAAGTTATTTCAAATGGCTCATCATTTCAAAGAGGAAGATATCGATGGTATGTCAGCAATATTATTTGTAATGCAGTATTCAGACAGGAAAACGTTTTAGTAATTTTCTCGTTTGTTGTCATACTTTTCTAGAGTTCAGAGAATGTTTTTACCTGTTCGCCAGAGAAGGTACCATCAACAAACTGGAAGAACTCAGCACTATTATGAGGTCTTTGGGAATGAGTCCAACAATTACAGAACTTAAGAAATATTTTTCTGAAAACAGTTGAGTAAACTCGGTACAAATAAATCTATCAAGGGCTGAAACACTTGTAGAACTTAAAAAGGAAAATGTTAACAATATTGGACAATATTTAAAACTGTAAAACATACATTGTTTGCCCCTGTTACTATCAAGCCCTGATTATTTGGTCGGACGGTAAAAATAAGAAAGGAAATTGAAAAACTATGGCCATATGTTTTTATAGGTGCCATATACTAGATTGAATACAACTTTATTCTATTATTTCATAAGCTGTTAATAGTCCAATTGTTTCAAGAAAATGTTTTATAGAACAAACAAAGTTTTGTGCAACTCATCATAAGTGTTCTTGTACAAATAAATGATATAAAGATATTTTTTTAAATAGGTTGAAAAAGATCTATTTTCTTTACTATTTACACTGAAAATGCTTACAAAATGTTGATTACAGGGGATCAATTCAGTTAAAAAAAATGTAAGAGTGAGCTTATTTTTCTAGTTTTTGTTGAAAACCGATATTTGGCCGTTTTTTATGACTAACAAATTAAGTTTTATAATTGAGAAATTTGTAATCTTAATTTTTTATTAGAAGTAAACATTACTTTTTTTTTAATGAAAATCAGTTCCAACAAAACCTAGTAATGAAGTCGACAGACTTTTTACTAATTGAAATCAGGCCGTCCAAAATAGTCAACATTTTGCAAAGTTTTTTTTAATTTAATATCATCACAAATCAATAGTAATTAATGTTAAAAATTCTTTTATTGGTTTTGGCATTTATATATGATTATTGAGTACATGCTGTTTTTGTTAACTCTGCATTTTTCCGTTTTTCAGATGGAAAATTACATTTTCCGGATTTTCTCAAAGTAATGCATAATCACTGTCGCGTCGAAAAATTACCTGATGAAATTTTAGCTGCATTTAAAGCTAACGATCGTTATCATAGTGGTACTATTTATGGGAAACATCTTAAACATTTATTACAAGGATGGGGAGAACGTTTAAGCAGTAGAGAAGGTTAGCTTTTTAAAAAATTGAATTGTTAACTAAACAAATATAATATAGATACCTAATACTATGTTATTGTGTTTTAGTTGAACAAATTTTTCGAGAAGCCAACGTCAACCCAAATGGTAAAATTAACTATGATGAATTCGTAAAAATTGCTTGTGCGCCTATTCCAGACTACTATTAGTTCAGTTACAAAATATGTGTTTCTTAAAGATGTAAGACGCCGTTGGTGCACAGGCGACATCTGCGACGGGCAAACTATTGAAACTATTAGAAACTAATACATTTTATCAGTTTCTATCACTAGTAATAGAAAGTAAATGGTGTTTGTATTGTAATTGGGCCTTTAAAATTGTGTTAATATGTATAACAATAATATAATAATAATTAGTTGAAATTTTGTTAATATTTATAAACCAATAAAATAGATTTATATTTTATTAATAAACAAAATATTATATTTTAATTAAAACATTATTTGTATGATTATGTACGACGCTGCAAAAAAAACTTCCTAATATAAGTTTTACTTTTTTTTTTTATATATGTTACTAATGTTTATCAAATAGACATTTTTTTTTCTTGTCTGTTAACTAGAAATTATTATGAGGAGTTTAAATTACATAGAAGTACATAACGTTAAACATATGAAAGCTGTATAAATTGGCAAAAGAAAAATTATCAGACAGAATCATCATTTGAAGATTTAAATAATTAATGCATACGTACATAAATCGAAATAGTATTATATAATTATATACGTACATAAAAAGCATTTTTTTACTAACCAACCTATTAATCACTTTTTTTTTTTTTGATATTTTATCTGTTACATAATGCGAACAACATTCAATTGACAGACACTAGGTATTACAACTCAAGCTTAATAGAGACCTTTAAGCCGGCGCGCCTCATACTTGTTTAACGACGCCTGAAAATTGACCTGAGTCACTATTGTACCCATTAAAATTTTCTTGATTAACAAACGAAAATAATATTGTAAAATATGTCTTTTTTGAAAGTCGAAACCAATGTTCCATTGTCTGCGGTCGACGATGCGTTTTTAGCTGAAAGTACAGAAGCTGTGGCAAGGTCGTTGAAAAAATCACCGTCTGTGAGTATTTGCTTCAACTGTCAGTTTATTGTGTGTGTTTGTGTTAACTTAAAAATGTGTTGATTATTATAATATTTATTATTAACAGGAAATTGCGGTATTTGTAAACGCGGATCAACCAATGATTGTGGCGGGTTCTGAACAACCGGCTGCCTTTGTGGTGCTTCAAAGTGTAGACGGGATAAATCCGATCGACAACAAGAATCATTCGGCTGCGTTGTTTCCGTTGATAAAAAAATATTTAAAAATCAACGACGACAGGTAAATCATCTGGGAAAAGTTCTCAGTCCAGGCACAATATAAAAATCAAATTCTAAAAATGACTGGACCTAATTGTTTTTAATAATATATTATAAGTATAATAATTAAAAATACCACAATTTTTAAATTTCATCTTTCAAAAGTTTCACCGAACCTTAAAGTGATCAGTTATAACAATTCTTAGGTAAGTATTTATAAATTAAGATGGTTATTATTTTTTACTTGCAAATACATAAACTCCTAATGTGTAAACAAAAAATATATCAATTTATAAAGAAACATTTTCCTAAAATCAAGATTTTTGCTTAGAGTAGTTCTAAATTAAGAATAATATTATCATATATTAAATACTACTAGTAATTAAATAGGTATAATAAATTTAATTTGTATCAAACATAATATACTAGTGTAAATATTTAAATCTATGTTGCTATGCACTTTCATTATAAACTTTTTTTGAAAATAAAAAGGTCAATTCTTATATTAAAAAAAAAATAAAACTAAGAACATCAAAAGTGAGTTTGACCGACTAAATCTGATTTCATTATCGTATTCAAAAAATAATTACATTTAGGAGTAGGTATAACAAAAATCAAAATTGTAAAAAAATAGTTTGTGATCACAACTGCATTTATGACAGATATTTTGCTTAAACAGGAAGACAAAGCGGATTAAAATAAAAATCTCAACAAATCAAAGTATTTGTTTTAACCTTTGACCGCCCTACAACTAACCATCGTACAACCTCTTACGCTTTACTAGCAGTTTATTTATTTTATAAGCATTAAAAAACCATTAACAAAATAGCCACTATGTTAATAAATAATATGTATATAATATTTGTAATAATTTTTTTCATCGTCATTTCAGAATTTCTATTGCTTTTACTGCGGTTGAACCGTTTCACGCTGGAGTCAATGGAAAAACCTTTATACAATAATAATTGTATGAACTCAAGCTGTGTAGATATGAATTTATCGATCAATGTTTATTTCAAAAATGTATAAGCCATTAAAAGAAAAATCGTCAATTTTATTACAATTTTAAATGTATCCTCTTGAAATCGATAATTTCGACATTATAAAAAAAAGTTTTAACTGTTTTTATGAAAAAATTGCATTTGCAATTGAAAACTTAATTTTTTTCGTTTTTTCATTTATTTTTTATTATCCTACAAACAAAAAATCGATAACGGGTCGTGAACGAGACATTCGATTCTGAAATACCTAGTTTATATTAGACATTAGTAATTAGTATAATGATAATTATTAATTAAATTACTTTTGACCGTTGCATTACCTTCATACAAACATCTGATTAAGCCATTCATAGGCCCTAAGCCCACGGACTGTCATGTTCTCTTAAAATAATTACAAGTTGTAGTTTTTCTAATAATAATAATTTGGCCAAGTGCTGCCCTTACTATAGTCCATAACCTCACTTCACTCCTACTTTCATGAGCAACACTATTTTTTTTATTGCTAACACAAACTTGGCCACAATGTAGATATCACCACTTTGATAGGCTGACTTTTTTTAAGAGGGGATTTAAAACTTTTTTTTATGCCCCATTCAGAAACTGGCCAAGTATTAAGCAATACAAATAAAAAAAACAATGTTACTCATGAAAGTAGGATTGAAGTGGGGTTATGGACTAAAGAAAGATCAGAATGGCCACAATGTAAATATCACTACAGCCCTAAACCACTATTTACAACCCTTATTATGTGATTAGGATCTGGATGGAATGAAAAAGATATTTTTCAATATTTACAATTTGTTTATTTTGTTAACTTCTATGCCTTGTATACATTTTCCCATATAAGGCTCATGATGTAAATTGTATGGATTGTATTCCTTTGTTAAAATGTTATAAATTGTTATGAAAAACATGGGCATGTCTCATTTTCACATTATGTAAAATTAAGAAACCAAAAATCTTACACTTACAATAAAAAAAACCAAGCATAGTTTAAACCTGTACAGTCCAAACCAAGTACAGTGCTTTTAATTATTTTTATATTTTTTTTTTAAACATATTCATAACTGTAATTATTTTTCTTTTAGGATGCACTCTCAAAAATTAGACTAAAATTTGTTTTAGTAAAATACTGTTTTAATATAATTCTTTTAAAAATAGTTACAGTCTACTTAAATCCTAACGGCTAAAATGATAAAACATAGGACATGCTTTAGCCTGCTGGCTCCTGAATAGTGATTGTTTCTGATCTATAATCTTGCGATTTATGATGATAGTAGGTATAGTCTTAGTTAGGTACCTATATTATATTCTAGCCAAACGTTTGCATGACGGCGACGACTAATGTCCCATGCTAAAAAACAATCGAGAAACAAGAAAATCACAAATTTGTGGAACTTATTGTGTCTAAGTTTATAAAATAATAGTTAAAGCAACGGACGCAATATACTGGTTTATAATTTTGTATTTAAATTTTAAATTCAAAGCTAAAGTAATGAACTAGATTATTTTGTCGAAAAATGTTTTATTTATTTTAATTAAAAACAAAAACTTTAATTAATTATTAGTACGTATGTACAATTTTTCATTCTGGTTCAAATACACGTTCGCTTTTGCCACCTCTTATTGATATTAATTTGTATTATAATGATACTTATAATTAGCTCGAGAATAATTTTAAAGAACATACAACAATTTTTACTAAACTAATATTTTAGTCACTGTTTCTGGTGTAGAAGTTGGCAACGTAGTCACAAAAATTCGTTTTGCTTGTCCGTACCAGGAAGTCTTTGATAATACCCCAATCGAGTACGTAGAGCCTGGTTTTAAGTCGGTTAACTGGAAAACATTTTTCGAGTTAGCAAAAGTAAACATCAAGTATAAAATAAATTTAAATCAAAGAAATTATTAAATATTTTATTGGTTTGAATGAAATCCGTAAGTAACAAAAAAATATATATAACCTTTAAATTAAAAGTAACTATAATATCCAAAACTTCATTTATAAAAACGAAGGTCCCATTACATATGAGTATCAGTACAAAATATAAATAAATAGCAGATGAGGAAAGAGTAATGTAATTTTATAGTTGAACTACAATTTACATTTTAAACTACTAATTGTAATCCAATAAGATGTCGATTTTATTTTTCTTTATTTAGAAATAAACGAAATTTCACATAACAAATTTACCATGCAGTTATAAGATGGAATTTCTTTGGATTACATTGATCTCAATATTGGAAAGAGTGACACAACAAGTTTTTAGACATGGAAAGTCTAAAGTCTTACTCAACTCCATGAAACGGTGTTTTATTTGGATTTTTTTTATCTATGACCTTCTAGCCCCACATAATATATTTAGCTTCAATATTGACTTTCACGGTATAATCAAATTTATTTATGGATACACCTACTTAACTCTGCCATTCTGATTATAATTTTATTGTTTTAGTCATTAGCTCATAACTTTATGACAATTAATTATCAAAATATCTACTATTATTTAGAACGAAATTAGTGGAAAATTGTTAGAAAGAATTTTGAAGTTTTGGCGTCTTACCGTGCAGTTATAAGTTGGAATCTCGTGCGTTACATTTATGTATACAGCAGGAAGGCTGGCACAACAGGTTTCCATGTCTAAAGCTGTAATTTCTTCAGTGTTCACAATGAACGATTTTAGAACGCCGTTTAAAATCCACGGAATGTCCCATTCCAATGTGATGTTGTTTGAGCCGATAAGTGTGGCTCTTAAGTTACCAGGCTCGTCTGAAACTAATGAGTATCCGTATTAAAAACGGCATGTCTCAAATGAAATATCAAAAAATACCTATTAGAATATTATGACTAGGAAATACCTACATCCATCTATGAAGTTACAGCTCACAGACGCTGGCAACCCTCCTTCTGGATAATCATGTGATTTGGCTCTAATCTTAATTCGGAAATATCAAAATGCAATATTATTTTATTGAAACACCAGAAAACAAAATTTAAGATTATAAACGATACCTTGAAAGTGTATTGGTCCTTTGGCATTAAATTTGAAATGGTCGCGCAGTAATAATTTGGCCAACCCGTACATTTGTCTTTGTCGGCTCGAATTTCCTTTAAAGTTGATGGAATTGCGTCTTTGGTGATCGTGATTATAAAACCTTGAACCTCAGTGTTGTCTTGGTATCTCCAACGAAGAGATATTGTTCTTTGTTTTGAATCTTTTTTGTAAACAGTTAAATCGTCTACGGCTGCTAAAACTAAAAGTAAGTGTGCATTAATAACTGTACAAACTAAAACTATAGCAAAGAATTACTATCACTTTCTTATACGTTTTACTTACATTTGGATTTGGTTATGAACGGTATGAACAGCATGCAGTCTGGATTAAAACCATTGTTGGTTTTAATATAAACCCGAATCTCGTAATTTGTGTCCGGATTAAGGTCGACGTACTCGACCGTACTCTTCTTTGTGTGGTTCAAACTTTGTGTACCGTCTTTTAAATTCTACAACGAAATATAGCCATTTAAAATACCAAACAAATTATCATGCTCTAGTGTATAGTTTAACGGTAGTTGTTTTTGCACGGCTAAAAAATGTATACGTGCCTTCAGCACTAAATGATATCCCGAAAAAAATCCGTTAAGCTTAATGCATTCATTTTTATCGAACGTCCAACTAATCGTCGCCGTTTGATTTGTCAGATACAAAGGATGATTTTCGTCCATGACGGGTGCTAAACTCGGTACTGTAATGTAAGGAGGACACAGTTTAGGTAGATTTGTATCCCAATTAAACACCACAATGATATGAATCTAGTGTTTACTCGAAGATGGTGTTACAATGAAAATTGAATTCTCGTATGATTCTGTACCGGATGTGCTGGACTCGACGTTTATTATATACTGTGTGTTCGGTATTAGGTCCAATATGTCGTATTCCATTCGATCGTAAACGTTAACACTCGTCCAATTACTTTCGACAACGTGCCGAGAACAACTGAGATATCTGTTTACCTTTAGAATTTTTAGTTTATATTAATAATCAGGTATGCCATTGTGCAGAGATGGGCGAAATGGATTACAATCCGTAATCGAGTACAAAGGGATTAGGTACCCTAATCGTAGTCAGGGATTCATAAAAAAAAATTGGGTTACATTTATTTCAGTAATTTACTGGTTAATCCAGTATGGATTACGGATTATTAAAATTAGAAATGTAAAATATTAAACTGATTGTGGTATGGCATGCTATTTTTCAGATTATAGAGGTAAACAATTATAATAAACTGGTAATAATAAGTTTGTTGCAATAATAACAAAATTAATTGATCTTACAAAATTTAACAAAATCATTAACCCTGTAATCCTGGATTAATTGTTAATTCATAATCCATATTGGTTTATTTGTAATCCATCGATCGGACGTATTGGAATAACTGATTATTTTTAATACAAGCAATCCTGGATTACATTGATTAATTAAAAAATAATCCTGCGATCCGGGATTAATAATCCTGCCCATCTCTGTTGTTGTGTAAGTTATGTAGTGACTATAGAGTTTGTATAAAAGCCCATTTTGTAGAACCAATTTCAAGGAACCCGTTTAATGTGATTTTAAATGTGTTGACAGAAAACACATTTTGCGTTGTTTATCTATGCGTTTCATTAGATTAAAACTAAATAATATAGAATCGAATGAATGTGTCAACATTTTCTTGGATTGAAATATTCTGCGGATGATTATGTTTGCATGTGCAATTTTCATTCATACTGAAAATATAGCTGCTTCTATTGTTTGACATTGAACGGTTGGTTTAACATAACTAAAATATTACAATTATAAATACAAATATTACGTTACTCTGTATTTAATGACGTAAGTCAATGGTACTCTCATTAAAGGATCAACTAGTTCCCAAGTCAACCGAATACTTTTATTGACATTGTCTATTTGGCCATTGATATTTCTCAGCGAAACGACGCCTGCATAAATAAACATGAATTTATTTTCTCGGTTATACATAATACACGTATATTATCATATTATAATCTGATATTTATTTTGCATAAAAAAAAAATTGATCCAACTTTTGATAATTGTTTTGTAAAATAAACTGTTTACCATGTGGCTTAGTGACGATTTGATTCACTTCTATCAACTGAGTTAACGAGTTAGCTGAATGCGCTTTTATTTGGACAGTGTAAAGATACCCAGGTATCAGATTCGTGAAATTAAAACTATTCGAATCTCCATTTATTTTGTTTTCAGACACCACACTTTGATTCAACATTAACGTTAATTGGTAGTAGTCGATTTTGCATTCGTTTTCACTTCTCAAATGTTGCTTATAAATTGTACATTTTAATTTAATATTCAATAACCCTAATTTAATTCTAAATTATAAATAGTGAAAATAGTGCACAAAACTAGACTAGTTTTATAGTAAACTAGATTGGCTCGTAGAAAGGTCAATTATTATATTTTAATAACGACAATATATGACTAAATTTACCTTTTTCCAAGTAGCGGTAATAGTATATGGATCATCATTGGATAATTTCAGCTCATATGTAATGTTGTTAGATTCTAAATAATATAGTTGTACTGATGTGATTTTCAACTATATTTTTTTCTAAGATTTAATATTATTATGCATAAAATATAGTCTTTGTTACCGTCACACGTTGTACTGTACTGAGCTTTTATAACATCTTCTTCATTAAAATTTCCGTCTTTTGAAATAAATATAGCACCAACTGTATAAGTGGTCGCCACTTTTAATCCATCGATGACTTCCGTGATTTTCGTTTGATATAAATCTCTCAATTTAACGTTTTTTATATCTGTATATTGAAAATCTGTTTCATTCAAGTGAGACTTAAATAAAGAAAAAAGTTAATTAGATTTTTATTTTATTTAAAAAGTGTGTTTTTAACTATTGAGAATATTTACATAATAAAATGTATTTATTAAAAAATTATTCTACCATTGAATATCACTTAGTTATTTAGTTGCCGTCACAACCGGTCTTAAAAAAATACCTTATACATTATTTGGTAGTACATAGCGTCGTTACTGTAGTATGTTTTCAATCCATTAATATTGCTACGAGATAAGTCTAGACTCAAAACCATAGAATGTGTATCAGAAGACACTAATTTGGGAGCAACATTAAACCATGGATACTCTGAAAAAACGTGTGATCGTAATATTACTGATATTTTTAAGCGTTAGTAAACAATTTAAATACTTTCTAAACAGTTAGGCATCATAAAGCCATTTTCACATCCTTTAGTACAAACGCCCGAGAATATATTACACTGGTCAGAAATGCAATTTTCAGAACACTTTTGCTTACAGCCAAACCCATAATATCCTGATAGACATTCTGAAACATGACATTTCTGTGTTACCCAATGTTGTACTTTAAAAGTCAAGCTGTTAAATATAATATCGTGTATGCTACCATCTTCACATAGTTTTCCTGAGTATCCAGTGGAACACTGACAGTTGAAATCTTTAGTACACATTATCATTCCTTTGCAAAATTCTGTCTTCATTGAACACAACCCGAAACAATCGTCGCCGTATTTATTTGGACCACACGCTTGTAACATATTATGTACAATATTACAAAGTTATTAATTATTATTAGGGCAAAATTGATTTTTATTAATTTACCATATGTGCAATTATCTCCTTTAAAACCAGGTGGGCAAACACAGTCGTAATTTCTATATAATCCCCCATTACTACAGGTTTCTGTTTTCGACATCATTTCAACGTCGTAGCGATTACTAAAATATTCTATAAAAGTTAATTGAATTACTAAATATTATAGTTAACGTTTTAAATATGGTCTACTGTAAAAATTTTATGGTGTACTGTAAATAGGTAGATTAAAAACCATTGTCATATACAATAAATTATATTTATATAATATTGTAATACATATTTTACTTCTTTAAAAACCTCCACGTAGCTTTGCATAACCTAATAGGGTATCCCATATCGCTAAATTGTCTTAGGCTATTTTATGCGAGACCTGAACGAAAAATGTTATGCTCAGAACTATGTAGATGATTGGACTATAGTGGCGTGATGGGTATGTTTCCAGAATTGTTATGCCTGAAAACCATTTTGAACTTGCCTTAGAAATGCCTAAATACTGTGTACGGTGGTACAATAAGTACGGTCTAGTTGTAAGCCCAAGCAAATCTAAGGTAATTATATTCACAAGAGAAATATTAGGAATTGACAATACTAAAATCCTTTAAAACTTAGCGAACAAGATTTAGTTTCAAGTCAGAAATAAAATACTCAAATGTTATTCTAGACAAGAAACTAATTCAGCAAATACAAGTTCATAATAGTCGAAGAAAGGAACATCACCATCCTTACCGATAGTCAAGCAGCTCTAAAAGCAGTGAGCATGATCTTAAGTGATTTCAAAGATGGTCTTTGAATGCTCAACAACTTAGAAACCCGTGGCGAGGAATAAAAAGAGGAATAAGTAAAGCTGGCGTAGTATTAAGATACTGCGGAGTACCGGAAGTAGGTAAGAAAAATCTGATTTCCTAAAAAAGGAGTTAAAACAACTTACATCGGTCCAGAACCAGTGGCAGAACTCTCAGAACAAACTCTAAAGATACTACAAAAAAAAACTGAAGCATAAAAAAATATGAAAGCGTCTAGTGATGTCTAGACAATCGAAGATTTTTATGAAACATCTTGGTATATTACTGGAGGATCTTAAAAATACAAACAGAAACCAAATGAGTACATTGGTTGAACTATTAACAGGTCGCTGACTTATGCTTAAACAATTACATACATAGGGGATTACAGAATCACCATTAGGTAGGAATATTAGAGAAGCGAAGTAAACGTCACACCCTTTACTTTCTAACTGTGGCTCCTTAGAGGGAATTTATCTTTGGCAAACCTTTTCCCAGAAAGAACAAAATCAAATAAATAGGTTTAAAAAGATGCTGAAATTAACAAGGGCCTCAGGACTCTTAAATACACATAGCTATTAGACTCAGTAAAAAATTAGCGAGATAAGGCTAATTGGAAATAGGACTTCGGTAAGAAGATGCGCAGAATAGATTTCCTTTCTAGTGCCCACTCCATAACAAGCTAATGAAAACCCTACGAATGGACATTTTTTCAAGAAAATTACTTTTTTCCGATATTTTGTATTATAGAATTAAAAGTTAAGTAGCTGTATATAGTATTAGTTTTATTTAAACAATGTACTTTACCAAAAGCTGCGTAAACCTTGACTTCTGATGGAAATTTTTGCAACGGAAAAACAGAATACACCTCTTCATAATCTGCACATAAAAGTATAACTATTATAAATGGCAAGGGCACAACCATTTAATTTTGTTAAAAATTAAAGTTTTTATCTAAACAAATATTGCCTTTTCAATTTTTTTAAATCCGGTTTATTACATTTGAAAAGGGCTTACCGTTTGATTCGGGACATTGTGCTATTCTCTTCAATCCAATACAATTTTCTTTATTATAATTAGTGTATAAATTCAATCGCAATTCGTATTCTACATTTTTCCAAAATGATTCATTTAAACGTAAAACTAATGTTTGTAAATTCTCCTGAAAATGTAATACAGTGGAATAGTATTATAGTGATAATTTATGTGTTTATTAATTTCTTAAAATTATAAAAAAAATTTACGATTGAAATTGCACTTTAATTTCAATTTGAACTTAAAATACAAGAAACCGACTAGGTAATAGACAAATTCTGTTCGAATGCATTATGTAGGTAGTTTTAAAATAAAATGTATTATTACATCAATACAACAAACTAGTTTTTAACTAGGTATCTAGTCAGATTTCTGAAGAGTGAGGATGACCTGAACGGGTTGAACGTTTAAACATTTATATTTTATTTCTTCTTCTTCGCCTTCGCCTTACACTCCCAACTACATTGGGTCGGCCACCCTAATCCTACACCTCCATAGAGCTCGATCTCCTACATCTCGTTTAATCACCCCAGCTATCCCCATATCACTCTCTATTCCACCTACCCATCTTTTCTTCGTCCTTCCTCATCATCTCTTTCCCTCTACATTCATATTCATAACACCTCTCACTGCTTTCTTGTCTACTGCCCAACATTCCAACCCATATAACGTTGCTAAGAACTTGAACCTAACAACCTCACACACATCATCATCACCCATCTGCATTACCTGTCTTACCCTATAACTTTTTCCAAAATCAAGCGCTTCCCTCCACTCTTCAAGTCTCTCACCCAATTTTTCCGGACTTTCACACACTAAAACTACATCATACACCATCATGTACATTTACATTTGATTTAATATTACAATTTAACTCACCGTCTGTACAAAAGTATGTGAAGCAATTGGATTCGAATCATTTTTTCTAATAATATCCATTGTCATTGAACAGGAATTTATGTCTTTTAACACGTAAGATATTGATACACATCCTTGAACCATATGATTTGATGTCCAGTTTATGTTGAATGACTCAGAGTTAACATTACGAAGTGTTAAATATTCGTAATCAGTTCTCAACGAGGAAGACATAATATGCTGCGCCATTTGTGTATGGTTGTATTCGTAGGAGTGCCGACCGTACACTATAATTTTGAATATCTATATTCAGTGGTGCAATTAGGAAGAGACTACCTGACACCTCTTTATGTCGTTTGAACTCTGAACCGTTGAATCGCTTATTGAAATAAGGAAATAGGCTCACCATTTTTTACTTGAATGTTTTTTTGGTGGCAAATTATTTTGTAGAGTGAGACATTGTAATACGTTTGTACCTACATATATATACTAAACAACGCTCTGAAGCCTATAGCAATATATCATTTGTTAATTTTAGACTCCTCAAAATATCTCAACAAACTCATGTGGACCATATTTTGTAACATTACGGTGAGATTCCTTCCCCTTCCCCAAAGACTGTGAAGCTTAATGCACCACAGGTCACTGTACAGAGAATACCCCACAAAGATATACACTCGCTGTACAATTATATCTTAAGATTATAATTATGTTTTTAATTTTTTTTAAATAAATAAATATTTATTTAAATACAAATATTCATTTTCTTTAGTAATTAAAAAAAAAATAGTAAAGATGTTTATAAAGAAAACCTTTCCAATTTTTAGCTAACAAAAAGTATTTTTGGATAACCATTCGAAGCCCGATTCGCTGTGATTATAGGCAAAGTGAATTTATAAATCTACCTTGGTTACAAGAAATTAGTAAATCATGTAAAAACTATCAATTAGGTAAAACTGGTTAAATTCGCTAATCAAATGTTATATTACCAAAGTATACAGTTTTATACATTATGTATTTACTTGAAAGTATAGTTAAAACAACTATTATTTATTTGTCAATTGATAACAGTTTAAACGAATTGACAATGTCAGCTGAGCATAAAAAACATCCAAATGGGTAGATGTCAATATTATGTGATTAATAAAAAAAAACATTGTAAAACATTGAAACATCTATTATTACTTATCAGTTATCACTTACCATCGTCATAGACCATTTCAATTTCCCCACGGACATACTCCCAATTGGACATTTTGTCATTACCTACATACATGAAGTAAGAATGGTCATTGGCAATAAACTCGAGATTTCTATTTCCCAACTTCAAAATTGCTCCATCGTATGTTATTGGTAAACCAATAGCATTTTTTCTTAAATGAATTTTGACTTCATAACAAATATCATTCCAAAAACCTTGAAAATATACATAACAAAAAAATCTAAATAATTAGATGGTTTTTATTATCAAATAATCAAAAATAATTTCTACGTTTTTTTATTTGTTGGTTAAATTTTGGTAAGTTTTATATTGCGTTTCTTACTTTCATTTTTGTAATGGTGATTATAAAAATCTGGGTAACTCCTATCTCTTGGATTATCTAGAAAAAAGAAAGACATTCATTTTAATAAAACCCACCTTCAATATTTCATAAAATATCGACTGTATTTGGTAAAAGTGAAATAATTGTAAATTATCTATTTTGAAATTGTTGTATTTATAAATAAAATTAAACTTAGTAAATCTAAATTGAATTACTTACGGCAATAATATCTCGCTTCCGATATTTTCCTTAACTTGGCAATCACTGTAATGTCATAATGAGTATCTAAACAATTATATAATCATACTTTGTAATGAGTTTTGTAAAAATGTTGGTTAATTGTTTATACGTAATATATTTAAATATTTACTACATCGACCACAAAATAGTATTAAGTTTTATTACATTATGAAAATAAATACTTGATTTATGAGATTTTAGGTCTGAATTTAAAATATCCGCAGAAGAATAACTAGAAACTATTATAACTAAAAATACAACAATGTTTTTGGTACTTAATTTCATCATACCGTTTTATGTGTTTATTCGAATGAAATGAATAAACTACTAATGTATAATATATGCTATGTTTAGCTTAAAATTACTACAAAAACAATGTTGTGGAGTTTTCGTTTGCTTTTATTCTGTACTTTGTACAGAACCTACTATTAATATAATCCTATTTAGAACCATTACCATTCGATTAGATTAGTTTCCACTAGCACTTGTTTTCCTAAAATTACATCACAACAATAATATATTATTCTGTACAGGGTGATCAATTAAACGTAAGAAATTCTTTTTCTCTTAAATGGCACTTTTGTAGGTTTTTTTTTTTTTGGAGGCCCTTATCAGTTAAAATTTCAGCTAATTATTTTTACTTATAGTTAATTTAGTGTATAGGTTACCATTTAAATTTCAAAAGTTGATAAAGCTCTGGAAAATACAAAAAAAAGGTAAGTATTTAGTAATTTTTTAATATTGTAAAATAGCATAAACAAAAATGTTTTCAAGAAGAAAAACTATAAAGTCTAATTATTTTTTGAGAAAAAGAGCATTTTTCCATAAAATTTAGTAGTATAGTTATAAGTAATATTATTGAGTAATTTTAACTCAATGGTAATCTCTCTGTTCAACTGAACTCGATTATAACTGTTAGCATTTTACCTAAAAGATAGTTTGTTGGGCCATGATTTAAAAAAAAATCATCCATTTGTCCTTCCTCTTAAAAATCGAGAAAAGCACCAAAAAAATGTACATATTTTTCAACTTAGAATTACAATGCTTTAAAACTTTTTTAAAAACTGTTAAATAGTTGAGTTAGTTTCATATTCGTATGGAATATTTTTAAACATAGTACCAACGATAAACATTGTCAAATCACAAAAATAACATAAAGCCTTTCCTTTTAAAGGGATAGACATTTTTTCTTTATTTCACTTTTTATGCAAAGTTTTAGTGATTGATGTTTTTTGGTTGTGCTTAAATGGTTAAAGCCGATGATTGGAACCAAAACAAATCTTTGCCAATTACCATTTTTGTTTAAACACAAAACTATTAAATTAAAAAACGATAAGAAACATAGCGCACTGCTGTTGATCGGATTTGTTTTTTGATTAATAACATATTATTATTAGTCGTTGACCTTTGTTGTTGTTGACGTCAGCTGCACTCTAAACAAGTTTTTTTTTTATTTTTTATTTTATTTATAGTAATTTACACCAAACGGCTTTTTATAAATTAGACAATAATATATATATATATATATATATATATGTAGTGATATTTAAAATACACAAATCAACCAAAAGAAAACGAAACAAAGCAAAACAAAACAACAAAAAATATACATAATAAAAAGGTAATATTGAGAGGTGTGGCCTTAACAAGAATAATATAAATCATAAATAGTTAAAAATTCCCATCATACGAATGAGAGGTACATTTTTAGTGAAATTGGATCTGGTAGTAGGAAGATAAAAGAACTTTTTAAGTCTGGTGTATAATATTTTTTTTTTGCAAAATTCATTTTTTTTTTCTTGCTTATCATACATCTCCTTAACTTTTTACTGGCCTGATGATACATTTTTTTAATAATTAAAAAAAAATCGTTTTGTCTACAATAGTTTTCGGATACATTATTGAGGCGCTACTCGAGTAAATTGGTCCAGTGAAAAAAAAAGTTAACAGACACAAATAACACACATCATTGTAGATTAAATACCTTTTTAGCTACGAGTCGAAGCCAAAACATCAGCAATTCATATTGAAGTATACAATAAAAGATTATTTCAATTAGACCATAAAAAACATATATTTAGTAAAATATAGATAGTTCGTCTAACTGAACGAATTTAATGTACATATTGTATTATTAAATTAGATTATTGTAAGGTTTCATCGAGTGATAAATCATCTCATAGAGCCATCTCCGTCGTGGTTGAAATTTCTCGTGTAGAGTTTGCCAACGTTGTCACGAAAATTCGATTGGCTTGTCCATACCACGAGGTCTTCGACAAAACACCGATCGAGTATGTGGAACCGGATTTTAGGTTGGTTAACTGAAATATATGAATTCAAATTACTTTTGCAATACAACGTTTAAGCTATGCTTTTTACTGAACTGGCAACAAAAGATATGCCAACGTTTAAGATTGACATTGGTTCGAGTAGTTTAGTTGTAGACTTTTAGTGTAAATAGCTATTGCTGCTATTGTTTATTAACAGTATCAGGTGTATTTCCAGAACACGGTAAATTTCAACAGTTAAACGTTTCAAAAGATGAACTTACAGTGCAGTTGTAAGTCGGTATTTCTTGTGTTACATTTATTTCTACATCGGGAAGACTGGCACAACAAGTTTCCATGTCTAAAGCTGTAATTTCTTCCATGTTCACAATGAACGATTTCAGAACACCGTTGAAAATCCACGGAATGTCCCATTCCAATGTGATGTTATTTGAGCCTACACGAGTAGCTCTTAGGTTACCGGGCTCGTCTGAAACTGAAAATTATTCATAAGAAAAGTGACTAATTGATTGGCGCAACTTTAAGAACTTGACTTTGGAAATAGTTGCGAATAACACTTACACCCATCTATAAAGTTGCAGCTGACTGAAGCTGGCAGACCTCCTTCGGGGTAGTCTTCCGACACAGCTTTCACCTTTAATACAAAATATGATATCCAAATAAAATACAACTAATAATAATTCAATAAATAATTATAAAAAAAATCAAGAATCAAATTATACCATAAAAGTATACTGGTCTTTAGGCATCAAACTTGATACGGTCGTACAGTAAAAGTTCGGCCAACCTGTACATTTTTCTTTATTTGCGCGGATTTCCTTGAAAGTAGTTAAAACGTTGTCTTTAGTTATTGTGATCATAAAGCCTTGCACGTCAGCGTCTTCGGGGTATCCCCAACGGAGCGATACTGCTCTGTGTCTAGAATCTTTTTTGTAAACAGTTAAATCGTCTACTGGCGATAAAACTGAAAAAGAAAATGTGTTTTGGATACAAAATATTATCTTTAATAATAAAAAAAAGGCATAAAATTAATTTTTTTACAAGTATGTAATGTTCCTATTAGTGTTGTAATTTGGATTCGAATAGTCGGATTCGAATACCTAATTTTTAAAGATTCGAATATTCGAATAGTTGAAAAAAAAATATTTGTAAATTAATTATTATTACTATTTGAATATTCGAAGGATTCGAATCCCGAATATTCGAATATTTCCCATCACTAGTTCCTATACCGTCAAGTAGCTGAGCAAATAAATGTTAAATTCGGGAAAACCCTAAACAGAGTTATTCTATGATTTATCCGACTTTAACATTTATTTTCTCAGAAACGTGCTAGGACAATAATTGAAGACCTTGAGGCAACAACAAGACATGTCCTTTTTTAAAAACATTTTTTTTTTTCAAAACGTTTTAAATTCTAAAAAAAAAAATTTTTAGAATATTTTGAAAAAAAATGTTTGGGTTTTAAAACATTTTGAAAAAAAAAAAAATTTAAAAAAAGGGCATGTCTTGTTGTTGCCCCAAGGTCTTCAATTGAAAAGGCAGATTTGGATTTCTCGTAAAAAAACTATCGGACAAGGTAGGTTTCATCCTTTGGATCAAACTCACCCTAAATTTCGTCAAACCGTGTCATTGAACATTAATAATATGCGTTGATATCATTGTTACATGGCCGTTAGCTAATTTTGTTACGCATTAATTTACAATCTGTTTGGATCATCTTACATTTCGATTTCGTTTTAAACGGTACCGATAGCATATAATTTGGATCGAATCCATTGTTGGTTGTAATGTAAATTTGAATTTCGTAATTTGTGTCTGGATCGAGGTCAACGTATTCCACTGTATTCTTTTTGGTGTCGTTTACCGTTTCCGTATCATAATTTAAATTCTAAATAAAATATTAGTAAATTCCAACGGTTAATTGTTTTATTTTTTTAATAGGGTGCGAAAAATTGTGGATACACGCCTTCAGTATTAAATGGTATCCGGAAAAAAATCCGTTGAGTTTAGTGCAATCGTTTTTATCGAAATTCCACTTGAACTTTGCAGTTTGATTAGTCACGTATATAGATTGGTTTTCGTTCATGACAGGCGCTAAGTTTGGTGCTGTAAAACAGTGGCCATCTCGTTACAATATTAAATAATTAAACTGTAATATACGTTTCGTGCAACTCTTTTTTTTTTTTTACTCGAAAGTGGCGTCTTAACGAAAATAGTATTCTCCTGAGATTCCGAATTAATACTGGGCTCGACGTTTACTATATATTGTGTGTTAGGTACCAAGTCCAAGATTTCGTATTCAAATCGATTGTATACGTTAACAATTGTCCAGTTGCTTTCCACGATACGGCGAGAACAACTGAAATATCTGTTGGCCTATTAATATAGTACGTAAATTAAAATATATTATGTAAAAGTGTCAAATACTTGCATTTATTCGATGGTTAAATAAATGAAATCACTTCTAAACAATCATTTTCAGGCATTGTCTTAACTATTTTAGAATTTAAAGTCTAATAACCGCCATTAGTACTAATAGTTATGGACCCAAATAGAATGGGAGTTCTATCGAAGCTTCCGGAAATAGAATGAAAAAACATATATTTTAAACAGCTGTACCTTGTACTTAATAGTGTAGGCCAACGGTGCTTTCATGTTTGAATCGACCAGTTCCCATTTCAAACGGATGCTTTTGTTAAAATCGTCTACTTTGCCTACGATATTTGTTAACATAATGTCACCTGCATTGTTAAATTTTAAATAAATAAAACTTTATATAAATTATAATATTGTTTAAATCCCAATAAAAGGCTATTAAAAACATTTTTTTTTATAAAAAAATGATATTAAGTTGTGGTTATAATACTTTTTAAATGCATAATTATTATCATCATATAATAACGTTTTAATTATTTATTTATAACATAATAAATGTAGGTCTGTAAATCAATAACATATTTACCATGAGGTTTAGTGCTCATGTGAGCCATTTCTTTTGACTCAATTAAGCCTAAAGCTGTGTGTGCTTTAATTTGAACAGTGTATAAATAACCTGGTATTAATTTTGTGAAATTATAAACGTTTGAATCTATTCCTAATTTGTTTTCAGACACAGTTTTGTCGTTTAAAAATAGAGTTAAATTGTAGTAGTTAATTTTGCATTCGTTTTCGCTTCGTCGGTTATGCTGTTTAATCAAACGCAATTAATTAATATTATTAATATATTTATTAATTAGTATAATAAAAAATTACCTTTTTCCAAGTTGCGCTTATCGAGTTGAGTTCGTTATTGGACAATTTCAGTTCATAGCTTATGTTCTTAGGCTCTAAATAATATAAACGAATTTTTGGTTAATGTTCAACATAGGTAGTACTAATTGGTCGTCTAAATGTAACACACCTTCACAAGTCGTTGCATAAAGAGACGTTTTTATTTCTTCGTTGAAATTACCGTCTTCCGAAATCAATACCGCACCTACTATGTATAACGTACCGAGTTTCAACCCATCTATGATTTCTGTTATATTTTTCTCCTTTCTCATATTTTTCATATCTGTATATTGAAATTCTGATTCACTCGAATCAGCCTTATATGAAATAGTAAATATAAAAAAAATGTTTACCATATTTAACAACATATTTGTTATATATACTCCAAAAGCCGTTTGAGTAGCGACTATTATATTTAAATTGTTTTTTTTTTGGCAGGGCTTAAATGTAATTGTTGTAGTGTTGTCTGGATGGATCCAAAAATATAAAAGAAAAATGAGAAAAAATAATTATAAGTCTATTTGTTTTCATAATATGTAATAATTTTTAACAACAATCTGAATAAATATGTAGATATGTCTTAATTATATGTATTTCTATGGGCTTTATTTGTTTTGCTAAGAAAATAATTTTATGAAATTACTGCACACCCTTACATATCTTAATAAAATTCGCAGATCAATTAATTTAAAATATACTATCAAACTCAAAATTAAAATTTTTTAAAAAATATTTCTGTATTAACTAAGAAATATTCGTTTACTAAATAGTTTATTCATAATGGTAATTCAATATTTGTTTATTTCTCTACTCCTCTCCCCTAACAAATCCTAAAAACATTATCATGCTTCTAAATATTATTATCTAGTTTAGCTCAAAATCTCGAACAACCTTTTTAATACTATATTTGTGAATGCTCGTAGAAAACAACAAGTACTATAAAATATGTAATGCTTATAAAAAAAAAATTATATTCGACATTTATAAATCGTTAAAATTAAAAAAAAATACCTTATACATTATTTGGTAGTATGTAGGTTTTTTCTCTCGTCCCCCACCAATATTGTCTTGAGATAAGTCTAAATTCAAAGTCATAGAGTCCATGTCAGATGATATTAATTTAGGAGCCGTCAATAGCCATGGGTATCCTGAAAACAAATAACAACAACCCATACCACTAGTATTTCATGCAAATTGTTGCAAAAACTTGTGTAAATATAATGTCAATTACTTTCTATGCAATTGGGCATTATATAACCATTTTTGCATCCTTTAGTACAAGTACCAGTGAATATATTACATTCACCAGAAAGACAATTTTCGGAACACGTTTGCTTACAGCCGAATCCATAATAACCCCGAGGACATTCTAAAATAATGGCATATTAATTGTTTGTATGTACTTTTAGAATAAAATCACCTAATCATAATATTACCGTATTCACAAAATTCTCCGGTGTATCCAGTAGAGCATTCGCATTTGAAAAAGTCAGTACACATTATCATTCCTTTGCACTCCTCTTCCTTCGTTGAACACATCCCGGAACAGTCTTTACCGTATTTATTCGGTCCACATGCTTAATTATGTAAAAATTATGAAAATAAAAATGTCATTAATTTATAGTAAATACAATTTCTCATTTATTTACCTTTTGTGCAATTGTCTCCTCTAAAGCCAGGTGGACAGGCGCATTTATTATTTACATATATGCCTCCATTATTACATGTTTGTTCTGTGGCCGCGTGAAAATTAAGGTTTGTTCGACCTTCTACAAAAATGTATTCCTTAATATTATTCTATTGTTGTAAAAAGTAATTCAAATTATTGATATAATTTACACTGAGCTTTGTTCAAGTAAATCAATAAAAGCTGCTTAATCTCATTAAAAGTGCGATTTAAAGAAAATTTCTTTATGCAAAGCATGTTTCAGAATATTATAATGCAATTATTGTTGTTAGGGCTGGTTTTTTATTTGATAAGTCAGACTTGCTCTAAAACATGTGTCTAGGGATTTTTAATTCGGTCACTGCTCAGCTCGATTATTCAACACAAATTTAATAGTTATGGGTACAATCTTGAGTATATATTGTACATTATATCATACAATATATACTCAATAGTACAATGTATATTATTTTTATATACTGTGCTATACCAAAAGGATAAATTCCTGGTTGTGATGGAACCGTTTTCATAGGAATACCAGTATACACTTCTTCGTATTCTGCATAAAAGTAAAAAAAAATAATTAATATTTGTTAATTGTATACATAATTTTATTTCGTCTAAATAAAACTAAATGGAGATTGTTTATGAATGTACATTTCAAAACCAAAAATTTGGTGTTCCTTATTTTTGGAAAAGTACTTGTCATTATAACCATTCTTATTAGTGTTTGGTTAATCTTGCTTTATTTTTTTATAAGAACACCAATACATTATTACTTATAGAAAAATTAATTTAAAACAACTCTTGCTCTATACTTTTCTTGATAAATATAATATTTTCTTAGCTAATTGATTATGTAGTCCAAAAGTAACTTACAGCTAACTCGACGGCCAACATGTTAAAAATAAACTAAATTACACTATGTTATAGTATAATATACTATATTATATAAGTATTACTATGCTGTAGTAGTAATGTAGTATACTTGTTACTTATAAATAGGCTTAAAACTTGTTGTTATACATATTGAAACCACTTAAAGGAGTTAGATTGAAAAAAAAGTAGAAGAAAATACCCATTTACGGCTAAAGGCCAACCTAGATTATTTACCATTTGGTTTGAGGCATTGGACTATTCTCTTTAATCCAATACATTTATCTACTTGGAAACTGTTATGAATATGAAGTCGCAATTCGTATTCCACATTCTTCCAAAATGTTTCGTTTGTACGAAATACTAAAGTTTTTAAATTTTCCTGAAAAATTAATTAGTATGTGTACACTGTGCAATATAACATATCCTATCTAATTAGAGCTAATATATGTTTAATTAGATTAGTAAACTTAATATTAAATATAAATTTACATTAATTTAGTTCACTAAATTAATCTAGTTTTCATTTATTGTATGCTTCAATGTTACTTTAAATATCTTTTTTACCTCGGAATCGAGATCGGTAATGGAAGATATTTAAAAAAAAAATGAAAATAAAATTATTATCTAACAGAAAAAAAAAATACTATTGTTAGAGATTCAGTTCTATGTATTACATGATAAAACAAATGCCACATAAATAACACAGTGCTATAAAACTACCCTGTTGTATTAGAACCATTAATTTAAAATGTAGAAAATGTTGTTTAAATCTAATTAAAATAAATATAAATTTAATCACACTTACGTTTGTTTGTTCTAATGAATAAGAAACTACCACACTTAAATCATCTTTATCAATAATTTCTAATGACATTGTACAGTAATAAATATTTTTTAGCACGTATGATACTGATATGCATACTTGAGTCGTGTGGCTGGATTTCCAGTTTATACTTAATATCTCATCGCCTGTATTTGTAATTGATGCAAATGTGTAAGGAGTACCTAAAAATTATAATATGTAGATACTAAAACTATAAGATATATACTAACAAACCATACTAAAACTAGCGGTGTTATGTATCAAGGTCTGATTACAATTTATAGAATGTCCCTAACAAAATAATGGTATATTTAATGAGTTCTGTTCAAAAGTTTCAAAATATCACTTATCTCTAAATTAAAAATCACAATTTTAGCTCCAATGTGGCGCTGAGAAGGTTTTGGTTTTAAAATTAAGTTATTATTTTATTTTTATTTTTAATACATCTTTATGTTTCGATCAACGGTAAACTTTACCCGTGGGCCCGAATTCTTTATGTGTCTTCTTTATAGTGTAGAATTATACCTGTGATGCTCATTATATAATGTATGGCTATGTTGTATACTTGATATTTTAGAGAACATAACAGAAACATGTAAACACACATAAAAAAGTATTATTCTTATAAATAAAGTAAAGTTTTGTTAAACTATAATAATATATATATAGATAATATGATAAATTATATAAAAATAGACCCCTTAAGTCCTCTCCTATTAATGCCTCTAGACTACTGTTTAAACTTGACAAAAAAAAAATTAACATTGCTGTAAAATGTGAATAACAATTCTTTCTAAGAAACCTACGTATTTAAAACTTAAATAGTTGAACATTTTTAGTTATTAATACAGCTATTACTGTTTATTACTTGACAATGAACTGGGCCCAATGTCTTCATCATACTCGCTGTCAGAAATTTGACTATGGTCCATTAACCAATAATATTTTCTGTCATCTTTTATGTATTTGTACATATTTTCATTACTTCCGTCTGCAATAAACTCGAAATCTTTGTTTCTAAAGTTCAACACTTCTCCGTCGTATGCAATTGGCATACCAATAGCATTCTTTCCCAATTTAATTTCAACTTCATACTGATTGATATGGGGACGACAACTGACAAAAAGGCCTTAAAAAAGTTATAATATATTAAATAATATTGAATATTTGAATATTGAATAAAATGTTTTTTAGTTATGTCTAAATTATTTATAATAAGAATTTTGGACGTTGTCATTTAAAAATATCAAAAAATGTATAAAACATTTCTAAGTACTTTTAATCAATTTGATTTACTGCAAATTTAACAACAAATAATGAAAGTTTAGCATTATTGTAGTATTAATCATATCTAAACGGTTAACTTAATTATTTGTAATTTTATTTATGAATGCATAAACATATTTTGTAGTTTTATATGTATAAATACTTACCATCAATTACGTGACAGTTTGTATCGTTGGTTTTCTTTAACTTGTAAATAGCAGTGATATCATAATTATTACCTATATAATAAAATAAAAACATATGTATTGTTATAAATTGGTTGACGTTTGTATAATGTATGTAAAGTTATGTATTATTAGCTTCGATGCGGAGTAGAGAAGGTATTGTATTAACAATGATGTGTTTTATTTTTAGTTTTGTGTCTTTAAACGATCTATCTTTTAAACCGCTAAACTGATTTCTTTCAGTTCTAGCAACTCTATAGATCGAACATTTTATCTAATAGGTACTTTAATGTGGCTAAAAATTAAAAAATTCACCTTTGCTCCTTTCAAATTGAGATAAACATAAAAAATGTACATATTTAAGGAAGATCTAGAATGGAACTATAATATATACAATATTCTCAAAAATTTGTAGTAATAAAGGGGAAAACTACACTTGGTTTTTTTAGTTTATCTCAAACTATAAAACTTATTTCTCTAACCCATTTTATTTCTTTTATATCCCTTACTTGTTTCAATAAACCAAAATTCATTACATATTTATAGTATAAACTATACACCAAATTTGTTTTACGGAAAACGTTTTTAACAAAAAATATTAATGCTGTATTAGAAAGAGGGTTCAATGGACGAATAAAAAGTATATCTGCACCATAGTTGAAACATATATGAAATTTCTCTTAGAGTATTTGAATCAATAAAAATAATAAATTAATTACAGGATCTTCTTAAAATAAAATAAATGTTCCTATTAATACCCCGACATTTGTTTAGAATCTGCACCAAAAAAATCATTATCATATATTTGTATATAATAATAATAATAATATTTCTTTATTACGGAAATAAATTCCAGTTACAAAATAACTTTTTTTTTTCATACATATAAAGGTTCATTATCAGTAATTTAAATGTAATAAAATGTACAATTATATGTATAATTATAGGCTGAATCTCCTTGCTAAGTAATTTTTCTAAAAAACTGTAAAAAAAAAAAATTAAATTAAGACTAATTACATTTCTAGAAGATAACAAACTTTTATCTAAAAAATCAATTTGGTTTTTGACCTGGTATAGGCACAGAAAAAGCAATGAACTAGATAACAGTAACAAAGTGATAGCCGTTTTCTTAGATTTAGCTAAAGGTTTTTATACAGGAACCATAATACGAATACTACCTTGTTTTTGAATAAGTAATAATAGTCTTATTTAATTTAAAGGTTACTTATTAAAAAGGAAACAAATGGTTAGAATAAATTATGTTATAGGCAAAAGCGCTTCATTAATTATGGCGTTCCCAAAGGCAATGTTCTGGCACCCATTTTGTTTATTTTGTACACAAATTCGATTTGTAGCATTAAAATTACAAAGACTTATATGTACCACCAGTAAAGTCCCATAACAAAAAAGTGACTACTATGTTTACATTCAAACGTTTTATCAATGGTAATAAAAGTATTTTTTTTTTTTTTTAATAAAAGAGAAAATATAATATAAAATATTTCAGTAAAATAAATAATAATAATAATATATTACTAACTAATTGTATTATTATAATTTATTATGAAAAAAAATAATACCTGACGTGTGTGATTTCAACTCTGAACTCAAAATAGCCGCAGAAGAAGTGCCAAAATATATTGTTAAAATTGCAAATACGACGATTAAAAAACTTAAAAAAATCATTTTACTGTTTTATGAATACAAATATTGTTAGCTACTAGTCCATATGCTGTGTCTAATTAGACAACAGTACTGAGAAATAACTGTTTTATGTAGAGTTTTAACTTGACTTGGTACTGTACTTTGTAATAGTAATTATCTAAATATAGCGTTCAGGTATATTATGCTATTAAATTATCTACTTATGATTAGTTTTCTTTGGTGCTATACAGCGTGATTGGGGCTATCTAGAACAATTATTTCACTCTTGGTTCTAATAATTGTAGTATAGGGTTTTTGTCATAAAAAGACCTGAGTTTCCAAAACAAATTCCATTAAACATTTCACCCCCCTTTCTCCTTGATTACATATCATAAGGAAAAACTACATTATTATTATTGCAGGTACCTATACTTCATAACTGGTTGTATAAAATATTAGTTATTATTCCAACAGTAATTATTTTTTGTGTAACACGATATTGTATTTAAAAAAAAACAATCGTTTATATGGGTTGCTAATTAAAAATCATGTTATATATTATGTAATATAATTAATTTAAAACGGGTTGTTACAATTATAATAGTTTTACAAAAATGTTAGAAATCACCTTAATAATATGTCAGAAATTCTTAAATAAAGAAAAGAATTCTAGGATAACTTTGGTAAGCACTCGGTACACCAACACGTGATGTTTTCGTATACTAATAAGTAATAACAAAAGCGTGATACATTTTACTGTTAAATATAATAAACTGCAGCCTATTTTAAAGCAATATTTGATGTAGGTATTTCTGTAAAAAACAGAACCATTAAAAGTTATCAGAGTAAAAAAAAAACAGTAGATACAACAAAAGTGTAGTACAGTATAATTCAATCATATTCAGACAGTTTAAACCAGCACATCAATTATGAAAAAAAAAAATATAAAATATTTATAGTATAAATAGATCAACATCAGTACAAACCAAACGCAATGTAAACTAGCACAGTAAGCAATTTTACAAAGCTAGCAATTTTGTTGAATCTGAAAGCGATTTCATCTCAATTAAAAGTTTCTATATATGAACTGTTCAGGATATTATAATAGTTCAGTACAGTATGAAGTTAGATATCCTTATAGTTTATATATTTGCATTAAATCGTGTGACATTATAGCGTTATTTGATTTATTGTGTTTTCCCAATTAAAAAGAATATGACGACAGTTTTTCGACTTTGTTAGTTTCAATGCAAATAAATAGCATTTTTGATACAATTTGTTTCATTTATTTCTGTGTATTAAACAGAAATCGTGCCCAGGAGGTACTTTAAATAGCCGAAAATAGAAAAAGTTTACTCATTCCTTTAAAAATTTGATAACCCACTATCAATCTCTTTTTCTGTCTTCCTATACCTCCTGGTCTTTTTCTATCACTGCCCTTTTCTTGAATGTTATCTTAATGCATTTGGAATTGGGAGTCGACTGAATATATTTTTACTCGCCATCTCGAATAAATTCCATGGTACGCATAAAAAAATGTTAAATTAACCATAGAATATGTCAATATCGATGGTCTAAGCGCAGCAGTGCCTTTTTCGCACAAGACATAAGTTTGATAATTAACTCACAATAACCACAATAGCCAATTAGTTGGGAAATATGATACATTACGTATAATGTCTATTTAAATAGCATTTAAAATAAGAAAAAAAATAAGCTATCGGTCTGGGTTCTGCTTTGTCTTGGTTTCTGCTAGACTCTATTAACTTGATTATAGCTTCCAACGTTTTGTTATATTTTGTTTGAATTTCAAAAATATCTGAATGTCTAATTTATCATTTAAAAACGATTTTTAAAAATTATTATCACTTTTCTAAAATATTGCCTATGTAGTTTGTGGAAAGTGAATGGACCAAGGGGAGAAACTCGAGGCGTGCCAGCCACTTTATACTGAGCTGCCGTTTAACGCCGATAACTCCATTCGGGGACGCCACAAGTCATGGGAAGACTTGATAGAATTGATTTCTTCTATTCATTGATCGATTATCAAGAAAAATCTGTGTTAATATATGTATAACATAAGATCTAAGTTTCACATCAATCGCGTGTCCCATTACACACAGAGTTTTTTTATTAAGTTATTCTCACCGGAAAATTTCTGGAAAAAACACATTTTATTTGTTCTGCATTAGTTTTAGTCAGGAAGGTAATGTGTGATCTGTCATCGGATTACTTTAATAAGACATAAAAAAAAAAAAGCAAAATGAAATGAATAATCATTGAATTGAATTTAATGAATATAATAAAATATAAATATAAATGAAGTATAATAGATTATGTATAAGTATATTATATTCTGTGGTCAATTGAATATTACATTCAAATACAATTTTATATTGTTAAGTGTAAATACATTTTAATGGAAATTAAATTGTTTGCAACTTATTACATTTAAACAGTTTATTCATAACATATTTTTCAAACATAAATAATTCGTGTAACACATAAAAAATTATACCTTTAAACAAGTAATATCAATACGCAAGGTATGAATTAAATAGTCATAATTACAATGTGTATTATTTTATAATTGAAATATTAATTTTTAAATTGCTTGAAGATGAATTACGGACAGCATTCTGTAGTTAAAAAGTATGAAATTATAACACAAACAAATATTAGTTATATACAAATTATAGTAATTACTCACAGCTCAATATCACCTGCAGCACCCGGCTGAAAATATCGTATCAATAGGATTTAAATGCTTTTAGCTACTTTTTCCTTTAATTTTTTTTTTAAATAAATGATAAAATTTCATAAAAGTACAAGCATTTTAATATACTCACACGAAATCAATGAAATTAAAACAAAATATTTGTAACAATGAATTATTTAATTTGATTGAAGTAAAATAAGTTTAGTATACTTACGTACATCTTGACATTGTAAACACCCTAAAATTAAAACAAATGTTTTTTTAACATTATTTAATAAAAAATAATTACATTCGATAAAAGTACAATAATTTTAGTATACTCACAATCATCAACATCTGAAATTAAATAAAATGTTTTTTAAAAATATTATAAAAGTTAAAATATTATAATCTAATCTAAGAAAAACATGTTTAAGTAATGCTAAAAAATTTTTTAAAATGTTAAAGAAGTACTTAAAACTTTTAAAAAAATGTATATTTTTGTTTATAATCGTGCTGAAAAATAAAGAACAGATTCGTTTTGTATCAAAACGATTTTTATAACAAAAAATTGTCATTTTTAAAAAGTGACTTTGCTGGTTCTTTCCCTGTACCCTATAAATAATGAAATTTTATAAAAGTAAAACAAGTTGGGTGTACTCACCTGCACAACCTGAAATAAAAACAAAAGTTTTTTTAAAATAATTTTTAATAATAAATGATGAAACTTGATAAAAGTAAAATAAGTTTAGTGTACTCACAGCTACATCCTAAAATAAAAATAAAACTTTTTAAAGAAAACAATTTTAAAATGTGTATGTTTTAATAATAAATGATTAAATTTAATAACAGTATAATAAATTTAATATACTCACCCCAAACTGAAAATAAAACAAATGTTTTTTTTTAAAAATAATTTTTAATAATAAATGATTAAATTAGTAATAAATACTAATACAAGTTTAGTATACTCACGACTTTCACAATCTGAAATTAAGATATATTTCTTTAAATTATTTTTAAAAATGAAAAATAATATAAAGTATGATGAAGTCTTAATATATATATATAATGGCGACGGAAAGACGACCCGTCCCGGACAGCGAATTCGTCTATAAACCATTATCTCATGATGGCAGCGTTGTGTCTTAAAGGGGCCGTTAAGCTTGATGATGATGATACATACATAACAATTTTAAATAATTTGTATTACTTATACCGAGTGATTGGTTAGGTTAGGTTAGGTCAACCAATAACTTAGTATATATTAGGCGTTTTAAATTATTTTTTTTTTATACTCTTATAGTTATTAGTTGGGACAAATTTAAGACCATTTAAAAAAATATATAAGCCAATTCCTTTTATCTTAAAACCGTATGAACTTAGGGTTTTTACATGGTAAAGTATTTAATTGTTTAACTTTTTGAATAAAAATTAATTTGCTGAACATTTTGACTGGTCGATAACCAATTTTTGGATAATAATTTTCAACGTTATTAAAGTTTAAAATTTAGGACAAAAAGAATGGTGAAGAGTAGAGATATTTTTATCTGCGCCCATTACCCAAGCGCACTTCTACTCCCGTTGTAACTTTAAAACTTAAATAACTTTGAAATGAATAATCCAAAACTGGTTATCGACTAGACAAAATGTTCAGCAAATTATTTAAAAAGTTAATCAAAATACCTGACACAGTAACGTATAATTTATTGTAAAAAATGCGAAATTCGCCAAAATTATTTTTTACTTATCTACGTAAACGTATACATACCTCCACGTGCTAGAAAATAATAAATTCATAACAGTTAAAGACTTTAATGTCAGACATAGTAGCGTAAATTATTATTTACTTATCTACGGAAAGGTATACATACCGACAGTTGTTGTTTCTAGAAAATAATATTCAATCAATTAAATTTTGGACACAGTAACGTATAACACTATAAAAATGCTAAAAGTTCACCTAATTCTTATTAACCTATGTAAGTAAATATATAAACTTAAAGTTATAATAATTAAAAAAAAAACGGAAAGTATTGGTCTAAAATGTGCAAAAATAAATTATATTTTTTTAAATCGGAATGTCATTTCAACTATTTATAAAACGGATCTTAAATGACCTTCTACTAACTTACTACAATGTCTACAACTTCCTAATACAGTTAAAATATGATAATTTATTTAACTTTTACTTGTGGTCAACGGTCAGGCAACATCAGAAGTTCCATTTGGAAGTCAAGATATAGATATTAACCGGTATAAGGTAGATGGACTGGTGGCCAATGACAAAGAAATTTCAGTAGTTAATGGAAACCAAAAAGTAATAGTCAAATACTGTACAAAAGGAGGAATCACAGTGAATGGTCAACCACTAAATATTATTTTTGTGATTTTTTATTTAAATGGAGAATAAACTGATGCAATAGTAAACGATGTATTATTAAGTGATAAGAATATGATTGTATGAAGTCATGTGAATAACTGGGAGGAGGTTGGAACGGAATAGTAGATTTTATAAAAATAGATACTCCCTGTGAGCTGTATTATCTGTATGATTGCATTTTAATTAGGAATGTAAAATTGGAATATTCACTAAATGCGTTTCAGTTATGAGTGCAATATATAATGGTTTTTAATGTAGTACGCTATGGAGTTCAATAATGTACATTTTAAAACCATTAGTATTGAATTGAAGAATTAGTAGTGAGTTGCTATTAAACTTTAAAGGAATGACTAGTCATTTTTCTTGTCTAATAAACTGAAAAATACTTTAGTTAGAAGTAATATGAGGGGATTGGTTAAAGACTTAAGATCTTCAAGAACGAATGACATGACTTTATGTCTGAAGCTGATGGAGAAATTGTAGTATTTAAGGGATTACTTGAAGTCACTTGAGCATATGTCTGCTTTTGAGATATGTTTTTGTTAATATAAGGGTAATCATTTAATAAATAGTTATCTTGTACATGTACCTTGTCCACCCAGAATTTATATAATTATTTACTTATCTACGCAAACGTGTACATACTTTGCATTTCTAGAAAACAATAATGTAAACATGTTTAATAGGAATTAAAAAGAATAAAAAAATTATGTAAAGTATTAATTATTTTGTAAACGTTAACTTACCGACGATTCCTGGTGGGTTCACTGAAAATTAATAAAGTTATAATAAGTCAAAAGGACCAATAAAATAAAATAAATACAAAGTAGACAATATTCGGTAGCTCTTTTTAATCAGGTATACTCTATCAATTTAACTTTGCAAATGTGATTTAATCTTAGTCTTTAACATTATCGTTGAAATTTTTCGAGTATCGTATTACTGTAATTATTTAAAAACTGTTTTATTTTATACGTATGTCTTAGTTGTATGTATATTTTATATTATTGTTTATTAATTTATCCAAACGTGTACATACATGTAGTCACTTGGTTTACTAGAAAATAAAAAAATTTATATACGAGGTTAATATGGACCAAAATAATTTTAAATTTTACTTATAAATACATGACGTTAAATTTAATTAATTTAAAATAAAATTATAGAAATATACTAAAGGAAAAAATTAAAAGGAAAAAATTGTTTCCAGAATGATGAAAGAATAAAAAAAATATGTAAATGTCTATTTAATTTATTGTAAAATATAATAAGGAATGACTAGTCATATTTCTTGTCTAATAAATTGGAAATTACTTTAGTTAGGAGAGATATGGGGGGGTTGATTAGAGACACAAAACTACAAGAAAGGATGACATGATTTTATTTATGTCCGACACTGGTACAGAAATTGTAGTTTTGAAGGTATTACTTAAAGTCATTTAAGCATAGGTATGTCTGCTTTTGAGATGAGTTTTTTGTTAATATTAGGGAAATCATTTAATGAGTGGTTGTGTTGTACATTAGAGTTTTTATTATTATTTACTTATTTTCAGAAAGGTATACATACCGACCGGATATCCTAGTGGAGGTTCTATAAAATAATAATTTTATAACAATCAAGGGATTTTATTCTGGGTATAGTAATTTATAATTTTGTAAAAAATTCAAAATTCACATAAATTATTATTTACTTATCTACGTATACGCAAAAAACGTAAAGTTATTGTAATTCAATATAAGTAAGTACTGTACATAGCCAAATTGAACTATAAATTAATTTAAAAAATAATAAAAATAAAATTGTTATTTTAAAAAAAAATGTCAAATATTTTGTTACCGAAAATGATTTAAGTTATAATTAGCCAAACGGGACCAATATAACATAAATGTACAATTAAACCAAATAAACAATATTAAATAAAAAATAATATGATAATCAAAACTATTAGTCAAAATATAAGGGCTTAAACAAAATAATGCAAGTCAGACCAGCTCATTTTATTAAAGTACTCTATATTCAATTTAACATGATACAGATAATTTAACTTTAGTCCTTGACGTTATTGTTAATATTAATTGAGCATCCTATTTCTGTATTGAAAATATAATATTATTTATTCATTTGTCCAAACGTGTACATATTTTTAGTCACTTCGTTTACTGGAAAACTAATATAAGGTTGTTATAGTCCAACATAATTGTCTATTTTACTTTTAGGTATATGACATTATACTGTAATAATTTAATAAATGGTAGAAATAAAATTAATATTATTAATATGATAAAATTACTATGTAAATTATAATTTATATTAATTATTATTATATTTTATTATTTTGTAAACGTAGTCATACCGGCAGCCTCTTGAATGGTTTCTGAAATTTGTTTAAGTTATGATAAAATAATTTATATAAAATTTAACGTACTTTTTGTGCAGATTATTTATAAATTATTTTTTTATTTTTGTTTTCAAATGTGTAGATATTTTTAAAATTATTTTAAGGCCATTATAGTCCATAATAATTATCTAAATAGGTACGAAAATTAAGTTTTAGATACAGTAACTTATAATAAGATAATATTTTGAAAAAATGCAAAATTTACCTAAAATAATTATTTACTTATCTACAAAAATGTATAACGTTTATACAGCTACATTGAGTTATAAATTAATTTTAAAAATGATAGTAATAAAATTATTATTATTAAAAGAATAATAATATTGTGTAAATTATTATTTATTATTTTGTTAACGTAAACATACCGACGGTTGCTGGTTGTGTTTCTGAAAATGATTAAAAATAAGTTTTGTTATTTATTTTATAATTTTATCCGCTTTGAACATCATATGTTCACTATTTATTACTTTACAGAGAAGCAATCCATGCGCCCAAATTTGAATACAATTTTTTTTTTTAAATACATTGTAAAAATATTTTTTATTATAATTGAAAAATATTATTGTTTGCGCTGTGTAAGCGTGTTTTTGTCACTTATTTTAAGATATTAAATTTGAAGGACTTTGAAAAGGAATAAAAACAAATTAATAACTAATATAGGACTTTCATATGGGAAAGTTGATTATTTACTCGTATAGGTTCAAACAAAATATATAATAACACTTACCTTCGGGTCTTGCATTTATTACTGAAATAAAAAAAACATAAACGTAATTTTTCCATACCAGCCATCAAAATTATAATATAATAAACTCAAATTATACTAAACAATAATAATATCTAAAACGATGGGTGTAATTACATTATTCAAAAAAAATATATAATATTATATATTACCTGTGACTATTGTCAGAACAAAAAACAACTTTAATATCATGCTGATAAAGTTTCTTTTAAATGTGTAATTTATAGAAATCGCAGTAGCTATAAGGATTTTTTTTTTTATATTAAAACTGAAACGTTACGGTAAGTTATTTTATATATCAAGTTCGACTTGTAAATGCTAAAAAAATACAATAAACGGTGTAATTTATACAGTGTATTACTCTGCTATAATGTTATTTATTTAAAAAATAAACAACACATGTCATATATTTTTGTATCCAATACGTTTGGTTTCGGTGACTAAATCTATGTAATGCATATTAAAGTATTATTTATTTAAAAAAAAACAACATTTGTATTATTTGTTTTTGAACGAAACATAAGTCGAAAACAAGTTTATATATATATATATTTAAATATATTTAGACTTTAAAAAAAATAGGTCTATATTAAAAAAATTGTCTTTTTGGTTGCATATTTCAAAAGTACTAATTTTACTAACATAAAAATTAAATAATTATACTATACACAATGTGTATAGTAAATCATTAATAAATATATGTGTATTACATCTATTTTTTGATACATACATCTATTCGATACCTTGAATATGGTTTAAGACTTTATTTATTTGTTATAAATAGCCGCCCAAAAGCAAAAGTATTAGTTTACTATAAAATGTACATGTATATAATGAATGATTTCAATAAAATTACAAGTACATGGACTTGAGACGGAATGTCGGCCAATTTCTAAAGTTATAGGAACGGACATATAGAAAAATAAGGCTTAAATGAAAATAATTATCGTTTGAATCAAAGCATAGTTTTAAAATTAAAGTTATTGCGGTGGTAAAATACGTCTTATGAAATTAATCATTTTTGATATAATATGCTATATTTCTATAAAATTCAACAACAGCATAGCTATTGCATTATTCATACAACTTTATAATAAATGTTTATTCGAACCGAAATGTTATGGATTTCTTTTGTCTAATTTAAGTATTTAATTTTGTTTTTGTTATAATATTGAATGTATAAAATAATATACTTTTGTAGCGACTAGTGTCCATATGTTTATTAATATTGCGAATTATAGCGAAAAATAAATAAAAAGAAAAACAGAGTAACTTTGTGGAAAATATTATATTTTTATTAAAACCCAATCCACAAAAATGATATACTTAAAGCATATACGTATTTCAACAACTATGTTGTCATCTTAAGTGCCGGTCGTTTAGCGAAAAATGTTTACACAGGCTGTACCAATGGTTTTACTTAAAAAACATGTTCATAATATACCGGGCGATTATTTTAACGCCCTAATATTAGACAATGTTCAAATTTTTATTATTTTTAATATTATCTGGTTTTATCAACTTTTTAAAACTCAAATAGTAACGTATATACTTCTTTAACTTTTCAAATTAAGAATAATTTGTTAAACATTTGGTCTGGTCGGTAACCAGTTTTGAATAAATAGTTTAAAGTTATTAAAATGTATAATTTAGGACGGGAGGAAGGGTGGGAAGTTGAGTTATATGAAATCGAATATGATATATTTTTAAGAAGACTCGTCATGAACTGAAATCTATTATAAAAATTATTCGACGTATTGATAAAAATCGCTTGGAGTGAATTGTGATTGAACATTACGATGGATAGAGGCCTCTCAGCCTAAGTACAATCTAAGTTATAATACATAAGCAGAAAAATGCGTTGCACGTGTATTGTTCAAAAAATAAGATGTTTTCGTATTAAACTAAAAAATACGTATGAAGGTTACTTATGTACAAACTCATAGGTTGAATAAACACTAAAAGTAACATATATTATGTTACTAGTACACATTTTATAAAAGCGATACCAAATTATCTGATTTAATACATATATACATATATACATATAATATATTTATACTATTAACATGCTTCTTTGTAGGATACTAACCAAAAAACATGTTTTTACTTAACAACAAAATATTTTAAGCCATGTAAACTATGTACAAATACACCAATTACAAGATTTAAAAAAACTAAAAAACACGCTTAAATAGTAAAATAAACTAAAAAGTAGAAAATAATTTTCAACATAGAAATCAATTAATAAAAAGTAAATAGTATTATTGTGAAAAAAGCGTGGGGTGTTACATATATCAGTTCTTGAAAAGCGCCCCACACTTTTTTCACAATAATACTATTTATTTTTTATTAATTGATTTCTATATTGAAAATTATTTTCTACTTTTTAGTTTATTTTACTATTTAAGCGTGTTTTTTAGTTTTTTTTAAACTATGTTTTTTTTTTTACATTCTCATATTCAGCTACCATAATATCATACAATTATTTGTTTTAAAATAAAAAACTATAATACAATTTCTTCAAAACATAGTACAATAAAAATTTTTTATTGTTATAATTATAATGTTATACTGAAGGAAAATTCCGAACAATTTAACCAGAAGCATTTCAATTTTTTTCAATTTTCTTTTTTAAACAATATTAAGGCTTTTTATAAGACTTCGACAAAATAATATTGTTCATTACACTTAGAAACCAAAAATCGCATTTCGTGTTAACTAAAACAAATGAAATCTATTTGCTCCAAGAAGAGCCACTCATTAAAACAAAAAATCTGTTTTAAACTTGTAGATTTTATTTTTAAATATTTAAAATTACTCTCCGATTCTATAAAACGTATATATTTTAAACACATTTTTTAAGTTAACCCGTTGGTACAAACTAGGTCATTTTGACATATTTTTCCCTAGAATTTTTAATACTAATTATCATGATATAGTCACCACAAAAGTATGTTATTGAACACATTTTGAATAATATAATGAAATTTCATTTTATTTTCATTGTGAAAAAGACCTACATTCAAAATCATGAAAAATAACTTGTTTTGAAAAAAAATCACTTATATTAGACGAAAGAAATCCATAATGTTACACGTTTCAATTCCAATAAACATATATAATGATGTATGAAAGATGCAATAGCCATCTCTCTAAACGTAGGGCATTCTACGGTTGCAAGTCCCTCTCCCACCACCCGAACAGTTTATTAGCCTCCTACAATAATTTTAACAATGTTAATATTTTTTATACAAACAGACATATTATTCGGGTTAGCATTCCATTTAGTTTCATAAAATGATATTTATAGATATACAAGCTGTTCGGACCCGGCGTTGACCGAGATTTAGTCTACCAGGGCTGAGTAAAATAATTCCCATTTTAAATATTGACCTTTTTTTCAATTATACTTTTATAGGTACTTTAATGAGGTCTTGATATATTAAAAGGTATTTACAGTTAACATTTTTAAAAATAATTTATTTAAGTCATCTGAGCCAAAAGTTTTAAACATCGACTACGAATATTGATGTAAGTTTGTATTAAAAAAAATACGGTAAGTGTAAATCTGGTGTACTCAATTAAGTAAACAGTTTTTGGATACAAAAATATAGGTCACGTCTTGTTTTCGGCTAAAAGTTAGGTTTAAAAACAAATAATAACATATTTTTGTTTTACTTATAATATTTTAGTGGACAATTTCAGTGCATGTGTTACATATATTTAGTTATCAAAGCCAATTTTTTTGGATACAATTATATACTTATTGTTTTCGACTTAGGTTTCGTTCAAAAACAAATAACACAAATGTCCCATTTTTTTAACACGCTTATATTAACTTTACTTGTATGTATGTATGTATGTTTGTTTGTTTGTTTGTATGTAACTATGTAACTAAAAGAGATAGGCAACCGAACGTACATGCATGTATTCATTGTTGCTTACCTAAAGTTTTCAAGTAATAGAGACACGTATGTACTAGAATTAAAAAAACACGATTTTAAAGCACATCGAACTAAAAAGTGGAAAATAAAAAAAATATAGTTTAAAAAAACTAAAAAACACGCTTAAATAGTAAAAAAAAACTAAAAAGTAGAAAATAATTTTCAATGTAGAAATCAATTAATAAAAAATAAATAGTATTATTGTGAAAAAAGCATGGGGTGTTACATATATCAGTTCTTGAAAAGCGCCCCACACTTTTTTCACAATAATACTATTTATTTTTTATTAATTGATTTCTATATTGAAAATTATTTTCTACTTTTTAGTTTATTTTACTATTTTTTAAAAATATAATATATGGTGGCTCTACTGTGAACCTCCTCCTCGACGCCCTATCATTGTCAATTTTCTAATTGTATTATTTAAATTTACTCATTTTACATATAGTATATATTGTAAATATTTTGAATACATGTTAATTTAAAAAAAAAATACATAATATTTTATTGAAGGATTTTACTGTATATATTACACAGATTGAGTCTTCGAAGCTTAATGCTTTTGATACAAAAGTATACAGTTTGTTTTCAACATAAGGTCTGGTTTAAAAGCAAATAATACAAATCTTGTTGTTTTATCTTAAATAAATAATTGCATGTTTTTTGGTATAGTGGTCTTGTAGCTCTTAGTTATAATAAATATATATAAAAAATACATACCGAGAGTGTGTTGGACATTTAATTTCATAAAAGAATATAAAACATTTTTTTTTAAATAAAAAACCAACCAATTGAAAAAAAATAGTAATAAAATTAAAAAAATATTGTATTGTTTTTTTTAGTCATTAGAACAAAATATATAAAAACCCCCTCTTTTAGGCTAAACACATCACTAGAAAAGATTAAGTAACGTTTAAGTGTCCATGGCACTCAGTAAAATATAAGGACATTTTACTATTAATGAAAAGTTATTTAAGTTAAGAATTTTAAATCTAACAAGTTGTACAATATTATTGCCTACATATGTGAGGGTCTAATGTGATTCTTATTTTGCGAAATTCTTTAACGACATTGTTCCATTTTATGCTTATTGGTGAAAAATAAAGTATTCTTGTAGACTATTTAGATATTTTTAAGTCGAGCCTCACAGAGATTCCATCCTGTGTAATGGAAATTTTGTCTGGTTTTTTGGTCTAAAAAAACAAAATAGCTTTTACTCATAGATAAATATCAGCCTGTAGAACTTTACATAGTAAAAATATAAGTAGGTATTGATTGAAAAGATTGAGAAAACAATTATACGCTTAAAATTGTATTTCAGTATAGTCTGGAATTATTCCAAATGACACCACTGAACGAAACTGGCTGTTAACGTTACACTGTTGGCGTCAGTTGGAATTAAAAAAATGTAAATATTTGTCACAAAACCGAATCGTTTAAATGTTTTCTGCTCGTGTAGTCGTTGTAATATTATTCTTATTTGTACAAACGTTTGGACTACCGAAATGATTCATTGTAGTGTGAATTTGGGTTCGATAGACGTATTCACTACCATTTGTTTGTATTATATTATAACCATATTGATTACCTGCAGTATGTTTTGTCTATAAAAATGTTTACTTGTCAGCATAAATATTAAAATCATTTTATACGTAGTTGAGTGACACTTTATTTTAACTATAAATTTACTTTCGGTTTAATTTTGTAGACTACAAGTCCAAAAACAACAAATAAAGAAAAAGTTTCCACCCCTTCTAAGGAAAAAAGTTAGTTAATGATATTTTCTTGGGTTTCTTTAACGTACGATTATCAGTGGTACTATAATGTCTGATGAATATCCCATACACAATTTTGGAATTAATTCAACTTTTTTTTGTTGAAAATGTTGAAGTTTAATTTTAAATAAAAAACAAAATAAGTTCAGGTTGACAATCAATTTTTCTAAATCAAATTAAAAAATCATTTGTTACCTTATTATTTAGATAAGAGCTTTCTTTCAACCCAGGCATGATACGTTTAAAATTATTGGTTATGTAGTTAGGTTTGATGGTACTGTATAATAATCTTAATTTATCAAGAGAAAAATGAAAATATATTTTAATTTTTCATTAAATAATTTTGTTTTTTGAAAAATAAACAAAAAACCTCGTAACCTTGGACTGGTAAAATAATTATAACCCTCCTTCTCATTTTAACAATGAACAGAGCATAAAATAATATGTAAGTAATATTGATTTACATGCAAACGATTTGATTAATCATAATGTTAAGAGATCAGTTATTTAACGCGAAACGGCTTAAATATAATCAAAAGTGTATTAGTGCTGAAAAATAAAATAATTCCACGCAGAAGAAAAATATATCATAATAGTAATTATTGGTGGTTAGGTTTCTATGTTATTAGTACAAACGGAGCCAGACGTCTAAAAATGTGTGCAATCTGTGTAAACATCGTTATTTAGGGCAAAAATCGATTAAACTAAACAAATTGTTTAAATTATTGACAAAACGATACTTAAAATAATAAATAAACAGAGAACATTTTTCAAAACACACTTATGTACAACGAAAAACCAAATTACCTATGATTGTTTTAAAAATATATTATTAATGTTTTTAAAACGCTAAATGTATTTAATTTGAACAAATATTTTTTTTAAGTAGGTATTCATAGTAGTATATTTATATATCTTATTATACAGATATATGCGGTTCACGTATATATATGTCTGATATTTAGCGTCAGTAATTATTCGAGTTCTTTATCTAAAATATAATTGTTCTGTCGAGTATAATTCAATTAAAAATTTTTAATTTTTGTAATTTTGAAATATGAAATTTAAAGTATTCTTCTCTTTCATGGTAGTCATGACACTCTTCAGCCAGGAAATATTTGCTGGTAATTTATATTATACTCTATAGCTGATATACAACAATAATAATATTGTTGTATTTTATATATTTTAAATATTTTTATGACTTACTATAGCGTTTCACCTGGTTTAAAGATCATTATTATGATGTCTAGTAGTTATTACAATTTTTTTTCTCCAAATAAATTGTGATAATATTGTTCAAATATTCTATTTTTAACTATAATTGAGAAATATGTATGTTGTTTTGTGAGATGTCCTTGTCACATGTATGGTCATATTCACCATTATTGCTAAGGTCATTATGAACAATTCTAGTTTAGACAATAATGAAAGTTAAACAATTTAAGCAATCTAGTAGGAAATACGTTTTTTAAAATTATTTTTAATTGATTAATTTTTCGTTGTTAATTTAATATATTATTAATTATTTTAATATATTTTTACTTCGATTTGGCGCTTAACAGACGTAATGAATAGGTAGATTTTTATCATCAACTTTCAGACCGATTTGTTTTGATTCATTAACTTAAAACTAACGACTCGTTAAATTCTGATATTTTAATTGAATTGCATCGAGGTATTTATTTTATATGTTCATTTCACTCAATTCTGTATAAACGAAATTTACTTTATGCAGGAGGAGATAGATCTAAAACAAATTCTCTTTTCAACTCGGTATGGGGTGTTAAGAATCCGGCTGGTATGTACACTTCAATAGTATTTTACGAATTTTTCGTATAAATACCTAGTTTTTTTTTTATACATCTTTTCATATTTTATAAATATAAAATTATTTATTGCAGACAAAAGTGGTAGTAGCGAAAATGAGCGTGACAATAATGATTCCCTATTCCACCAAGTATGGGAAATTAAAGAAGATACGAGCGGTATGTGGAATTTTATAATAATTTCTTCATTTAACCAAGTCAAAAAAACAATCCCCAAAAATATAAATTCAAAAAATTCACTTTTTTTAATATTTCAGAAATATTGAACTGTAATACATTAGTTTTAGTTTTAGTTTACTGGGTCCAGGAAGTGCCATGCACTCAGACTGTAACTTGTAGGTCAATTGAGCAAACCCTCTCACCAGAGTCCTATTACACGTAATCTATCACGCCTATGTCCTGCTCATTTTTGTAACCTTGTGTGTTGAATAGTCTTGAGTCCTTCGCAAATTTCAGTATCTCGTTTGTTCCAATGTCTTTGATTTCATCCTTTCCTGGAAAACATTTTCCAATGATAATTTACCTAAGGAATTACAATCATATACTTAAACTTAAAATCATGGCACTCTTTAACTATTTTCAAAAATAGTCGAATTAGTTCCAAATTTGATGTTGATAACTTTAAGAGCTTGTTGTGAATAGGAAAAAAAAACAAAATACAGCACACTAATAGTCAGAAGATAGTTATTAGTCCCGTCTTGCTCACTCTCCGGGCGCCCATAAACATAAGATAATATTCAGGTGGAGTGGTTTTCATGGCCATGCGGTATAATGATTTAAATTTGAAAAAGTCTGTGTTACATTTTATAAACGCTTAGAAATAGCTTGTAAAGAAGATATAAAATATAAATTAAAACAATTAAAAATTAATTATGTTTTTTCAATTAAAAAAGTTTTCAATGTTAGCGACGGTTTTTTTTCAGCCATACAGATCTCTGAAACCGATGAACGGGTTTTATTATTTAAGGTCTTATTTAAATAACTATGGCAAGTAGAAGTGGCAGTGAAGAGTTTCAGAAATTTATCTAATATAGTTTATTAACTTTTAAAGTTGTGTATCATAAAAACAAATTTCCCTCCTACATTTTCATAGCTATATGCTGAGCTCGCCTTAGAAAGCTTTTTTATTTGAAAGTGATTTTGTCACTTTCAGTTGTAATATTAAAATTTATATAGACCTGCGACCTCTCACGTCCCACTATACTACGGCACCACTGTACTATTTCTTTTTAATTCTTATATAATTTTTTATTGTGGATTTTTCGTTGATTGAAAACACTGCAAATTTCCATAAATTATAATTTACATATTACCAACGATATCCCACGAGTCGCCATTAATAATATACCTATATAAATATATTTTTAATAATTTAAACTTTGTAAGGAAATACATATATTTATATTAAGGCATGAGCTACATTTAATATTTTTCTATTTTATGAACCGCTAACGCTATTCATTGGGTGCATGCAGATAGTACCATTCTGATGGGTACGTACACAGTTATAAAAAATATATTTAAAAAAAATCTTATGTAATTTTTTAATACTTGGACTATTATTCATTTTATAGATTCTTCGGAAGATGAGGGTATGTAATTTTGCAAATGATTTGGTTATTATAGAAAAAAGATCTTATGTATTTTTTTCTTTTTATAGGTATTCTTTGCTTTGTTTTTTATTAATAATTAAACTTTTGTTTATTTTATAGTTTGTTCGGAAGATGAGAGTATGTAATTTTGCAAATTATTTTTTTATTGTGAAATATAACTTATAGACTATAACTTATCTATTTTCTAGAGGAAGTAGCCGGTCAAGAAGGTATGTATGTTTTTAGATTTTGATATTGATTATTATGATAATATTAAATTCTTTTGGACTATTATAACTATATATGTATTTTTTTTTAGACGATATTAATGATACGGCCGGTATGTATACGTTTATGTAATTAAGTTTAATTTTTTGTATTGGTTCCTTTGAGTTATGTCTTTGTTAATTATTGTCTAGCCAAACATTACGATGCTAAAGGTATGTGCACGTTTAAATAAATAAGTAAATCATAATTTCTGTATTACCTACCTTTATTTTTTAAGATATTGTTTTTTTTTTGTAGAAGACGAAGAAAAAGGTATACAATAGAAAGGTTTTTTTAATAGCTCTTTTTGACATTTTTATTATTTTTTAGGAGAGCAAGGTATGTTTAAATCCTTAAAATTTTGTTATTATGAAAACGGCTACCGCTTATCTGTATATTTTAAAATCAATGCTTAAATGTATGTCGATAACACTATTTGGTAAAATAAGTATGTTTTTGTAAAATAACTGCTGTTACAAAACCATGCTTTTTCCAAACAAAAAGTGTAAATGTTGTTATGTTCAAATATATTTAATTATGATTTATGATTTTAAAAGTATACATAGAAAAAAATAGTTCAATTAATCAAAATAATCTTATTAATTTTTTTTCGATATATTGATTTTTATCAATGAATATGATGATGTACAATATTTAATTCTGTGAGTATTTTTTAATTTTTTAGTAAACGAGATAAACACTGGGAGAGGTAATACTAATTTTTATATTCTTAGAAACTTACAAATTGTTAGTTTTTTTTCTTATAAATTCGTATATACAAAAAAATATCTAAGAAAAAAACGTTTTATTTCTTTTGGTACCCAACTGTTGGAGTACCCATACATTATGTTCACTCGGTATTATATTCTGCTATAACAACTGAACTGATTTTGTTTAAGAAGACATTGCAATTTCCCCATGTTTGTTATTGACTGATTTAATTCCCGTGAGATTAGTTGTCCATAAATTAAGATTTTTTTCATTGATTTTGATAGGCTGTTAAACATTAACTTAAGTCAGACATGAAAATCAAATTGTTTCGTTATTAAAACCTCATTATTTTTACTTCGTGAATATTTTTCTTTTTCAGAAGTCAATAAATCTCAAGGTAATGCATATTATTTTAAATTATTATGTTACTTTTATTTATATTATAATTATGTAAATAAAACTATTTACTAAAATTTAAACGTTTTACATGTAACATCAAGTAGAACAATTTATGATATTTTTATATTAAAATCAGTTAAATTTTAATTAACATTAATATAATTTTATTTACATAATAAATGGGTGCTTATGATCAATTCGGGTTATTAATTAGTTTAATACATCTTAGTTTTTTTTCTAATTTTAGTCTCTAGTCTCTAATCTTAGTTCTAATATTTAGTCTCCTTATAATATTTACCTAATATAGTCCATTTTTATTATTTTAGCTATAAATGATGCAGGAAATACATGTAAGATATTTAACTAATAAGATTTACAAAAATATCTATTAATTAAAATCTATGGGTTTAAATTAGCTACAACAAAATCTAAGCCAAGCATGTAAAACAAAATACCGGTTGATCTAATGGATGAATTTAACGTAAGACGTTTATGTTTTCGGAAAATAACTATAATTTTGTAGTTTTACTCCTTGAAAACAATTTTGTTTATGCAATTGTACAATATTATAAAATAACTAAATTATATATTTACCTTTTATAGTATTTTCCAGAGCGCTTTCAACATTTGAAACTTAAATATATTTAATCGACTTTTAATAATAAAAATATTTTGCTTAACATTTCGTCTGGTCGATTATCATCTTTTAGGATAAATATCTGGTTATTTTATAATAACGTATAATAATACGAATAAAAATGTTTATTAGGGTGGTAAAATTAAAGCATTTCATTTTTTTTTTTACTCTTATAAAGTAAATCAAAAGTTAAACATATATTAGAATATATTTTAATAAATTATCAAGTCTCATTAAATTTTAAGGTATCATTTTTTGGTGTTAACTGTTCAAAGTTATGATTCATTATTATGTTAAGTAAATTCATGTCGAATTTCATAAAATGTCAGAGATTTTTTATTGAAGTCAGTTATGCACAGTGGTACTAAACCAAAAGTTTGCCTAAAAACACAAGAGAAAACTGGCATGGCAAATTGTTCGTTATAACACCAACATGTAGGATATGTATTTTCAAAAATCGTATCAGATCTTTGTCACCGGGAAAACTTTAAATTAGTTTAGGATCACTGTGTATGAGAATTATTCACAATTTTTATAAAAAAATATTTATACTTTTACTTTAGTAAAAATAAATGAAAAAAATGTAGCTAAAAGCATCGATACGTATATTATTATGATATTTTATTTTTAGGCTCTACTTAGACTAAAATATCTAAGTAATAAGTACATAGTACAGCTGTTCTTAAGTATTTAATTCCTTTTTTTGTGTTTTGAATGTGCAATAATGTTTTATAATTTTGTTTTCTGCGTTATAATTTAACGTTTTTATTTTTACTACAGATTGCTGAACCGTTATTCATAATCACTATGCAGTTTTGAAAACAATAGTATTATTCTACAGTGGTTAATTTTATAATAGTAACATTTTTGTACAATAGGTATATTTTCTTAAGAGTTATTTTATTGCATTGTTTGTTATCTGAGTTATTATCTATTTACTGTTACACATAATATTTATGTTATAAAACAAATTTAATTTATTAATTGTCAAAATTCAAACATTTTTCTTATTTAATAAAATACCTAAGTGATTAAATTGTATGTACGTACAACATTATAGATTATTGTTTTTGACTAAAATAACAAAACATATTGATGCATATTCTATAATAATCATTTAATTATATACTATGATGTTTTTAATTCCTATGGACTTTCTAAAATAGTTTAATTTTTCTCTGGAAGTTATACATATTACACGAAGGCAGGTCGTCAAAGTAACAGCGTGTTAAAATTTAAGAGTGTCCATTCCCTGCCCAAATCAGCTCCTGCAAAACCTTATTGAATAACTTCCCCTTGACTCACTTTGAAAATAAACCTAGTTATTTTCTCAGCTCTAAGAAAAAACATTGAATCATGGACATGTTATCTCTTATCGTTTATATATAAATAAAAGAGCAGAATTTATTGTTCATTCTTAGATTCTTGGATTAAATATTGACATCTTTCACACAAAGGCATTCATTCTTATTCACTTGACAGTCCAAGAACCCGTGCTGGTTACCTCCGAGCGATACTCTTATAATCTGAGGACCACTACTATAACCTTTAAGTACTTAGCTGGGTATCTAAGCGGCAGGCTCTGCAATCCTTAAATAGTTATCTAATAACACATACGGGAATCTCCGTGACTTTATGTATTTTCCATAGAGAAGTATAATTGATCATCCTTGACTATTTCCGCAAGCAAGTCGTTTGTACCTCTGGGCTGTTTTACCAAGAAGTTTAAGTAACTATTAACCAATGCTTAAGAAACCATTCTTGTTGGGGGATTTGGCTATGTGGTAGTAATCATCGGCGTTTAACGCCAGTAGCTTAGCACAGTCTAGAGAGGTTGTCAACGAGTCCGTTAAAGGGTAGCTATTTCCGGGCACGACTATGTTAAAAATGTTGTGTGAATGTCGTTCTTAAATTTCTAACGCGTCCATGCGCATGCATTGGTTTATCAAATAACAAGAGTTTATTGCACTAAAGATCTGGTATTATAACATATTATACCCTCTGTCCTGGAGGACGCTGTAACACAAATGATATTTGATTAGTAATTTATTTTATCCTAATTATATTATTAAATTAAATTAATTCTATCACCAAGAAGATATTCTCAACGTACAAAAAACATCTAGACCAGGTTAGGTTAGATTGGTTATATCATCGGAATTAGATACTATAAGAAAGTCATTGTGAATTTGTAAAAAACAAATTGCGACGTACACTTATCATTACCCTGTATAATTATTTACAAGTGCAAAAATGCCAACTGAGTAAATGTCAATGAGTATATTGTATTACCCAAGACTGATTGTTGAAATCGATCATATTATGGATTCACTAACATTATACTGTTGTATGCTTATAGGAATTGCATAACATTAAAAAAATATGTGTTAAACTACAGGAAGACACAACAAATATTAAATTAGTAAGTTACGTCTTATTTATTTAAACGTATCCAATGATAGCAGACGTCGAATGATTTTACAAAGTCTATTATTTTCTAGTATAGATTCTTCAGTTTATAAATTATAATTTTCTCGTATATTACAACATAAAGTGCGTTATAAGAAAACCAAAGTACTACTAGTAATAGTTCAATTTTTCAAAATGACAGCAAACTCAAGTCTTATAATTTTAATATTCGAGTTGGTTTTGTATGTAACGACTGTGACATCGTCTTCATTATTTAAACTTGTACTTAGACCTGTTGCCGACGAAGTAAGCAATGCAGTCGCGGATTTGGATCTTCCTGAAGAAACAAAGGTGAATGCAAAATAACATATTATCTATAATTAAATTATGTATCAACTTCAAAAACCCGATAAATTAATAACATTAACTGGCCCTCATTTTCTCAAGGTATTCGACCTTGTAACTCAAGTAAACTTGATCGACGTCGTTCCACAAAAAAAAATATAATTTCAAAAAATAACTTTTCATATTCTACTCTGAGAATTCATCTCACAAAATTCAACCAATTTTCAATTTATCGGGAAATACCCAAGATGAAAAACGCAATGAAAACGTTTACTTTAAGCTGCCCTCATATTAGAAATTGCGCACTCACCTGTTGATTATTTAAAATTGTAAATCTTTGTAAGAGAGACCCTGTATAAAATATTATTTAACTTGTGTCGCGTACAATATCGTTCGTGCATAACACATTTAAAATTATTTTTAATAAAAAAAATGTCCAAGTTGTGTAAGGTTGCGTTATTGAAACAGTACATCAATGTGGGACGTTATTCAAACGATTTAATTGAACTGCTAAACTCGTACATGACGATCAAGGTATCTCCCATTCGACGAAATAGTTTTTGGAATACACTCTCTAAATCATCCGAAATGGCCAAATTAGAAAATTGTACTAAAAACGTTAATACTTTGTTGCCTTTACAAATCGAGTACCCACCTTATGACTATGATTTGATTCTTGAACAATTATGTCGTCGATCAAGATGCAACACCTCATATGTCATTTATTGGCCAAACTGTAATACCTTGAAAATCGTTATTATTAGACTTCTATTGGTTCACACGTTGAACTTATAGTTTGACTCTACTAATAAGTATTTTATTCTTTTTTACTTACTCTAGGCCTAGAGCCCGAGTTGCGACAAAAATAATTATAATAATGTGTTTTTAGGGAGCATTTTCTAAACAGTACATCAATGTGGGATGTTATTCGACCGATTTAATTGAACTGCTAAACTCGTACATGACGATCAAGGAGTCTCCCATTCGTTTCAATGACGACGAAAAAAGAATATTGACTTCCAGCGATGCAGAAGACTCGCTAAATGATAAAATACTCGCTCAATTGAAATACTTCCGTAAGATGCAAGAAGTTCAGTGTACAGACTATGTGTTGTTGCTGTACAAGTTGTACGGAACCGAACGGAATATAAAACACATTGCCAAGCATGTATACAATATGATAGCGATGGCATACGAAGGGAAAACAATGGTGCACGAGTGGCTTTGGAAATTACACTTCAACCTTTGGGAACCGACTATTTATGATTGCGAGGTACGGTCGTTGAAGTTAATGGAAGGAATCGTGCGTGACCTAGAACAGTTTCGAACACCCTTAACCGATTTGGTGAGTATGTGTGTGGACCATGAATATACTTCGAACATATTGAACCTACGCAACCCTAAATTTCCATTGACGAGTAAATTTGCCTACGACCGAATAGGGCATTGTTTTTCGTTCAACTACGAAAAACATACACATTATAGAAATAACAAACCCGCGTTACCTCTCACCGTCAAACATTTATTCTTAGTGAATCTATGGCCAAATTCTAAACACCAATTGCTTGTGCACGAACCAATAGCCTATGTTACTATTAAATGGAATATGTTGGCGAAAATATTCGGATTTGATTTCCAAAATGTCCGTAGACAGTTTACAGTTACTCGGGACTGGCCAGAGAATCCGTTTAAACACATTGGATTTCAGCAAACGTTTGTAGATATCGTTATGATAAAACTATACTGTTTTATTTGGATGGAACTTACAGCTTATCAAAATGTGGATGACTCTTTAACAGATAAATACTTGTATCGCCATAACTCCTTTAGGAAAAAGATAGCCGACATAGTCAAGTTCAGTTATATCGAAGACAAAACATTAAACCAAGTATTAACTTTGTATAGTGAAATAAGGAAATCTAATAAGGAGCAGATCGAAGAAGTTTTGAAAATAATAACCGACGAAGTAAATAACATTTTGACATCATTAATTAAATATCCTAATGAAATTGCATTGGCCGACATTTCATACGTTGATGTAGATCATGATATTATGTACTATTTATTTATGCAAATAATTGAAAAACAATGTGATGAATTTTTTAAAACGCTTAAAGGAAAACTCAAAGGATTAACATTTGATGTTTTATTATTTTTTATTAGCGGAAGTAAAAACACTGAACTTACTGTTTTCCCGGAAAATTGATATAAATACATCTAATGTGAAAATATTATCACTAAAGTTCTATTAATCATTTAATAATATAATATGTTAAAAATTCCGATACTGTTTTTGTTATTCTATTTATTATAAACTCAAGATATATGCCTAATATAAAAGTTGACAGAATATGATTATTTTAAATAGTTGTGATGTTATCATAGCTTTAATTTAATAAAATAATATTCCTATTTGGACCAATGTTATTTTATTATTTTAGTTTTTAGCTTCTATGCGTACCTGTGAATGTAATGATAATAAATAGACAGAAATTAACAATGTGTTACAGCCAACAGAGACAATCATCATTATTATTTAAAAAAAAAAAGAGTTACGAGTTACGACTTTACCTAAATACTTTTTTAATTCACAAGAAGTACCTTGTGCTTTTGCCTTTTAAGACAGATATGTACAAACATGTGAATTAGCTATATGGTTGTGTGACTAACTTTGCGAATATCTAATATTCCTAACCTAAAGTAATACCAATACTAGCTCCTAGGTGATACTCTGGTTTTACCTAATTAGTATAATACGTAGTTTGTAATTCAACTTTTAATAATGGACCAATATAAAACTGTACAGTACAATCCTTTAAAACATAGTTTTTTAATATTAAATTTCATTTTTCACGATTTAATACATGCAATGTATTTTTTAAACGATTTTTTAGCTAAAAATAATATTATTTTATAGAAAGAAATAACCGTGGTATCCATTATTGTCTCCACCTGCCAAAATGTCGTCCATACAAATTAAATGTGTATAATATATTAACGGATGTGTTAGATTCGACATAATTGCATTTTTATACAAATACAGCGGTATAAGTTATACCAATCATGACTGATATCGAGTAGGGGGTTGGACACGGGTCTTGGTGATACTCATTTAAAATACAATTTGTCGAAATTTATCGAAATAAAATAAATACTTAAACAGTTTTCAAAAATGTTCTAAGCTGAATGACAAAAGTAATGAAAGTCAAACAAGTAGAATTTTATCGTTTTTCTGGTTTAGTAGGGCAACGCAAACATATTTAAACAGATTTACGGAAATAGGTAAAAAACAAATAGAATAAATACGCCGTATAAAAAACAAAAATGCTTTGAAACAAGTTTTGAATCAGAAACTTTGACTGACATAATAAAAAAAAAAAAAAAAAGCAACATACAATACGGATTGTCATTTTGTACAATAAATATTTTTAAGTACAGAATATTTTAATTATTAAAAACTACAATAGATACAGAGTTTTAGTTTTTTTTTTATAAACAACAGAGTAAAATTTTTAAGAATAATATTACAGAAGGTAGAAGTTTTTGTAAATTATAAAATAGTTTTTAGATGGGTTTTTAGAGGAGGATTTCATCATACTATATGATATATATAATACATATAAAAAAACTTAAATTCTCTCACGTTATAATTTATGAGCTATATTTTGTGTGTAAGTGTGTGAGTGTGTGTTGTTGAAAACAATTTTAATTATCCTATAGATTCAAATAAATGATTGTGGTAGTCTGACAAAAAAATTAGCAATTAATAAAGAATCTTCATTACTGTAATAATAATAAGCAAATAAATTTTCAAGCTCTAAATTAAGATTTGGCGAAAAATTGCCTATACTTTACTCCTTAAAAATAGATGGAGTAGCGTCCTCTTAAATATAAGATATACTTTTTCATTAAAAATAATTGCAATTTTTTAGCTTCGATGCAAAACAGAGATGCTATTGGTTTTACAATGATGTGGGTTTTTTTTTGTCTGCATACACTGTAACTTACAGTTCATACAATTATATTATTGTATGCGCTATAGAGAATTATTTTTGTGTTTAAGGGTTTATTTAAACATTTATTTATTTGATTCTTTAGTATTTTCCAGACATCTATCAACGTTTAAAACTTAAAAATAAACGTACACATTTAATTAACTTTTGAAATCAAAAATAATTTGCTGAACATTTTGACGGATCGATAACCAATTTTAGATAATTACTTTTAAAATGATTAAAGTTTAAAATTGAGGACGGGACGGAGCATAGTATTTTTATTATTTTCTGTATTATTATTATTATTATTATTAAATATTATTACTCTACCTTAATCCCCCTCCCGTCATTTAATTTAAACTTAATTCAATTTAAAAATTACCATTGAAAAATCGGTAATCGATCAGTCAAAATGTTCAGCAAATCATGTGTACATGAAGTTGACCCCCTACATTAACTATCAATTCCAAATTTTTGTCAAACTTATGTAAATTAATTTTAAATTCGTTTTCAGAATTTGTAAATCATTTTTCCTACTTTTTCGGGAGACCAGAAATCTGTGATTATGCAATATTGTGCTCAGTACACGTATCGCCGTTTGTTGTTTTAGCAAATATTTGTGAAATACTTTTTTTTAGGTCATTATATAACCGAGTACTCTAGGGCGTAACTACAAATTTACCAAAGTAAAATCATTTTAAACAAATTTTAAAACTAGCTTTTTACAGTAAAATGTTATTCAATTCTACAATTTTATTTACATGTACTTTATTTGTTAGCTGTTTTAACTCAGATGAAGAAGATCAAGTAATTTTTTTGTATATTTTTGAATCTTTAATACTGAAACCGTCATTCCAGGTCACACGATCGTTGAAAAAAGGTTTTTTTTAATCAATGGACATTTATTAGTTGATAGTTTATTAATTATAATTCGTCTATTCAGTTCAACAATTTTGTTGTGAACCAGACAAAAAAATTTCCAGATTATGACTCTTCATATTAAATGCGTACTTAAATTTATGAAATTTGTTAAACCGTACCTAAGTATTTAAAAACAAGTTAAAATATGACAGTACTTTATAGGACACATATCACTTTTTAAAAAAACGCATAGGCAAGGTCAACAAAATAAATTTTAAGTTAAATCTATCATGTACATAAATTATTATAAAAATGAGTATTTTCTATAAGTTTTTACTAAACCATCTCAACCTGTACTATAAACGGTTGTTCCCAGTAAAGAGCCTCTCGCATTTCCAATACAACTTTACAAAAAGTTAAGATAAAAAATATTTTTTTAGAATTTTGAAAATAGAAAACTATTTTATGAGGTGTATTCCATTTATAATTTTTTTTTTGTGCAGCTCGCTTTTTGGGGTTTTCCAGATTATAACGATTAGTATTGTATACTACTTGATATTCTAATTATTAGAAAAATTTTATAAGTTAAATAATAAAACTGTAAAAATGTATCTAGAATTATTTTCATAGGATTTATCGTTTTCTGGATTTAGAAAAAAAAATTAATACATGTTAAATAACAATTAAACGATGTATTTCTGATCTATTAATAGCCGCAGAATTAAATACACCAGGCCGTTAAACGAAAATTATATGATTACACATTCTCAGCTTTAAAAAAAAATGAATCTTACAAATAAAAAAAATAATTATACCTTCGATAAAAAAAAATAAAAAAACGAAAATTTTTTACGATTTATAGTAAAGTTTACCAAAAACTTTTCAAAGTATGGGTATTTTAACTATTTTAAATTGTTTAGTGAACTGCAAGACAATAGACTGTGTAGCGTAAGAATAATTTATAACGATCCTCGGTATAAGTTTTACTTAAATTTACAGTCGCTTTTAATAGTACTAAATGTCAGACGACATAATAACGGTAAAACGGGCTGAATTTCAATAGGTAATTTACTGTATAAACGCTTACATCGTCATCGAGTTGAAAGCAATAAGAACATTGTTAAAAAATTGTATTATAAAAAACTTTTCTTTAGGCCATATCAGATGCTTTCAGCTACGCGAAGTTTAAATACGCAAGCAACGACGATGTTACGAGTATTTCTTTAAGTGATTTTTTAGAATTTCTAGGCTCTCTCGATAAAGCTATTGTTAACTATTACTTCGAAGAAAATCAAATCGCACAGAGTCAACAAGGTAACCATTAAATGTACTAAATGTATAATTAAAAAAAAAAAAAGTTTATATCTTGATGTGGTGGCGACAAGTGTTGGTTTTTTAGAAGACTTTCCATTTGAACTTGAAAAAAGTGAATATGTATACAACATGTATATACATATACGCAAAATGTATACAGTAGGCTAAATAAAAAACTTAATAAGAAGTACGGGGGTGATATATTACTTACTGGGTGGTTATATTTTATATATTACAGTGTTCCGGGCACTGATAAAAATGAACACGGGGAAGATACTATCGCACAAAAACGCGGCGGCAATCTTCTTAAAGCTACACCACTATAATGTTATATCTATACATTATTATTCTTCTTTGTTGTGTATAGATATCACAATTAACATGTTATAATACTAAATAGTCCGTCACAAAATGGCCGTCACATTTTTTATTACATTTAAAGTGACCCTCCTACTTTCATCTATTCTGTGATATTACTTACTATTCGATTTTTAATGGGGTTTTTCAACACCTAATAATAGTGGTGCAAACGCATGTTATCAAAACTAATAGTACACCGTAATGGAAATGACTTTTAATAATATGCTTGGACTAAGCAAAGTCGGTACGCATTTTTTAAAATTTTATATTATATTTAAAATTTTTTTACCACTATGCAAAAGTGCATACAAGTGGGTGTACAAATTGCTGTCTAAATTATTATGAACAATTAAGAACATTATGAATTTTTACAATACAATTGCGTTAAATTCATTTTCAGAAAACATAAATGAAGAACTATTTGTAGCTCTAATGAAGAGAATCAGTAGAAAACGTGGAGTTAATGCAAAAAAATTAGCTGATAAAACGATAAGAGCATTTTTGCCTACAATCATATTATTTTAAATGTATGATTAATATTGTTATTTGGAATTTATGTTATTCTATCATTTGTAAAAGAGAACATAATGTGTAATGTATTTGGAGAATTTAATAAAATTGGTTTAACATAATATTATGCATTGTTTGGATTTATTGAAATTCTACCTTAATAAACAAGCCACACTTTTCTAGTATGCAAATACAGGGTGATATGTAAAGTTCTACCGAGCTTCCAATGAGACATTTAGGATGCTCTATTGGTACAATATATTAAATTAATTAATTTTAAATTTTAAAATTATTTAAAATACAACTTGTATCTCGTTAAAATATACTTATTTACTAAGTATACTGTATACGCAACGCCCCCCCCCCCCTAAGATGAACTCTCAAGTACACCACGATCTAAACCGAAGATAGTGTAAATCAGTAGAGTAAGAAGATAATAAAGTTATGACAAAGCACAGTGTAAATCAAGTAAATTAAATTTCGTTATAGGTTTTTATTTCATTGTTGTATCTAAACCAAACAACAGTACAGTAAACAATAATTCGTATACCTACTATAAAATATAAACAAATCACGACGTTACTGCGGTACTACGATTTCAGAAATTCACAGAAAAGACAACACTTAAAACACTTGTGTAAAAATGTTATGATAAGTGCATTTTTTTTTAATATTACCATTAGTATAGGCGTTTCTGTAATATCGTCGACATTTTTAACAAAAATCACGATTAAGCACAATCAATATTATCATATATTATATAATATAGTATACAAATAATAAAAAATAAATGCGTAATTCGTCGAAATTTCGTTTTTCATTTAGCTAGGACAGTTAAAATTCTTCGAACTAGTAATATTGTTTGCAGTAATTTAATGTGGGTTTAAGCTTTTATCCATAACAATATTTTTCGTTTTAGCATAGAGAATATTATACTTATATCCACCATTAAAAATAACTGATATGAGTACAGTTAAGCATTTATCTATTATTGTCCATATAGATTGGACATTACATAGGTAGCTTAATATCAAAATTATAATTTTAAACATTGTTATTAAGACTATCCTCAAGTAAAAAACTAACTTAAAAAAAGGAAAACCCTTAGAAATGACCAAAAAATATTATATTATTTCTTTAACAAAAACAATTTAAAATAATATGATAACTGTAGTATAAGTAGAAATAACTAAACATTTTCAACCGGTATTAGATGATAATAAACTAAAAGATACAAGCAAATCAAATATAAATATGGTTATTCAAAAAAAATCACTTGGCCACCAAGGCTTGAGGGGATTTGTACAAAGTTGTGTTAGCGGTGGGTTGATCAGATCTGTAAAGTTTAACGGTAACTGCAGAATGGGATTGTTAGTCTGAGGATCGTTTGACCATATGATCCATGATAGCGTGATGAAGTCGAATATACCTAAAAAAATAGTATTTTACGTTAAAGTTCATAGGTGCCATGTTCAGAGGCGCCGATGTCTTAAAAATATGGTCGGGCAATTCTTAAACTTAGTGGCCTTAGCCTGAACTTTTATAGATATAATGCACAACTTTTGGAAAAGTATGGAATTCGGCGCCACTAATTTGAGGCAAATGAAAAAGAATATCGGGAAGGACTCTCCCAGTTGATACTGTGAGGGACTATTGTATTTGCTTTTACGTTATTTTACTTCTTATGGTCATTAAGTTTTATCAAACTTAATTTTTGTGATTTTATTATAATTGTTTTCGAAGTATTTATTGATTTGTGTGTTTAATTTAGAAGTGTCACCTAACTACTTGAACAATAATCGTTTTACGGTTCACTTCTAAATAGAGCCGCTGGGGCAACTATAATAAATTATTTTTTGATATAGTATTTTTAATTTCTAAGGTTCTTAATTTCTTTAATCATAGCTAGATTAAGTCCATATTATCGACTAACAATCGTATTTGGAGGTACTGGCTAATTATCATTCTAGTGTGGCCTAACACGTTGACTGTGATATAGTCTCATTAAGATTAAAAGGTAATGGCCATTTAATCGTCTTGGATTGTATCCTACGTCCGCTGGTTAGAGCAAACCGATATTTTTCACGAGTGCTTTGTTGTGTACGTACACATTTATATTTACTATATGATTATTTAATACAATGGTTCTTATTAGGATAATTGAATGTGTACGTCAAATGGATTTAATAATATTATTAAGTAATTGAAACCTTGAAGCTCTGTTAAACTTAAGACCATAATGCATTAAACGAACTGTTTGGACAATATTGTAAAAAAAAAAATGTCATTCCGTACAATAACAGTTGGTTGATAACCAGTTGATATATCTTACCCAACATAATGGAGTTGACAAAATCTTTTGGGCTGTCCCTAAATATCGGGCTTCCTTCGCTATAATCTCTGTCACCGATGACTCTGATCACGTCTGCCAGATTCTTGATCGGATTGTGTTTAGTGAGTTTGTGATACCGACGGGTCTTTATTATCGAGCTTTTTACACCGCTCTCTTGCAGCTCCGGGTAATCCGAGTACAGAAGTTTGTTGATGTGAAGTCCGTTCTCTCCCGGAAAGAAAGGATGAATACTTACGTTTGATTTCTGTTCGTACGGGTTTGGAGTGACTTCTATATGGAAGAATACTCTCACGCCGCCCGTCACCGACGGATTGATGAAAGCCAAGTTCACGTTGAACCCATCGGCTGTACCGCCTCCTTCACACTCTAGAATCCGTTTAATGTCGTCGAAGTCACCTCTGTTCGAAAGTAAAGCTCTCGTGATAAAAACGCGAGCTGTAAAATACATTTATTAACGACTGGTTAGGTTAGAATACATCGTATGTTGAATGTGCAACCAAACCTCTTAGAGACTTCACGAATCGTTTATCTCTAAAAATGTGTGCGTTTTTAAACATAATAATTAACAAAAAAAATAACGAATTCCAAAGCTTGGAAGAAAATACTAACATACTGTGTTAGTGAGGCAATCCGCGTAAAGGAAGAGAGCGCTAAGGGTTAGTACATGGAAAGGTATAAAATATTGAACTATAGGATAGGGCATGTCACGAACATGAAATACGAGGGTAGGTGGTTAGCTTATTGTATTCAAGTAGTTAGTTAGGAGCCGCCTTCAAGAAGAATATTCGAGAAAGACGTAGTAGATACAATTAATTGAATTAATCTGACAGGATGAATTGAAAATTGAAGTAGCGGGAGTTTTATGGGATAAACAAACACCAAATAGGGAGTCGTAAAAGAGAGGTTACATAAAACAGTTGGCAAGACGTATTGACAATTTGGCATTGGGTAAGGAATTAGAACACACAATGGGGTTCGGAGATAAGAGAGATGAAAACGTTGTGAAGAGTGATTTTAATGTAAGGACTAAAGAATGAGTATATGAAAGAAAGACTGAGTTCGAGGCCTATGGTAGGAACGACAAGAGAAAATGGGCTAGAGTGGTTTTGCGGTAAAATAGTTAATACGACACTAAATACATTAAAGGCTCTCTCACGTATTCTGTTTACGAGGTTCTTGCTATTGAAAATCGTGTTGATCGAATACACCACTTCGCAGTAGGTGTGAGCGCTGGCGTATCCGGGTAGTTGACCTGCATAAACGACGGCTTCATATATCTCTTCCCTCGCTTCGAACAACCCGCCTTTTTCGTCTTCAGCGGGTATCACATGAGCTGATATCACATAGAAATGGTCGACCGTTTCTATTAACGCGTCTTCGGTGTGAGCCAGACACTGCGGTGTAAAATAAACGTTTTGGTTTATTTGCAATTCCATTATAGATAATCCAGGGAACGAATCATAATCGAACAACCCTTGCCACGAGAAACAAAAACATTGTTGATTCCAAAGACTCGAGTTCATTTTGAAGATAGCAAGAACAGACAATAACAAGGCTATGGCCTCAACCAATATATTTCTCGCGTACTACGTCTTCTTTAAAGCTGACATTTTTCTTAACGTTTCCTACAATCGCATTATTCCACTCTTAAAATCTGGTAAAACTTTCTTCTACTGACACTATATTATAAGCATCGAGACTTTGACTTTCCTATGTAATTCCTACGCAAACTCAAAATGTATTACTCCCTAGTACATGACCTCGATAAGACGTAGGACATTTTTCTGGTATATTTTTCTCCTTACTGTCCATCATTGATAAGAAACTAAGTGCTATTCCATACCCCGCGTAAAAATTATAGTTAGTCTATCTTTTTTCTATTATAACTTTACTATAGGTGACAAACAAAAGGTCGGCTCGGTCGTCAACTTTCCTAACTTAAAACCAAATCTATTATCTATCATACTGCGTTTCAATCTCAAATCACTCACCAAACGTTTAATATTACAATGTATTATTGTTTTGTGACTTACCTGAAAAGGGCGTTGGTTTACTAATATTGATGTGCATCCGACTGGTCCTTTATCAGGGTAATATTTCGGTATGTTTTGCGTCAATGTGTCGTCCAAGTGAATGAGGAATAGCTTAACAAAAAAAGTATAATTTATTTACAGGATTTGATGAGTGTTTAGTATTTAATTATTGATCCCAATAACTTTTTGATACTCGCGTTAGCATTTCGAAGGAAAATTAGGTAAAATTACAATTAAATTTTGCTTCAAAGTGGGACTGATAATTCATTGTTCTTAGAATGACAGGTGGTTTATTTCTAATCCCGCCAGGTTAGGCGCTAAACCGATTTCTTCGTGTACTTAATCTTTCGATAGGAAATCGTACTAAATGATAATTTAGGGGCCAACAGTTTAAAAAGTTCATCCTTATTCCTTCCTTACCCCTTCAAACTCAAGAAAAACACATAACAAATGTACATATCTTTTAACTTAAAAAACATAACATATGGGTTAAGGGTTATAGTTTTAAGTAAGTAATACCATTTTTTATTTACATTTTAATTAACTCTAAATTACCACATTAAACGAAACGTTAGCGCCCATCGCAATGCCCTCAAGTTCTCTCACATACTGAGGATAGACTAGGAATTTTAAGTAAAATTACAATTAAGAAGCAAGCGGTTCCGTAGCCGCTGAACCGATTTCTTCATGTACTAAGTCTTTCGATCGGAAATCGTATTAAAAAGATACTGTAGGCACCTAAAATTTGAAAAGTTCATCCTTTCCCTTTTAAACTCAAGAAAAACACACAACAAATGTACATATTTTTCAACTTAAAAAACTTAACATATTGGTTATAGGTTATAGTTTTAAGTAGGTAATACTATTTAAATGTTTTTTTTAAATTATAATTAATTCTTCATTACCGTATTAAACGAAACGTTAGCGCCCATCGCAATGCCCTCAAGTTCTCTCACATACTGAGGATAGACTTTCAATGTGATTGTTAAAGCATCGTCATAAATGCGCTTTCCTTCGGGTGTATTGTACGCGTCCAAATAACCCTGTAAAGGCGTGTAAGTTGCTACAAATTCTTGTATCATCGAAGCAAACACCGTTCCCTATAGTAATAAACATAAATTACACAACATTAATAAAATCACACTGTACAATTTAATATTACGGTAAAAGGAAAATATTCTATGGGAGATAACACGTGCGTTGCATCCCAGTTGGTAATAATACAGTCTATAATCACGGTTAGGCTTATTTACTATTGTTGAACAACAGAATGATTGAAAAAAACCTAATTCTTTTGAAACACAATTGATTTTTTAATCAAGATTATTTTTTAACGCCAAAAACAATCATAAAAACGGTACATGTTGGCATAATTACTAATCTAATTTTTTTAAAAAAAAAAAACTAGAATGAACGTATACGTTAGCTTTTTGTAAACAATTTAAGTGTTCCACATTGTTTTTAAGGTCGTGTATTTAGATGGCATAGTTATTACTTATTAGTAAGATTACGTTTATCGTTGAACTACGAATTAACTGCATTTATGGCAAAAAATGTTATTAGCTCAAACACAAAACGGTTATGTTTGTGACCTATTGCTAGCGGCTGTCTATTTATAGCAAGTATGTGCAACTGATTAATACGTAATCGTCTTATCTTGTAAAGTCAACAACACAATTTCAACTTCAAGACTAGACGGTTTGTAATACACTTACTGTGTTACGACCAACATCAAAATGACTTCCTCTTACATATAACATAGGTATTCTATCTTGTCTTGTGTATTTACGAGGAGGTTCCCATTCTGAAATTACAAAAAAAACACAAATCTTTGTATGAGGAAACACTAAACTAGCTTTTCGAATTCGGAGCAACTTTTGCGTTTATCAAATGTTTGATTCTATGCGAGTTTTTTTTGTAAAACTCAATTTTTTTTTTGTCCTTTAGGCTATATATTTTACCGTGCTTTTTTCTTGCTAGTAAGGAGCTCAAAACATTAAGAATAAAAGAAAATAATTTCTTTGATTCTCGCAGTGCAAAAAAGTTCTATATGACTATAATTATTAAAAAAAAAATATTATCGCAAACCTTAGATAGAACTTTAAATAATCTATTTACTTTTAGTACGAAAATTTCTTTGTGTATTAAACAAATAAAATAATTGGTCCTATTTAACAAATATTTGAGTGTTTTGTAAATTATACATTATTTTTGTATTACCGCTATAGAAAAAAATCTTTTTGGTATAATATTTTCTTTTGCTAAAATGGTCTATCTAATGTTTTATTTTCAGTTGTTGTACCAAAACGCTCAATCTCTAGAACAATTTGATTCTAAGATTGGTTTTATGAATCTTATTTAATTACCAAGTTCTTAACTAATTGTTGAGATATAACTGATATAATTTAAAACTTATAATTTTTAAATATTTTTTACGTTTGTATCGAATTATAAGCTGAAAAATATTAGAATACACTTTTATTAGCCCTCTTGAAAAATTACATATTCACATATTGAACTTTTTGGACCTAATCCCACGACTGGTATTTTATATTACATTAATCCTAGCCATATTCTAATATGAAAAATTAATACCTTCAATATTTGTTTTTGCCGAATTTATTCCTGAAATAGTGTTGTAAATAAAAACTAATTAGTCCATTCAATATCTGGGAAAATTTGCTCGCTAATTGATATTTCATAAAAATTCTAATTAAATTTTTTTTTTAAATAAAATAAATAAATGGTTGGACTCGATTTTTTTATAAAAATTTGTTATTCTTATTTATTGTACAAATATGTTTTACGCCACCGACAAATTTGATAAAATGATATGATAGTCAAATAAATTTATGATTAGTTATAATAGTTTTAAAAAAGGAACAACAAAATTATAACTGTTCTTTCCAGAAACCTTAAAGTATTAAAACGACACATAAAAAAACCAAATTAAAAAAATGTTCAACCCCTTTTTTGGAAAAGGGTTAATGATGCTGTAGGTTTTTCACTGTACATCAATACTAAATTCTACAAAAATATTTCAATAAATTAATAATATTAGTAGAGCAAAACTTAAAATTATATAACAATGTATTATACTTGAAATATAACATAATGTCATATTGTATGTATATTTATATTATATTTTTGTAATTTTTCTTAGAAATATTTGAAGACATTAAATAATGTGTTTCTTCTTTTGAACGCCTAAGCATAGTATTTGATATTTGTGATACAAAATGAAAATTTTATTTTTAGTAATATTTAATACAAAATAATCTTACAAAATTTAAGATTATATTGTTATTGTTTATAGAAATTTATCTTACCAAGTTTATCTGCAGCAATTTCCAGTAAAAGCATATAGTGCAATAGCGCCAAACCTATTAATCTTAAGTTAAACAGCATGATTTGTTATATTTTCAATCCGTTAACATCAATGCAATAATGGTATCTACTATGGACGTTTATATAAAGGTCTGTATGGCATACAGGTGTTTTGAGAGTTACTATTATATAATTAATGGCTTATTTGATTTAGTTATCTATTTTACCATACGATGGCGAGTAATGAAAAACTTGTTGACTTTTATTGTCATATTTACCGTCCTTATTCATCAAACCGAGCTAATACTAAATAATGACACTAAACAACGCTCATAGTCAATATACAAACAATTTGGTACTACGCATTCCATTCCATTTTTTTTTCTTTTTTTTATACATTTTTAATCTGCACATTTTTATAATAACATTATTTTATGCTGTTTAAACGACTGTATTACAATTTGTATGAGTAACACACAATTGTTATTGCCACAAAGACTAGGGGTAGGTCAAGTCTTTATATATTTGCAACAATGTTAGTAGTTAATGCCATAAATAAAATAGTGCTAATAGCTTCATAGGCGCAATTTCAATTTTTAACTTGGGGGGGCTGGAAATTTTTTAAATATATATATATATATAAGTAAATATATTTTTGTATTTCAAAATTGTATGCATAACTCAAATTTTTTTGGGGGGGGGCTAAGCCCACCCTAGCCCCCCCGTATTTGCGCCTCTGAATAGCTTTCTCTGGGAACCGAACCTTTTCAAACCTATATTTATAATTTTTTACTACACTTACGAAGGAGAAGTGTGCAATGCTAATTATAGACTAATCAATAATAAATTATACAATGTTAAATGTTTTTTATAATATAACACATAATTCCATGTATAATTCATATGTAATACAATTTCATATTGCGTACATATATCATATATAAAATTTAAAGCGAAATAAAATAGTTTAAACAACTGCTGCTCTTGCGTCAGTCGAATGCAAATAAATCAATTTTAATGATTTTTGTAGCCATAATATTCAGTAATGCAAAATAAAAGTTGATCAAATAACCGGCTGTTTATGTCAGCTAAGCTAAAATTAATAGCATCTCCAGCTTTGGTGTATATTGCAATTTGTAATGTAAATTTAGTCCCGTAATTCAACAAATAATTTCAACTTGTTGAGGCGTCCTAAACCCTTTCACCCACCAAAAATTATGCACTGGTCAAATATTTTACGAGAACTAAAACTGACATTTGGTATAGAAAAATTAAAAAAAAACTAAAATTTCGTATCGAACGATTTGTTTTTTTTTAATCCCTTTATTCAAATAGGCTAAAACTTTCGTTGTATCTGTAGGTATTTGATGACAATAAATCAATTTTATTGAGAATGCGCTTAATTTCGTTGAAAGATCTAAGCAAAATATTCCACAGAAGGCTGTGGAAACCACGACAAGAGATCATGTAAATCTCAACGGTATAATAAATTCCAAGTAAGTTGAAACGTTACTGAACAGTGTACATTGCAAATTAAATGCAAAATATTGTTGTACAAAATTTGTGTACATATTTAAACAGTTTACAAATATTGTGTTGTAAAAAAATAGACTAAAGAGCATATTCAATTTTATCACTTTTTTTATAATAATTCCTCTAGACCTGTGACCTCTCCGTCCCCTCGTTGCTTTGATTCCATTATACCTATACTCTACTGTACTAGTCCTCTTGTATAAAATCACTTTCAAATAAACGCTTTGATGCTTATTTGTAAATACAGAACGTCAATTAAATACTTTCTAACTTTGCTGGTTTATACTGTGCTTGGTTTGGACTGTACTGGCTTGAAAATACTAACTATCGATTTGCATCGAAGCGTTTTTTCGAAAGTGATTTTATCACTTTCAGATTTAAAAATTCCTGTAAACCTGTGACCTCCCCGTCTCCACTATGCCCCGATCCCACTGTACTGGTTTTTTTTTGTTAGTTTTCTGTTTTTTTTATCAGCTCTATAACACCGTTTCTTAATGTTATTTCCCTTATCCATTTATAAATGAGACCAATTCCTCTCTCTACAACGCCTTTCACTCTTTTATCAATAATTAATTATTATATTTTATGTCAACTAATACGTTATTACATTAATTTTAGTTTTTTTTTCTTGTCAAAATATATTTTGCCAAACTCTGATTATGTTCCGATGTGAGGAAATACAGGTGTTATTACAACTTTGTGGTTTAGGCTGTATTAATTTAAAAAAGTCAATATTTGTCTTCTTGTTTATTTAGTATCACTAAAATATGTTCAATTAATCGTTAAATAGTTAAAAATACAAAACCAAACTCTAAAAAATCAATACACGTATTACACGTTTATAATAAACGTTTAAACTAATAGTGGTTATAATAATTATTTCCACAGTTCGTTGACTGCACAGACTCGCTATGACCCAATAGGCCCCGGCCTACTGTGCTGGCATTTACGAACATACCTGATGAAGATATTATATTTAAATTCCGTGCGCTTTCTTCTTACCCATAAAGGATAGCTATCTTGATAACTGGTGGTTAAAAAAGATAGTCAATGATGTGTTATTGCTGTCACCACCCGGATGAATTCATTATACCTAACGTGATTAAACCTCCAAAAAAAACGTGACATGCAGTCCTCGTTAATAGGCCAACAATGTATAAAGGTCACTCCTTCTCCATTTAGATTTACAAATTAATTTTATTGAATGTTAATAATGAAAAAAAAAACTATTTAACATCAAAAAATAAAATAATAAAATACAAATTTTAAAAAGTGAGTAAAGTGAGGTTGGGGCATGTGGGGACGGATTGTTATTACAACTGATAGTGATAAAATCACTTTCAAATAAACGCTCCGGGTGTAAATCTGTAATGGTGAAAATACAAAAATCGATAAAAGCATTGTAATTAATGACTTCAAAATGTATTGTGTGCATTTTTGAAATTGTTGGCCCAATACATTTCTTTTTAGGTACGATTTCCGATCAATAAAGTCGAAGAAATCGGTTCAGTGGTTAAGAAGATATGAAGTGGGTTGAGAAAAAAAATTCATCACTCTATAAACATTACCTTCTCAGTTCCGCATCAAAGCTAAAATAACATTTTTTTTTTAATTTAAATTTTTGATTGAAGGTGATTATTTAAGTTTGATTGGTTGTCTTACGCTTACTTTATACTAGGTTTTTGCTTTAAACGTTTCTAAAATGACTAAAATTATTATAACTTTGACCTTTGTTGTTATATTAAACTCATTTAAAAAAAAATTCGAGTCGTAGTTATAATCATTCAGTTTTAAATAAAAAAGAACGTTTGTTAGAAATTAATAAAAAATAACTAATTTGATTTAAAATTTTAAAAATCCAACGTGTAATAAAAACCGTAGATATATTTGATCCCAATATCATTTAATAACATACAAAACAAAATAAAAACATTTTGATAAGTACATATTGTTTGTTAATATACAATAATATTATAGTTTTGCGTTAAATTATGACGAAAAATGGAAATAATATACGCGTACTGAATAAAGCTTGTGTATTGTTATTTTAAGAATACAGCATTTTTTTTTGGCGAGGAGTTTAATACAGTTTAGTGCCCCTGGTATTTGTTTATGTATATGACCTTCATGGCTAACGGGGTGACTATTAATTACAATATACAAGCAATTACATATAAATAGGATTATTTAAAAAAAATTACATGGCCACCAAGGCTCCACAGGCCATGTACAAAATTGTGTTAGCGGTGGATCGATTAGATCTGTAAAGTTTAACGGTAACTGCAGAATGGGATTGTTAGTCTGCGGATCGTTTGTCCATATGATCCATGATAGCGTGATGAAGTCGAATATACCTAAAAAACAGTATTTTACGTTAAAGTTCATAGGTGCCATGTTTGATTTAGTCTTAGTGGATGAGAGTCACATAAGTGTTAGGAGCAAAACAGGGAACAATGAAGGTGAAATTAAGTAATTCAGAATTTTACTTATAGTAAATATAACTATTAGAAGCGAAATAATTTTACGTGCACAATGGCATGTTCTTCATTGTAAAAACATTTATATCTTTGCATTAACAGGAATTGTATTAGTATTTATTGAACAATAGTCATCAGTCACTTACCCAACATAATAGTGTTGACAAAATCATTTGGGCTGTCCCTGAAAATAGCGTATCCTTCGCGATCGTCTCTGTCGCCTATGACTCTGATCGCGTCGGCCAGGTTCTTGATAGGATTGTTCTTGGTGAGTTTGCGATACCGACGGGTCTTTACTATGGAGCTTTTTACACCGCTCTCGTGCAGCTCCGGGTAATCCGAATACAGAAGTTTGTTGATGTGAAGTCCGTTTTCTCCCGGAAAGAAAGGATGAACGTTTAGGTTTGATTTATGTTCGTACGGGTTTGGAGTGACTTCTATATGGAAGAATACTCTCTCGCCGCCCGTCACCCACGGATTGATGAAAGCCAAGTTCACGTTGAACCCGTCGGCTGCACCGCCTCCTCTACACTCTAGAATCCGTATGATGTCGTCGAAGTCACCTCTGGTCGAAAGCAAAGCTCTCGAGATAAAACCGCGGGCTATAAAATAAATTAGTATGGACTCGACAGTATCGTCTGGGTGGGGACAGGTTAATTCTAAATTGGTTCAACGTAGGCGAAAACATCTTAAGAGAGTATCAATTGCACTAACTCCAAATAGGGCCGCCCATATACCCACATATACGGCGTAACGGAGAGGTTACACCAAACGGTTGGCATCACATGATTAATTTAAAAAAAAATTTCATGTTGGGTATTGATGAAAAATTATAAAAGACTACGAAATTGAGAATATTAAGAACGATGTGAGGAGTGGCTGTGTAGTGAAGACTACAGAATGATTATGTGAAAGCCAGACTAAGTGTAACACCTATTGCAGGAACGACGAAAGGTTTGAAGTAGTTTAGGCATTATGTTACATTTATTTGTCACTCGACTGACCCAAAAGTGATCAACAGAGTCTTTGCAGTAATTTTTATGCATTAAATACATTAAAGGTTCTCCTCACGTATTCTGTTTACGAGGTTCTTGCTATTGAAAATCGTGTTGACCGAGAACACTACTCCACAGAAAGTGTGAGCACTGGCGTATCCGGGTAGTTGACTTGCATAAGTGATGGCTTCATATATCTCTTCCCTCGCTTCGAACAACCCGCCTTTTTCGTCTTCAGCGGGTATCACATGAGCTGATAACAGGTAGAAATGACCGACCGTTTCTGTTAACGCGTCTTCGGTATGTACCAGACACTGCGGTATAAAATACACTTTTAGTTTTCATAGCAATACTATTATAGATAATCCTGGGAACAAATCATTGGACTGACAGAAAACACTGGCCACGAGAAACGGGCGAAATTCCGAATTCAATGGGCCAAAATAATTTTAATGACGGCAAGGACAACAGACAATAACAAATGTATAATCTTAACCACTCTGCTATAAGTACATCCTCAGATCTATAATTCAATTCAATTTTGCATGTTCTATGTAGCTATTGAAAATATTTTTCATCTCTATCTTTTGCCATTTATTTTTTCACTTCACAAACCTCCATATCTTTCTTCGTTCTTCTTCGGTTTAACTCAACCTCTAAATCCATGTACAGACAACTCTTTAGTTTGTTTTTTATTTTACATTTTTCTTCTTTCAATATGCTCAAATCTTCTCAATATATTAAATTTGTTTTTTCTACATTTTTTGGATGAATTTCCTAATTTCCTCTTAAAATATACTCATTGTTATTTTATTTCACCTCGTTATTTTTACAATTTCGTGTAAAAATTCTCATTTCTATTTTTTTTTATCTGTGTAATTTAATACTCAACATTAATTTCTATGTTCAATAAATTTTTTTATGACACCATGCTCATTCCGTATATCCTCTTAGCACTCCCATTTGCGTCCAAACGGCATTTTAAAAGCCTCTTCTATCTCAATTTCTAACCCTCTCTTATTACTCTACCTTATTATCTTTCAAATCTATGGGCATTTTATATTGTTTCCTACTATTACTCTACAACTTTGCTGAACTAAAACCAAACCGGTTATCTCATACGATGGCTTAGATAATAAAATTCTCTCCAAACGTTTAAAGTATAATATATTAGTGATATGTGACTTACTTGAAACTCGGGTTGGTTTACTAATATTGATGTACATCCGATTGGCCCTTTATCATAGTCAAATTTAGGCATGTTTTGCGTCAATGTGTCGTCCAATTGCATAAGGAATAACTTAACATAAAGTATAATTTATATTACATAATTTTATGAGTGTTCGGTGTTTGATGATTGTTACCTATAGCAAACATTTTGTTACTCGTATTATCATTTACTAGGAATTTTAAGTAAAATTACAATTAAGAAGCAAGCGGTTCCGTAGCCGCTGAACCGATTTCTTCATGTACTAAGTCTTTCGATCGGAAATCGTACTAAAAAGATACTGTAGGCACCTAAAATTTGAAAAGTTCATCCTTTCCCTTTTAAACTCGAGAAAAACACATAACAAATGTACATATTTTTCAACTTAAAAAACTTAACATATTGGTTATAGGTTATAGTTTTAAGTAGGTAATACTATTTAAATTTTTTTTTAAATTTTAATTAATTCTTCATTACCGTATTAAACGAAACGTTAGCGCCCATCGCAATGCCCTCAAGTTCTCTCACATACTGAGGATAGACTTCCAATGTGATTGTTAAAGCATCGTCATAAATGAGCTTTCCTTCGGGTGTATTGTACGCATCCAAATAACCCTGTAAGGGCGTGTAAGTTGCTACAAATTCTTGTATCATCGAAGCAAACACCTTACCCTATAGTAATAAAAATTAATTACACTAACTGATTAATATCACACTGTACAATTTTACATATTACAGTAAAAAGAACTTTTTACTTTTTAATTTAAGATTTTTATTTCAAGCCAAAAAGCCATGTAAAAACCGTACTTTATTATAAGAGTTGCAATTGTAAAATCGGATTACAGCCATCGTCGAGAAACTATGAATTAACTGCATTTATGGCAAAAAATGTTTTTTAGCTCAAACACAATGCGTTATGTTAGTGACTTATTTGTCATTCGTTTGTAATACACTTACTGTGTTATAACCGATATTGAAATGACTTCCTTTTACGTATAAAGCAGGTATTCTATCTTGTCTTCTTTCTGTAAAAGGAGATTCCCATCCTAAAAAAAAAAAAATTCATATACGAGGAAACACTAAACTAGCTTTTCAAATTCGGAGAAACGTTTGCGTTTATCCCATACGTATTATTTATTGCACTTATTAGAGACGTACTTTTATATGAAATATCCATAACTTAAAATTTTGTTTTCACCGAATCTATTCCTGAAATATTAATGTAATTAAAAAAAAACGTTCAACCCCTTTTTTGGAAAAGGGTTAACGATGTTGTAGGTTCTTCACTGTACATATTATATACTGTACTATATCTAGAAAATATTTCCCACAAATATTAGATTACTTTTTAATAGTTATATTGTGCCATAATTAAGTTAAAAAATAATTCAATAAAACAATTTTGCTATTATTAGTAGAGCAAATCTTAAAATTATAAAACAATGTATCATACTTGTAATATGACGTAACAATATAATGTCTTATAATATTTTATATTTTGTAATTTATTTTTGTTGTTAGTTAACGTTTTACTGGACATATTTTAAGACCTTTTATAATGTGTTCCTTCTTTTGAACGCCTAAGTACAGTATTTAATATTTGTGATACAAATTGAAAATGCTATTTTAACCCCTAATACAAATTTATCTTACAAAATTTAAGATTATTTTTTTATCGCTTACAAAAACTCATCTTACCAAGGTTATCTGCAGCGATTTCCAACGATAGGATACAGTGCATTAGCACCACACCTAATACTCTTAAGTTAAACAACATGTTTTATTAATTTTTAACCAGTTAACATGAATGCAACAGTGGTATCTACTATAGATGTTTATATATCAGCTATATAGCATACAGGTGTTTTGAGAGACTGCAAAAATAAATGCTGTTTTATAATTTATGACTTATTTGATTTATTTTTGTATTCCATGTTGTATAATAAAAAACCCTTTGACTTCAGTTGTCATATTTACCATTATTTTTTTATCTAACCGGTGTTATAATTAATGACACTAGTAGTCAATATTCAAACAATTTGGTACTACGCATTCCATTTTTATTGTTTTTTTTTCACACATTTTTCAACTGCACACTTTGATAAATGCAATAGCCTACCTACTTTTCCATTTTAACAATAAAATAATATTATTCTGCGCTATTTAAACGACTATAATACAATTTTCATGAGTAACACACAATTGTTATTTTCCGAAAGACTAGGGGCGGGTAAAATCTTTATATTATATTTGTAACAATGTTAGTTGTTAATGCCATAAATAAAATAGTGCTAATAGCTTTATGTGTGGACTAACTTTTTGTGAAGAGCGAACTCTTCATTATAATTTCCACTACACTCACGAAGGAAAAGTGTACAATGCTATAATAATAAATAATCGAATTATTACTACATTATGCAATATTAAATGTTAATGATTCGTATGTTTTTTTGGTCAACCCGATTATTCTAGTGGTGGAAAGTAAAATCATATATATGTGTTTTTAGTCTATAATAAGCTATATTTTAGACTAAAAATAGAGATTATGAAGCCACAGATAAAATAATCAAGGAAAATTATCCAAAAGACATAATATGACATTTTTTTCAATTTTAATATCAACATAAGAAAAGAAGGTAATAGAAAAAACAATAATTTAAAAAATGTGATTTCATCAGAATCAAACGTTTCGATGCGGGTCTGCAAATAGTAAAAATCCAACAGATTATAAAGAATATAAACCAACATCGACCTAAACTACAATTCTAATGATTAAATTAGTGTGTAAATAGTAAAATATTATTCTAACAATAAAAATTGAGAAAAATTGCCCACATCGTTATAATATTAGATAAATAATTTTATTTTGTACACAATATGTGTGGTCAGTTTTTATACTAATAATATGAATAATAACTAGAACGATTATAATTACAATGATTTAATATTATATTTTAAAATGGCTAGTTTGTAACTCTTTTAATTTGTATTACCTCCGTATAAGTACTTAAAGTGTATTGTGACACTTCAGCTTATAGTATAACAATTTACAATATTAAATGTATGGTAAATAGCATATTGTATGGACTTGTTGATTACAGTTAAGAGATTATTAATGGAAGTACCAAAGTACCAAAAGTCCCAGTGTTCTTTATTTGTATATTAAGACACATCCATGTTCCTATGTATTTCCGTGCAGCGGAGGTACTAGTAAGAGTCTACAGATACATTATCTTAACATTTAGTTCTATGTCTAGTCATGGACTATTTTGATTTATATACAAGTTAATTTTTATTGCTTGTTCGATCGATGTTTAACCTGTTTTGATATCGGCTATTATGAATAGTATTCAAGTCTTAAACAGAGAAAAAATAGTCGGGATAAAAAAGTTTTTAAAAAAATGTATAAATCATTATTCATTATTATTTAACTGCTAACATCATACAGTTTACTTAACCTATCCTAATCTAATATAACCGGCCGCTTTTATGCCTTATTAACATCTTTACAAATATATAATATTTGTAAATTATTATTTAATTAATATTTAATTCGATTATTGTGATATGGTTTTATAGCACTCTTGTACGTTATCTATACATTTAATATCGCACCATCTACAAATTCGCTCTGAAGCATCAATTTGAAAGGGATTTTATCACTTTAAGATATGATAATTCCTAATGATCTGTACCTAACCTTTTCGACTCCATTGTGCTGGCTTTTATTTATTTGTCTGGATGCACGGTGACTATTTTACCGCTGAAGCAATGTCTATAGCACAACTATTATACGTATTAGATAATATATGACATTGCTTCACACTAAACTGGCTATAGACTATTCTCAAGCACACGAAAAAAAAAACAGTTTTTATGGTTTTATTGTCTGTTTATGTGCAAAACAAACACACGTGTTACTTAATATATTGTAACGTGAGGTTTTAACAATTTTTTATACGATTTTTTTGCTTTTACAAGCGTCATTTGGAGTCGCGCGCGAAATAATATACAAAGCGAACAATAATTTATCTGTTTAAAATTTGTTTTTAAAAATTAATAGCTGAATTTGTAGAACAAAGGTAAGTTTTTTTTTTGTATGAATCAGACTAAATAAATACACAAAACCAACAAAATGCCTACAAACCAATTGTGACCTTAATATCTTTATGACCACTCAAAATGTAAAACGTTTTCAACACTTTTATTCCGACTGGTGAATGTTATCTGTAGTTATAAGTTAAATTGTCTCTTCTGTCTACCTACCGAAAAAGCCGTGTTCTATTAGGCAGTTTGTATAGACATGCTACGAAAATTTTAAAATTTAAAAATTTTCAAAAATAACATATAGAATAACTGATTTAAGGTTCTCGTCACAGGTTCTGAGATAATAGTGGTAAGTTAGCTTCCTTCATAGTAGGGGTTGTTTCAGTGTATCTGTAATTTAAAGTTTAATTAGTTTAATCGTGTTCACGATAATCTATAACTGACTTTTTTATATTTGCATGAAGTGGTATCAACAACAATGTTCACTATAAAAAATCGACACTTACCGAGAAATAAAAATATGTTCGAGTAAATAATGTGTTGTTTGTAGTATTTTCTAATCTAATAAAATAAATATTATAGTTGATCCATTGAATTAACAGAGTATTTTGGTCAATAATTGACATAAAACATCAGTAAATCATGAATTTGTTTTTTTTGGAAAAAATCTTAAAAATATTGTTTTATGCTTAACAGGACATTGGGTATCTTGTTTAATAACCCGCAAAAAACTGTTATTAAATTAATTGTTTTAATAAATTACCTTTTTACGGTAAAAAATGTTTTCCACGCTTTATTCGGCTTAAAGCTATAATATTATATTTGATAGCTCTATTTGAAGGGGTATTTTTCTGATTCAAACAAGAAACAAAAACAAATTTTTCATAAAACTTGTTTGCGTGGTAAACTTTAATAATAATAGAATTGTTTAGTTAGTTAAAAACAATAAAAAAGACTAAGTAAATAACTAACCCTTCGATATTTAAATTAGAACAATTATTACTCGAATAAAATATCTATTATCGAGACTTCTTAATGCTAATCACTAAAAAATATGATTTATTTAATGTTTGATGGTGACTTTCGATTGAAAGCTATTTGAAGGATATCACTCAAATTACACACCTAGTTAATTCTTATTTTAATTGCTAAAAATATTTTACATTATAATGTTTTACTGACAACATTCGTTGGGAGAAAAAAAGTGGTCTATAATATTATGTAATATATAATATTCTAGATGAGCTTTGTGTTAATTATTATCACTTTTATATGTGAATATGATAATCATACTTTTGGCTGTAGTCTTAAATACTTTTGTGGTGTATTTTTTTAGCTATTAACGACCATCATCTATAGCCAACGTGTATATTACCATAAATTTAACGCCTAACAAATGTCGTCAATTGTACAATATTGCACCATTTTTTTTATACTTAAAAAGAGTATGTGTTTCAAAAACGAGACAACAACAAAACAATGATCTACATACTAGTAAATCTAATATTCTATGAAAAAAATATGCTAGTTCTGGTTCTCGTTTATCGTCAAATAAATAATACTATTTACTGCACACTATGTTGTTATTTAGAAATTAAAAATCCAGTGGACGAAAACCCAAAACATGTATTCCAAAATGTATTTTCTCATAACGTTGATTATGTTAAGTAGTCTCAACCACATCATGGGCGCTTTGGACTCTGATACATCTGGTAAAACACTTTTTACTTATACATTTATTAATATTTATAATTAAACATAATAATACCACAAAGCATAACAGAACATTTTAATTTTTCGGTTTCATTTTATTTTTTAGGGTTAAAAATTACAAATGTTTATTGGGTTAATGGGAACATAATAAGATTTAATTTTCAGATTAACTCTAATTTTTGTAATTATTTCAATGAAAACTAAATATTATAATATCAATTTTACAAGATTGAATCTTTAATCTCCGAAACACTATTTAAGTTAGGTCTTACATTTAAGTTGAATTCGGTTCAGTTAATGTATTTTTGTATATTGTGTGATACCTAAATTAAAAAATAATTTAAATAAGAAAAGTTTAATTGATAATTTAAATTAAGAGTTTTCTAAGGTAGGTTATTTTTTTTTAAAGCTAATTACAAGAAAAATGTGTTGTTTTATCGTACTAACTGGATATTTTAAAATATTGTTTTAACTAATTGAGTGCTCATTCGGTCCTTAGATCAAGGGGGAGATGATAAGTTCTCTGCATTTCATAAATTATGTTCGTTGGTAAGATGGTTGAAAAGTTTTTACTTGAAAATTAGATATATTTTAGGCGTTTCTTGTTCTACACAGTCAGATCAAGACTTTCAGCCAACAATTTTCCATGTAAAAGGAACACACCATAGTATTGGAGTACAAATTGCAAGTTTAACTAACAATATTATATAATTGCATTTTCCGCAACTTAGTTGTACATTATATTTAATCGGCAGGGACAAAAATTCAAGACAATGATTAAAGATTTCTTGGCATCTTACACGTCTTTGCCGGCTTATTTGAAAGCCTACAATACACCCGAAGGAAGAGCAATTTACGACGATTCGTTAACGTCGTCAATGAAATACTTTCCACAGTATGTGCGAGAGCTACAAGGCATGGCTTCAGGCGCCGATGTCGAATTTCACGTGGTAAACGATATTTATAAACTTTAATAAAGGTTGATTAGATGTTCCTTGAGTTCAATGTGTTCAATCTTAGTTAATTAGCAATTAGCATTCGACATTTTTAACAAGCCAACAAATAAAAAAGATTAGCTAATCATACAAATTGTATTGCCAGTTAAAACGAGAACCGAACAATGTAAAACATATTGACCTAATGGTTCATTGGCCCTACCCTGATTATATTGTGTATTTTTCTATCATTTAATAGATAACGATGACAATTTGTACTTCTTTTAAAGTCAAACGTGTTTTAATAATGTTTAGCTAAGTATGTAAAAACAAATTAAGTGTTAAATTCTGGTAAATTAAAATTGTAAACTTATGATTGTTTCCATCGCGCGATAGATACTCGTAGGTACTTTTAATAATAGGTAAACACAAACCGTGCTACTAGTACTGTGTAATAATTTATATGATCACGTTTAAAACTTTTTTTTTTTTTTAAAAACCCGTTATCTTAAGTTTATTTATACGTACAATTAAATATAAATTACTCGTTGTTTGTTTTAACACATAATTTTTGTTTTGTTAAGCTATTCTTAGTGCTATTGGATGACACGCTGACAATGAACATGCCGAATGCTACCCCTAAAGACGCTGGACCAGTCGGATGCACTTCAATTCTTGTAAATCAGGAAGAATTTCAGGTACATCAGAATGTACTGAACAAAATATTAAACGTATAATATAGGGTGGCTGAAATAAAGCGATAATCAAAAATTTTAATGTATTTTCAGAAAATAATATGTAGAGTCATCTAATGGATTTATCATTTATTTCATAATTCATGAAATATCTAATTACTCTTCTTGTGTAAACATAAAACCTTATTATTTCATGAAGTACATACCGTACATAAGTTTCTCTGTAAATGATATTTGTTCAAGTTCAATAAATAATAAATTTTAAATAATATATTATTTGCAAAACAAACATTTCGGTGGGTTAATCATCATAGAAAATGAAATGAATTATTACCAGACGCCATTTGTTATTATAACAATAGCTTGTACTGAACTTGTATGTAATTTTTTGGTTTTTTTTCCATGTTCACTTTAAATAAATTTAATTGTTGTAGGCTTTGGGACACAACGAAGACGCTTTGAAGGAAACCAGTGGCCATTATTATATAATATCAGCTAATGTGAAAGCCGCAGATGATGAAAAGGGTGGGACATTCAAGCCTAGAGATGAAAATTGGAAAGCGGTCGTTTATGCGGCATCATTGCCTGGATATGCAAGTGGTGTCAACGCAAATGGAGTGGCATATTCAATTAACACGATTTTTGCTAGCAAACAACCCAGAAGAAAAATACGTGAGAACTATATTAACGCGTTATAATATAATATTGCCTAAAGCGTACATAGTGTTACATCAAAAAGGTTTATTTAATAATCTAGTTATATCAACCACGATGGTTGGCTAAACCATTGTGTTGGAAAAATGCAACACTCGCCGAGATTGTGTGTTGTGTGTTCGTGACCGGGAAATTTAAAAATATATCCAAGACGAGTTTACTTAAAAAATATAATAAAAAAAAACAAATTCCAACTATAAAGAACTTTTTCCAAATCATTTTATACAACACTTATTTTGTACTCGAGGTTGTTCTATTATTAATCAACAAACATAATAGACCGCACTATTTACGTTAATAACAATATCTTATCGTTCGAACGACATTTTATACTAATGTTCTACCATTTTTTTTTGTTTATATTACAGCTCGAGGAATGATAACGAGAGCATTGCTCTCAGCCAAAGCTGACCTGAACGACATCATTGAAATTCTAACCAACGATAGGTGTGTACGGGGTGACTCGTGCGGCACGGCCGATGCGTTCAACGTGAACTTGGGGTTTTTCGATCCGGAGTTGACGGGTGGCAAAAGAATCTTCTACAATCTGGAAGTCACCCCGGACAAAGACAACGCAAGATCGATAGTTTCCCTGGCAACTATATCGGCTGGACACAACGGGCTTCACATCAACAAACTACTGTATTCGGGATACGCGGAAATACCTGATCACAGCGGTGTGATAAGCAGTGTGGCGAAGACCAAACGTTACCGTCAATTGACCAAAGACAATCCTATCACTGACATGGATGGAGTGCTCCGAGTTCTTGGCGATACCGATCCGACTACTGAATGGCAGATATTCAGGAGCAGGCCTGGCGATTTTGTTTACACCATTCACACGGGTAAGTTAGGTTCTCGACGGAGCCGAACTAATATAATGTTTAAATTTTTAAAATGACAGTTTTTAAATAAATTTTGCTAGTTTTATAACTGAAGAACCACTAAAACGGCTGTCGAGGAATCAAAAAATTACAATATTGCTGATACATTTTGATCATCTGGCTTATGGTTGTTTTTCAGGTGTTATTGATTTCACCAAAAAAATATGGTACATATGGCCGAAAAATCCTCGTGCCGAAAACGTTACACCTATCGAGATACGGCTCACCTTCGATGACCAGAATTAAAATTAAATTTAGATTAGTTATCACAATAAATGTCAATAATTATACTATAGATAAGCTTTCGTTGAATTCAAAGTGTTCTTAAATTGTTTACATTTTTAACAGTTGTAAAACAAAACAATTTTTTACAGTTAAAACCTATGGTTGGTCTAATCTAAACAACACAGAATTTTAATCATACAACAAATCATATCGAAGAGACTTGTTGTGATTGAATTTATCGTTGTCATATTAGATTTAAACAGTTAAATTTCCCTACTAAATTATAATATATATATATATTATATATTTTTTTTTTTAACTATGATACAAATGTGCTTAAGTGTCAAATTCTATAAAAAAATGTCTCACTCAAATTCAAAATTTTTATGATGGTAAAGGAATATAAAAATATTGTCAATTTTCAACAAAGTAGAGGTCATAATTATTGAACCAAAATTTCCACTTTTTATTAGAGGAGGTCACTACACATTTTACGGAAAAAAGTTAAAGGACCTCGCTTCATAATTTGCCCGGAGTCCCGAAAATTGTAGCGCCAGCCTTGCACTTATATTAAGGTTTATGTTAAAACATTTGGATATTTTACTTAGCGACAATTTACAAATGTGCGTTGACGAAGTGTTTTAGCTGGATTTTATTTATTAGACTACATTACTAACAGCTATGCTATCAGTACATCAACAATAAGTAATAACAGAGAAGACAAAAACTGTCTATTGATTAACATATGTATAATACGTGTAAAAGTCATTATAGTTTATAATAGTAACACTTTGAACAATATATTACAGGTGAGCAATCGTGTATTTACTGTCTAAGAAAATTTTAAATAATACCTTTGTCTTAGGTAGGCTTTGGAAACGAAATTAAAGGTATCCCTGTACAAGTTTAGCAATTAATACAAATAAAAATAAAATAGTGAAGATTTTTATATTTTATTATTAAAACACATATTTAACTAGAAAAATTTATATTTCTTATGAATTTTTAAAACAACTTTTAATAATAATAATTATATAAGTGGATAAAAAAGGAAAACAAATAAATTGCTAAATTTTATCATAATTTAAATTTGAGTAAATTACAATTCTAGGTATCATTAGACTATAAACTTATACGGTTGCTTGATACCGTTATGATGTGGTTTTTCCATATTTATTCTTGATCAATGCTTTACATTGATCAGTGAAGTCCAATGGAGTCATTTTGATCACATTGCAAATTGTTTTTATAAGAATCCTAAATTGTATACTGTTTATATTGTCTAAAAAAATTAATGTTTTTTATTTATAAGTAAATAGTGTATATATTGTACATATTGCACGGTAGCTAACAACACACTTTTAAAATGTAACATTTATAATTAACATATATTTTGTTTTGGCGGTTTTTTTTATTACTTTTTACATTTTCCGAATCATTGTCAATCGTTTAACACTTGAAGTGAACGTTAACACTCTTTGAAAACATCAAGTACAAATAATTTATGTAGGTATTTAAGTTTTGATGCTAAGCTTCTAAGCTATTATACTTTTTTTAAATTAGATAATTTTTTTGCAGTGCTCGAAAATACAATAACTTAGTTATCTGAACCGGCTTTATACACTTCAATGTTCCCTCCTCAAACATTGACAAAATCCTCAATACATATAATTGAGTTTTTACTTTTTAACCATATACGTTTGTGAAAATGCACAAATAATTCATTTTATAATAAAAATGTATCATGTTTAAGGGAAAATGATGGAAAGATGCATATTTAAATTTTCATAAAGGGAAAATGAGATTTATTTCTTAAGATCCACTTCTTCACAGCCTATCAGGTATAAATCGTATCAATGCAAAAATATTATTAAAAAAATGGTGAATAAATATAAAGCCATAACCATTTACCTATATTTTTGCTTTCAGCTCCGGCATTCTTTATATAATTGTCTATTATATTTGTATAACAAAGAGAATCATTCACGAACAATTTAAAATGATCCATTGTAAGTGGAGCTTCATTAGACAACTGAAACCAACCTTTCACGAATTGATAAACACCATCTAGAATCTGAAATTTGTTTTTAGTAGTATGATCATATTCCGTTACATAGAGAAATGATTTGTGTACAAAGAACATATTAAATGCTAGAATAAAAAAAAACCCTACTCATCTGAAACAGGCGAAACTATCGGTTACATTAATCATTTATTGATATAATCACGATAAATTAATTATTTATCCATAATACATTTTTCAACCTAGACTAAATTAATAATTTACCTGTACCTGTTTAAATAAAACAGTTTTTATTTTTTAAATCTTAAATAAAAGTCCAATTGTCATTTTTATCATTTTATTTAAGAGAATGGATTATTTTTAAATTTATAGTATATTATATACTAGAACACCTAGCAGATCTAACATCATCAAAAACATGTGAATCGCATGTCAATGTAAATAATATCCATATTAATCATTATAATATAAATAAAATACAGTTTAGACCAATATGTATATTAGAATTAAACAGTCAAGTATTTACTATCTAAGAATATAAAAAAAAGCTGTGTGGGTTACGGAACCCCCGGAGAAGCTATGCTTAGAATTTAAAGTATGCGAATCATACGGTTACTATGATAACCGTGGTTACAAACTAATAGTTTATTTTGGGTTAGCAACTAAAAATAAACATATTCGTATTTTAAGTACAAAATTCGTGTTTGAGGCTACCCTTAGGGGTGGAATTTTCAAAAATTACTATGCCAGACAACTTTCCAAAGTTTCATGGCGATGGGATCAATAGTGTAGTAATGCGATAAGGATAAACAAACATACGGCATATATATATATATATATATATACATAAGCCCGAGTTACGGTTTTTCTTCCACGGTTGACCCCCAGTTCCATAAGAAGCATAGCTTCAATAAAACAATTACCTTATCCTCGTAAGTGTTTGGGGCCGTACCCAATGTCAGTAGAGAACCCAGTTTATAAGCAAATTTATCATAGACAATTGATGTACATTGATTAGTAAAGTCTAATGGCGTTATTCCAATTGCAATGCAAATCATTCTTATAAAGCTCCTAAATTGAACATTATTTATGTTACCTATAACATAAAAAAAAAATGTTTTTTATTTAAAATATTATATAATATATTTTATAGATAGATTTGTACAATATAAAGAGCAGATACATACTGCACAAAAGCCCAGAAAACACTTACACAGCATTAAAACGTAACGTTAATAATTAATAAACAAACAAAATAAAAAATTGTATTATTTAGTTCAAGCACTTATTTTATAGAACATGTATGATGTGTGTTATAAAATATAATAACGATTATATCATAAAACTTATGATGCTTATTGTATAACTTAACTTGAGTTCCTACTTAATCATTGGCAAATTCCTCAGTAAATATTATTGAGTTTTTGCATTTTATATTTAAAACCATATACGTTCGTGAAAATGTACAAAAACAATTTTTTATGATAATTATTTCTTATGTTTAAGGAAAAATATCAAAAGGTGCATATTTCAATTTTCATAAATGCCAATGACAATTATTCATACATCATCAGCGCACATAACAGACTTTTGTATGCACTGATGATGATAACATTGCTATCGGAAATAGAGTATTATTTTTGTGATCGAGGAATTATTTAATTATATTTTTTGTATAACCCCCCCCCCCCCGTGGAAAAATCCTGGATACGCTACTGAGGAGTATAAATAAATGACCATTTACCTATGTTTTTGTTTTTAAATACGGCGTTTCTAAAGAACTCTTCTATTATGTTCTTATAATGAATAGAATTACCCACAAAAAAATTGAAATGGTCCATTGTAAGTTGACTTTCATCAGACAACGCAAACCAATTTTTTACGATTTGATAAACGCTATCCAGAATCTGAAATTTGTTTTTACTAAAATAGTTTTATTACGATACACAAATAACAGATTAAAAAAATTAAATACATGTTGACTAGAGAATAATATAAAACGAACAGTCATCAGCATGCATTGACATGTCCAGAAATATACATTATAATAAACGAATAAAAATTAACTGTTATTCTATTTTTTATTTATTGATATAACCACGATTTATTTATTGTTTATCTATGCTCAATTTTCGAACCTAAATTAATAATTTACCAATAACTTAAAATAAAAAGTGTGTTTTGTAAATCTTAAGTAAAAGTAAAATTGTCGTTACTGTTATTTTATTTAAGGGAAAATTATTTATTTTAATTTTAAGTATATTATTTACTAAAGCATCTAGAAGACAATTATGCTACCAATACATAAGCAATATGAGAGACAAAAACATGTGAATCGATGAAACAATACCAATAAAAATTATTATGATATATAAAAGTACAGCTTTGACCGATATATGAGAATTATACAGTCAATTATTTACTGTCTGGGAAAATAAAATAAAACAATTACCTCGTCCTCGGTAATGTCTGGGGCCAAATTCGATTCTAGAGGTGAATCAAATTTAGGTCCATATTTATTGTTGATTACTGATCTACATTGAATTGTAAAGTCTAATGGCGTCATTCCAATTTCAAAGCAAATTATTCTTATAAAAATCCTAAATTGAACATTGTTTATACTGTCTACAACAAATAAATATTTTTTTAATTATAAATAAATACTATATATTAGTTGTTAGAATATAAACAGCAATTGCACACTGCACAGTAGCCAAAAACACACTTACATAGTTACACACTTACATACACTTACTTATTATAACATGTTATGTTCTATAAAATATAATAATGTAACATATGACTTTATAATTTTGTGTAAATTATATTTTGGAGGTTTTTTATTACTTTTACATCAGAAGTACAATTATTTACAAGTATAAATAATTTGTGTAGGTATTTATGTTTTGATGCTAAGCTTCTAAGCTGTTATACTATTAGGATATTTATTGCAATGTCTAAAAATACAATAACTTAGTTTACTAAACCGGCGTATTGATTAATAATCACACGCGATTGATATGATTTGGTTGTAGTTGTTGACCATGAACACGACCCCTACTCAAACATTGACAAAATCCTCAAGAAATATTATTAAGATTTTACATTTTATACTTAAAACCATATACGTTCGTAAGATCATATAATAAATATTGATCGTGTTTAAGGGAAAACAACAAAAAAATGCATATTTGAATTTTCATAATCGAGAATGAGAATTATTTCTCTAGACCAACTGCTTAATTGCTCACCTCAAACATAAATGAAGTACACAAAATAACCATTTACCTTTGTTATTTTTTTTAACGTTAGAAAGTTTGAATAAGTCTTCTTTTATATTTTTATAACATTCAGTATCTCCCACAAACATATGGAAATGGTCCATTGTTAGTTGATCTTCATTAGACAATTCAAACAAATCTTTCACTAATTGATACACGCTATCCAGCATCTGAAATTTGTTTTTACTAAAATCATTATATTTCGATACATAAGAAATAGATTTTAAAATGCATAAATATAGGAGGAGGCATTGACGAGTGGGTAAACCAGCAGCGTTTGTCCTTAGTGGCCTGCTGAGCTCATATGATTAGTATCGTTATATTTCGTTTGAATTATAGATTATTTAAATAAATAAATGAATTGTTATTCCATTGACCATTATTATTATAACCATAATTAAATTACCATTTGTCCATGATCAATTTAACAATCACATTTAATTATAACAAATTCAGTTGCACATAACACAATTAAAAAAATTAATTATATCAAACAATAACCTATGGATATTTTTTTGGTAAAAAGACAATGAATAAACAAATAAAAAATTAGAACTCTTATTCTGTTATTAATTTATTAATATCACGATTTATTTATTTTTTTTTATCCATGATCAGTTCTTTAATTTACCTATAACTGTTTACATAACAAATGTACTATTTTGTAAATCTTAAACAAAAGTAAAACACAAGTTATTTTAAAAATGTTGAATTCTTTATTTCCAAGAGCACCTAGCAGACAGCTATGCTACCAGTGCATCTGCAACAACGTGGAAGGCAAAACTATGTGAATCAATGAAAATAATACTTACAAAAGCCATTATAATTTGTAAAAGTATATTTTTAACCAGTGTATTAAAATTAAACGGTTGAGTATTTATTGTTTGAAAACATTACCTTGTCTTCGGTAGGTTCCAGGGCCGAACCTGGTGTCGTACCGATTATAGGTTTAACAATTAAGACAAATGAAAATAAAAATAAAAAAGTAAACATTTTGTTACTTTATCCACTGTAAAGTAGATTTTAACTACAGAACGAAATGAAGAATTACTCTTGCTATAATTCCCAGTTTTATTGTGAATTTCAAGTACAAAACGTTAGTCACAAATATGTTAAAAGTTCATACTTTGGCATACAAAATAATAATTTTTATAATAAATCATTTAACAAGACATTTTTTTTTTTGTCTTATTTAATTTAAACCAAGCAGAGAATTAATTATTTTTTCAAACAAGTGTTTTTTAACAGTTATTTTATTTGTTATTAGTTTTAGGCTAGATGTCAACCAATAAACTCGTAATATTTTTCACGCTTAAAGTCCTCCCTCCTCTCCGACCCCATTTTTGTGGCCTCTTTTCTCCTATATTTTCTTTTCTATCTAAATATGACTATAATTGTTTGCGTTCTTCGATATTGACGAACCAGTAAATCATGGTAAGATCAAAATATACTAATGTACACGTTAAGATGCAGCCTTCGTTACTCTAAACCAAAACGTACTTTTTAACGGTAATTACGAATAAAAAAGCAATTTTATTGATTTATCTACCGGGTCCAAAAATGTAAAAACCTTTCCTTCGAAATCGAAAAAAAATTACATATTTTCCAAGTTGAAACTATAACACTGTATAACTTGAAAAATAGCAAATTGAATAGTTCGGGTAAATAAAATATTTGTCAAATTCATGGTTTCTAATTTGGTTTTTATTGAGCTGGCTATAATTGTTTCTAGTGACAACAAGAAAATAACATTTTTATTAAAACTATAAAAATCATCAAACTCCGGTTTCATTTAAAATGTTCAGTTTTGTATAATAATTTTGAATACTTGTTTACATTTGTATAAACGTAGGATGTATTATGCAGATTTTACTAATTTGTTGTTTAAAACAAGGGTTGATGTTTATCTTAAAAATAATAATAATAATGTTAGCAATTGTTATCTTTATCAAAAAAAATGTGTAAACCAATAATTTGTATGAAAGTTTAAACTTAAATGTGTGGATAACCACTTTAAAATAGTTCTTAATTATGAGCACCTCAATTTTATTCTTCGGGCATCTTAAAATAGGACCGCATTAATAGAATTGGGTGTTGCTGTAATGAAAAACAAAGTAGTCTGCGCTCTTTAGTAACGTCTTAATACATGTTATCGTTTGACGAAATGAATCGTTTGTTACACTTTCAAGCTTTTGGAACGTGTTGTCTGAATATTCATTAAAAGAGACTGGTGAGTATAAAATGAAAACCACTTTCAACGGTACGAAAACGAAAAACGATCAGATGATATCGATTTCTTTGTATACGCTACTGTTTTGGTTCTGTAAGTCCTGTGCCAAGCAAGGGTAAATTAAATACGTTTAAATAAGTTAAACAAATGTAATGAAATCTACTTTTTAAGTCGTTATACTCTGATGTAACAGATAACACAAAACATAAAATGAAGAACAATATAGTATGTATTATTAAACGTCACAACTGTTTATGATCTGTGTGCCAGTGACCGCACGTCGTATATAGTGGACAGTCCTCACTATGTATTTATTTAATATCTAATAACGGTGGTACGTAACTTAAGTTAATACGATATATCCGATCATAGAAGAGAATATAATAATTACAAAAGCCGTTATTATAACGTTAACGAAATTGATGCTTATTTTTTTTTTTTACTTGTTTAAGACTATGTGTCCGTACTAGTTACGCCTTAGTGCTGGGTTCTTATATAATCACATTGATTAATATATAACATATATGTCAGTAAGTCATTATGCATTCCGTTGTAGCCGAGTGCTGTGTTTTCAGTGTAGCACTCACGGCCAATATGATATTTTTGGTGTTTTTCTTGATTTTACATATCATAACTCATTATTGACAAATTGTTTTTTTGTTAAATAAAACAATTTTGCCTGAGTTTGCTTGGAAACTTGTAAAAATGTTAGCAGCTCATCAATAACAAAATTAATATCATCAGTTAATTACCTGTACATTTATTATATATTTCGATTATTTATTTGACTTAAATAGGTATATTTTTTTAGTAAATAAAGTCTAGCACTGGACACGATAAAAAGAAGAATAACAAAGTATGAAAAATTACAAAAATAATTTGGCGATAATTGGTAATTTTACAAATTCGTGAAATTGAAACTTATACAAATAAATACCTAATACTTATACTTATATACAAATATATAAATTGTACGTTATATATGAAATTCGAGTGTGGTTATATGTCCAAGTTTTGCTCGATGTACCGAATGTCCCTGACGAGTTTGGCAAACTGCGAAGGGTCCAACGAACAAATGTGGTCCGACCCTTTCATGTTTCTGTCCAGAGTGATATGTCTTTCGACGATCTAAACCGGTAAAACAACACTCGATTAGACGTGATCCATTCAAACATTTGATCGCAACAAATGGACCAATTTCTTTGGTGCGCGAATTTCAAAATGCCTATATCTTAGTCTATTTTTATACATACTCTCGGTAGGGTCTATCGCTCTTTCATTAGCTATCCTCAATCCTCATATCAATTTCGATTACGTTGAAACATCTCTTTTTTTTTACTCTGTTAACTTCTATCCTCTGTTAACATGGCCAAATAGTTTTCTTAGTTTTCGCCTTATCATAAACACAAATGACGTCGTCCACCCAAATCTACTATGGCCGTTTATTTTTCATTCCACACGTCTACATGTCTAATTTATCATCTCCGACTACTTTTTTCGATTTACCTCTACATCTACCGTGATCTCATTCATACTAGTTTTACTCTTTTCTTTCTATGTCCTCAAACCATTTCAATCTCTGATTTCTCTCACCTCCAAATCGGTCCCATTCTGTGTCACAGCCTACACCCTGGAAAATCACTACTTCTTTTACGATCCTTGTAACCCACATCCTACGAGTACATTCATTCTGTTCATAAAGCGATTGGTCTCCTCAAATATTTCCTAGTTACTGACCTCGTTTTATAACCATTTTAACTTTTTTATTATTTGTTCCTATCACTTTATATGCTTTACTTCTTAATCGTTTTCATTCACTAGACAGAATTAAGATTCGGATGGAAGGGTCTTACAACGGCTTACATCCAAGTAGAGATACCACCGACTCTACCTTCGCCGCTTCTTTTACACTCACTTTGGCGCCAAGAGCCACCGAAGCGGCGGTAATGCACGAGCCGACCTCGTGGCCCGAATATCCAACGAGAATGTCGGGAAAGTTTTTGCGCAGTGTCTTGATCATGTTTAGGTTGGCTTCATCGGCCGGAGTCGGGTACGCGGACACGCAGTGCAACAGCGCAAAGTTGTTGTGGTGTCTGCTGACGGTGTGGTATGTAATCCGTATGTCGGTCAATGTTTGCATTCCAGTGGATATCACCAACGGCACCTTGGCCTTGGCCGCCTTCTCCAGCAGTGGCAAGTTGCCAGATTCGCCGGAACCGATTTTCACGAACGGCACTTTGAGGCTCAGCAAGAAGTCTAGGGACACCTACGCCGATTTGGAATCGTTATCGAAACGATGAATGTATTAGACGTGGACGGAGAAAGACAATCTTGGTGCGATTGGCAAGCAAGTGTTTATTAGAGTATATTATTTGGAATCGGCTACACGAGATAACGGAGGAGTCGAAAAAGACACGGAGTGTAGAACAAATTGTGGTTGGCTGGATAAGACGGAGAGAGTCGGCGGAAGTGTTGCGTTCTATTTAAAGTGCAATTCGAATTTTATAAAACTGTTGAGAAGTCAGCAATCGTGTACGAAAGAGACCGTTGGGCATTGAGCAACAGAGATGAAAGGAGAATGGAAGTAGCTGAAAATGGAAACGTTGAGAAGGATGTGTGATTGTATGTAGTCAGGTAGAAAGTTATGTCAATAGCAGAAATAACAAGAGAGGAAATGTTGAGGTGATTTAAGTAATAGTTATAAAATAAATTACCGGATCCATCGCCGACGCTGTGAAGTGTATTCCGACCTTTTTCACAGCGTACTTTTTTAGCTCTTTGAACTGCTCGTCGGTGAACTCCAAAAATTGTTTGTGTTCCCCGTAAGTGGCACCAAACGAGTTTTTACTGTCATACGGTCTGTGCAACGCTAGCATAGTAAATTTCTCTTCTATGCAAGTTTTTTGGAATTTCACGCAGTCGGCTCCGCATTTCTAAAATCAATGCTACATTACGATATCCTAAACTAATAATTTTCCTTTTTTTTTTCGTCTACCATGCCACTTATGTACTAACCGGAAATCATTAGGAAGCTAAACCCATACGATTTGTACTTACTTTGGCTAGTTTTATCAATTTCTTGGCCATCATCATATCGCCCTGATGGTTTTGTCCGATTTCGGCAATAATATAACAAGGGCTTTTCATGTTCAACCGTCGACCTAAAAACAGCTCCACGTCCACACCCATCGAAGTCGAGCTCTTCTTTGGGGTGTTGTTGGCATATGACATGTACTGCGAATAGTGTTTTAGCCTATAGCGAACAGTTAGGGTGAAATAAGAGTGGTATTATACGCATTATTAATTTGATTAGACGTTACCCGTCAAAGTCAGAAGCAAAAATCGGATCGTCCTCGTCGACTTCGGACAACAGCTCTCGGCCGATGACCACCGGAAAGTAAAAACCACTCATGCTCTGCATGACGCTTACTTTGATCTTCATGTCCTCGGCCTTTAAAATGGATCCCCGTTCCAAGTTCTGTGCGGCCACGACGCTCTTGAACAGCTTTTTGAAACAAGGTAGCTCCGATGGCGAAAGCACTTCTTTCATTCCCGTGCCCAGAGCTGCTTCCACCGTCTTGATGTTGGTCACCATAGACTTAAAGTCCCTGGCGCATATGGACACCCCGTGATCGAAACCTGGCCGCTTGTCGTCCAAAGTAAACTTACACGAGATGGCCTGACAAACGAAACGGTAATTATTATACTTCGCCAACCGGAGGGATTGGTGAAAAGACAAATACGATGAAAAGATACACTTATACGGTCTGGCGTAAGTGTAAACTACGTGGGTTCAATAACTAACGACGGGAAAACTATATTTTTAGTGTAACATATACCTACTGACTTTCAAGAAACTAGTATCATTAGGATACTAGGTAATTAGGAGATTAGGAGATTATTGGGTAGCAGTCAGAAGGTGGTAGAATGTCAGCTAACTGGGCATCGGTGCGCCTAGCTCATTGACCCGCGTGTCCGTCGTCTACTACCCTACCTATCTATAGGCTTACACGGTTATCAGAATAAAATGCTAATAACGCGAGTGGTAAACGTGACCTTTGCAATATCGATGGTTATTTATTTAGTTGTCTACCTTTATTCCGATGGCTACCACGATTTCGGGCAGACAAGTGATTTTTTCCTGAAAATCCCAAAACTGGAGCTGGTGTTTAGGATATTCCTCTTGTAGTTTAGCCAACAGGTCCACGCCACTGCCGTCATTGCCACGCGGTCTGCGGTCATAGCCGTCCGCCTGAAGCTGGTCAACTTTCGGCGAGCCCCGGTCGGCAGGCTGTTGGTCGTCGTTGTCGCTGGATTCGCCATCGCTCTCCTTGAATCTTTTTATTGGCAAGATATGTCGGATCGACCCCTGCAAAAACCAAACGGAATCCGTGTTTTCACTTGTTTTTGGCCCTCCCCCCCCCCCCCCCAAACAACAATATTGGTTGGTCATTTCTAACCACTAGCGATTTGGTGGTGAAGTTGCCATCGTTTTCTTTGGCTATCGCGTGAAAATGTTCAATGTCCGCATTTGAAAACGCACACGTGCTCTCGTCTAATTCCATGTAAACAAAGTCAGCGCCGCATTTCTGAAAGGAAAAAAAAATAGAAAAAAAAAATAGCATCAGTCCCACGCATCAAAATATTGTCAAAAAATTTGTTGACATATTTTTAAATCATGTTTTGGCAATAGAGATAAAAACGTTTCTAAAAGTATTATTTTAAAAATCTTGCTTGAGGGAACCCTATCCGCTAGTTTATTAAGGAGCAAAGTATAGGCAATTTTTCGCAAAATCTTAATTTAGAGCTTTTCTGTAGCGTATACTTATTTATACAGTAATGAGAACTCTTAATTGTTTGTAATTATTTTTTCATACTACCGTAATTTCTATAGACAAAATTACAATGGTTTTTAATAAAATGTCATAAATGTAAAAGGTCAAAATATATTAAAGCTACTTTTTTCTTAATTATTTTTTTTTATAAAACTCTTTAATAACCGCCGTTCGATCTCCTTAAGCATTTTGTAAATACTTCCAAATTATTATCATTGAACATGTACTTCTGCTAAAAAAATTATGAGAAAATATTAACAAACTCTTTGACAACATTGTGAAAATATTTATGTGTGGGTTGAACTTGAAAGAAAATTATCATTAGGTATTAAAATGTTAAGATGGTCCAGTTAATTATGATTATTACTAACATAACAAACGTCATCGAATGTTAAAAATAATATCATTTTAAATTAGCCGTAGACGCAGTAAATAAAAATTATTTTTAAAATAATATTAAAATAGTTATTTAATTTTTTAATAGGAACTAAGGTCATTTTTTGTCCTTTTACCAGTTGTTACAAAAAAACACACTTTCATACATTGTTATTAATGCGCATGTATTTATTATCAGCGCTGTTATCATTAAATAATTTAATAAAGCCTATAAACTTATCAGCTCCTATCTGTATTATTATGATATAACATGTGATCTACATAAATAAATAAATTAAATAACGTCACGAAATAAATTCATATTTTTTATTGGATGTTAATAAATTAACATCCAAAAGTACTTTGAGCTAAATAAAGTAAGCATACAATATACAAGTGACTTTCCATTAAAATAAAGAAACCAAATACAAATGTGAAGGGTATACCTATGGTAATATTTTTATCAAGAGTATCTACTTATTAGATATGTTATTCTAGAACAGCAAACGAATGAGCTCTGCGCTCTGAGGGATAACTTTTACTCAATATTTTCTTGATAAACATATTTTTAAATTTTATTTAGCGTTGCATAATACTTATGATACTTACGCAAGCTTTTTCGATCATTTCTTTGGCCGTTTCCACATTGTCCTCGTGATTGGTAGACAAATTGGCAATGACAAAAACGCTGCTGTTGTTTTTATTCTTCATCATGACTATAAACGATGGATTTTCAACAACACATTGTAGTATTTTGCACCCTAAAATGGACGGCAGCGCTTAATAGCATCGGCTTGGCTGCGGCAAATCGTCATGTATTGATTTTTTACCCGCCACGAGTAGCCAAAGACGATGTAGACTCAAAACTCCAAAGACTATCCGGCACACGGTGATAACAGACAATCGTAAATATTTACATTATACTGGAAGCTACATAGCTACTGATAAAAAATATCGAGGTTTAATATTGATATTAATAAAAATATTATTAAGGTTGAAGGTTCTATTTATTTATTTTTTCGAGTTTAATTCGGATTTTACGATTCTCGCTCACTTTGAGTCCCGTTTGGTTTGCCGTGCACTTTGTAAATCGAAATGGAACCGTAAGACGTGTTTTGTGCCATTTCAAAAGTTACAATGTCGTCTTCCCAAGTAGACGATTCGTCGGATTGTCCTGTCGAGTTCCAGACCAAGAGGACCAATTTGTTTGCCGTTCTAGATCAAGCCGAGAAGGACTTGGGTTCGAAAATTCTGAAAGCCACCTCGGCCGATGCGCACGAGATACTCAATGGTCGGGTGCAGCGTAGCCGGTCTGGCCGATCGTTTACCAAACAGTTCCGTGGCAAAGACAGTCTGTTCGCCAAGCCCGATATACCTCCGTGGCGAATCCTGGAAAAAAACAAAATGCCCGACTTCAAGTTACACCCACACAAGTGGACCAAGTATTCATTGGCTGACGTCAACGAAATGAACGACAAGAGCAATGCTGCCGCGGCTTTTGCGTTTCTTAAGGAAATGCAGATGAGGAAATGTGGGCACGACGACGAGGGCGACGGAGAACACGACAAGAAGATAGTGTTCAAACGCGTGGAGAAAAATAAAGTGGAAGAGAACAAACCGAGTTTCCAGAGTAGCAAATTGGTTATGCCAGAATACGAATTTGGCAAAAAAGCATCCAAGAAAAAAAGCCATAGACAACGTCAGACCGACAGTAGCGGTACAAGTAACGCGATAAAACTTGATCATCTAATAGATGAAGAGGGCGACGATGAATAGTTTTATAAATAAGGGGGGGAAAATAACTATAATGTGTAAATATAAATGTCGTTTATTACTTATTACATTAATATGTGTAAATATATAGCTTATTATTTTTATATTGTTTTTATTTTAACTGTAATGTATCCAATACTTCTTTTCCATAATGCCAATAGTGTGATGTGACACAATTTGAAAAAATAAACAAGATGTTGAGTAATCTTGTTAACTTTTAACCCATATAGATTGTTTATTTTTTTTTAATTACCTAATACATAGAAAGAAACCTTACTTCTAAAAATAAACTGTTATTATAAAGTTACTCAAGCAAAACTGCAAATCACTTAACAATCTCGTAAAATTTACTGAACCAAAACATAAAATACAAAACAATGCGTTAAGGATGAAGTGCGACACATAATTGAAATTGTTTTGAAATAAATATAACTTATACTTTGTAACTACAAGCGACTATTTTAATTTGTTTTCAAAAACAAAAGGTGATGTAAAAATATAAAATAAATAAATACTGTTATAAAAGAAACAGTTATTAAAATGCACGTATTTTACACATTAAAACAAATTGCCACGTCTTGTTAGTGTATAAAAAAAAAATAATATATTTTGTGTCATAAATTAAAGACTAATGCAATTGTGTTACAATATTACAATCAAAATCAAACAAATAATACTAAGCTCATAATAAAATATTAAAAAACATTACGAGTACACGAATATTGTTTAACGTGACATAAGCTAGTGCAATTTATACATACAAAAAATATATAAATATTTCAAGTATAAAAATGGAAGTTTTTGTTGTGTGTTTATAATAATGTTTCTTATAATATTCTCAACAATTATTTAGATAACGTAGATATGAAGATAATAGGCACCATAAAGAAATAAATTAAAACCAACAAGTTACAAAAACTGTAAATTGTGGTTTGTGTTAAAAAAAAAAAAACAATAAAAATAATACAAAAACAACAAGTAAAACAGACTAAATTCGTTGATTTTTTCCATGGTAGGATTAATACAAAAATATCTTTAAGAATAACATCAGTTAAGTATAATTTAGTTTTAACTTGAAACATTAAAAAATAAAAGATTTTAAATAAATTAAACCTTATTAAATAATACAAATAATAATTGTACGATATGTTAATTAAAAATGTCGTCTCAACGAAAAACAATTAAATAGTTTAATTTCATAAAAGCAAGTATAAAACATAATTGTGGGTTGTTATAAAATGTATATTAAAGATGATTATTACTTAAAATTCGTTCAAAGAGGAATAAAAGTATCTTTAAAAAAAATTAAACAATAATAATAATAATAATAATAGAATAGTAAAAAGAAAAATTATAATAAATAAAATGATAAAACAAAAGTGAAAATGTGTGATGAACATTAACAAAAAACTAATAAAAATTGCACATTTCAAGATTAAAATAATAAGTTTAAATAATAAACTATACAAAATATATAAATCACAGTTTTATTATATCAAATAAGGCACATAATTCCGATGGCAACATCTGTTTTTCTAAGTTAAATCATAATTACTCATTAACTTTTTTTTATTATAGATGTATATATTTTTTTTCGTTGTGTACATATGTATATATATATATTTGACTACATAAAAAAATAATTAGGCGTTTGGAAAAATTCCATGATATATTTTAGGAGCGTTAATACTGAAGTATTCCTTTAATCAATATAAATGTAATTATAATATTATTATAGAAGGTTTTATTACTTTTAGGCTTTTTTGTTTTTATTGAAATTTTAGCAACAATGATCAAGTGAGTTCACAGAAAGGTTAGTAAAATTGTTCTTGGAGTTAAGCTTTGATACAAGGATGTATTGCAACATTTGGTGGTATGATGTACACGATGCCGTCATTAGCATCCTTGCGGAAGCTCGCACTAGACGTCTGTGGGTTGACTTCTACTCGTAGCAAACGAGTTTTTTGGCCCAACATGCAATTAAATTTATTTGACACGTTCACTGGTAGCTCGGTGTTTCGTAATCTTCAAGTATAAAATTTCAACGTTAAAACCAACGACACATGACAACTAACAAGTCATCTCGTTTAAAACCATAAGGCAACTACTACTTACTGGTAAAATCGGGTGCTGACCACGCCGATTAGCTCGCCCACTCTATCTTCTGCGGCGTCCGCAGTCGGTTTCAGAGTGACGACGAGGTCGTTGCCGCGGTTCGAATGAATCACAACCAACTGGTCTTGCCCTGGACTTACGCTCAGACCTGTTACCTGTGATTTTACCCAAAATTTAGAAATAAAAATAAATAAGATATAAATTTTATTTGATTTTAAAAATTCTTACTTCTTGTATGGGCATCCCTTTTTTCATAGATTTAAACTTAGCCACATCCAACTTATAAATAGCCCAGTCAGTTATTAGTATAGCTCGGTCTGCACATTTATTAAATCTGTTGGTCTTGTGTATGAAGCTTGAAAATAAAACCTATAAACAACAAAAAGAAATGGACTTTAACAATATTTTTTAACATAAAAAAAATTGTACTCACTTGATCGAATTTGTCAGAATTTCTCAAATTGTTTAACGCCACAGTATAATTGGCATTTTCCGGATTTTCAGTTGGCGAAGACAGATAATTGCCTCGCCACAATCGCTCGGCGCCCCAGCTGCTACGTTTTCCCCTCAAAAGGCTTGCAGCGTGCACCTTACATCTGATTTGTGGCCATTGACTCCTCGGATGCGGACTTAACAGCTTGTACGCCTTCCAACGTTTGTATATACCTTTTAGCGGAGCTTCCAATTGGCGCACAGCGAAATTTGGCTGAGGCCAGACCATTGGAATCTTTGAGTTGTTCATCCTTTCACAAGTTCTATACATTAAAAAAAAAAATACAGATGATTTTATATTATTAAATTAAAATGTGACAAACCTGTATGATTGAAGAACGGTTTTTATGTAATTTTGGATTTTGTATCGCCGATAATATTGTATAATGAAATACGCAGCTTTCATTTTTCTGAATTTAGCTCGACAAATAGCACCACGCCATTGTTTTTGCAATAAAACAACTATTGCAGGTATCAAATCTGCTCTCATCTGAAAAAGTATTATATTTTTTTTTTTTAACTGTTTTTGTTAAAAAAACAACAGAATAGAAAACGTTTTTCATATGAAATTTCTATACTAAAAAAATTCAGCCGTTAACTTGTTCACAAATTATTTGTAAAAAATAAGATATTTTTATTACACGTTTTTTCATATTAAAAAATTTCAGTTTTAATTTTGCAGGTTTAAAAAAAAAAATGTCCTTCCTAAAAAATACTTTTTAAGTACCTTTTCCAGCGTAAATAAAGTTTGAGGCGATCTGATGAATATTTTTGTTTTACCATACTTTACGTCGTTTGAAAAATTGTTTTCATCAATCAAAGCTCTAGTGGCCTCTTTATCGCTACATCTATAGTTTGGCCAAGTAAAACCACTTATCATTTTATACCTGAAAAAAAAAAGGTATGTTATGTAATAGTTGGAAAACATGATGTTCGCCTAACCGAGTAGAAAATATGTTATTATTTTCTCTTTTGTATTATATATTAAATGAAAAAAAATTACACAATACTTAACAAACCTCTTTAAAAATCTGCTATATGGTTGCCGATGAGCGAATCCAGCCCGTCTCACTCTGACATTTTCTAACAAACCCAAGTACGACACTTGATGAATGACTCTTTTATAATCGATACCAACAGGAGATTTATTTTCATTTGGTTTAATACATCTAACGTAGTACGGCGATTTGCTGTTTAGTGTTTTGACCAATGCAATCATTGAGTTCTTAAATGAACTTCCGGCAGTTACTGGCCGCTTTGTTGTCTACACATCAAGAAATTGTTACTAAGTTAAAGTTGTTGAAAAATTAATAATAGTTAGGACCCGGAACTTGTTAGTTTCGGGTGTTGGGGGGGAATCATTACTATTATTATTATACGATGCTTTGAAATTGGAAATTTCATTCTAACACTGATACTTCTATCAATTTATGTACATTTTTTTTTTATTTATAGAAAATTTTAGTAATAATTTTTTGTCATTTTTTGATATTTATAATACAATTAATTTTAATGGAGTACATTTAGACAAAAATCAAAAACATCAGGCTACTTCGAAACTAAATAGATATTTTTGAAGTCTTTCACAGTGTATTTTTAAATGTATAAGCTAAAATATTTAACAATTAAACATAATGTACTTTTTCAGCTCCCAATATTTTTTTTTTTTATTATTATTTAATTTTAAGTATAATAATTAATTTTTTTATTGAATGCACTATTTTCAAATTGTTATAACATCAAGTTTTGTGATAAAATAAAAAAAAAATTAACTATGTACCGATTTAATGTCGAGCGCTCCTTCAGGCCACATATCTCTGATAATTGTATTCTTTGACGAATATAGAAGCCGTTTAAAATCTTGGAACAATGTATCTTTGTTTTTTTCCAAAAACCCGTATATATTATAAACTACATCTCCAGCGTAATGCCTTCAGTGACAATATTTACAATATTAATGCAACACATTTTTTAAAAATATTTTATTACTATATTTTAATTAAAATCTATTACCGTATTTTAAATTGTATTTTATGTTTTATATCTTTGTCCAACGTGTTCACTTGTCTGCTGGAATAATGTTTATGGTGTGAAAGTTTTGTGTCCATAGCTTCCAATAACATCTGATTAAAAAACATAAAGAAAAATTGTTTTTAAAAAATATTGTCGACAAACTTCTACTAATAACTTCTCCACATACTTCATCATTGACTTTGCCAACATTCAAACATGCTTCGTCCATAATAGCAATAATTCCTTGATGTGATTTCTCAACGAGATCACAAATGATTTGGTTATTGAAATATTTTACTTCTTGCCAAGTAATACCTTCTTTTTGGTATTCTTCCTGTTCTTGTCGTAACACCAAATCTGAATATTCAACAAACAAAAAGACTTGTTTGAATTTACGTTGTTTTATGTTAAGACAATGTAGGTATACTAAATTCAAACACATTTAAACAGTTAACTTACCAATAAATACTTGCTGAAGTTTTTCATTACAATAATTAATGCAAAACTGTTCAAAGCTGTTATGCTCAAACACTTCAAACCCGTAAATATCTAAAACTCCAATAACGGTGCCTCCTTTATACTTGTCATTTTCAATGTACGGGACTAACGCTTCATTGACTTTGCTAACGATCCAAGTGAATAATCGATCATAAATCGCCTGAAAGTAAATACAAATCACATTCATTAATGTATGAATCGAAACTAATTAATGTCGACTGAGCTATTTAGTCATACTTTAGCCAACGCGTCCCTTCCAACTTCGGCTTGTGACAAAGTGTGATCTTTTTGAAGCACTTCTCCGTTGGCAGCAATGACTCGCGTACTAAGCGCCATAACTAGATCGTCGACGTTGACTTCCAATAACCTAGACACTTGTTGAACCGGATTGTTGTGACTGTTAGTCACTGAAATTGTTTCGTCATTCTCAGAAAAAAAACTTATATTCCCCTGAAAAAAAAATGTTTGCTTTACTTACATGCACAAATTAAAACAAATACACAAGTACACCTAAAAGACTTACGAGTTGCAAAATGGCTGCAACAATATTCCAAATTGTTTTGATATCAGCTGATGAAAATCGCAGCGTTTTACATGCATTAATGGTTGCTTGAAAATCAGATTTGTCTGCCGGTGTCACAGCCGATTTCCCTTGTCTAGTGTAAAAATAGTGCTGAGGGTCAGGATTTAATCCTAAACTACTCGTTTCTTTGTGAGTTGTATTTGCTAAAGCCTAAATTCAAAAAGCAATCACAATTAATAAAACAAATAAAACTATAAATGTTTTTAATTACTTGATAGAAACTATGAAAATTTCTTTCTCCGAGTTGTTGTTGTATGACACGAGATTTTTCGAGTAAATAGTTATTTACGTGACCTCCAATTGGATCTCCTTTGAAGTTAAAATTGATGTCCATATATTTTCCAAATCTCGACGAGTTGTCATTTCTATTAGTTTTGGCATTTCCAAATGTTTCCAAAATGGTATTCGATTGAATCAAGATATTTTTTACCCTGAAATTATTATTTAAAAAAAAAAACATTTAAATTGATTTAACTCAACTCAAGACTTAAAAATAATTAATACCGTTCTACTTCGTGTTGGCCCGTGGCATTAGTGATGGCGGCAATATACTTCATGATTATCTTAGAAGCTTCAGTCTTACCACTACCAGACTCTCCACTAATGACAATACAAGAATCTTGTCCATGCAATTTCATGCTGCGGTGTGCACAGTCGGCAATTGCATATATGTGAGCAGGGTTTTCAAAAATTTCACGTCCTTCGTGCAAAACAAATATATTTTGTGATAGTGAATGTAAAAAAAAATAATTTTTTAACACGTACGACAAAAAGAACACATTCAAGGGTTAGATAGCGCATTCTAAATTATTCTACATTGAACAAACCTTTGTATTGGTTTACGTAGTCTTGGCCATAAATGTTCAAATTTCGGTACGGATTAACAGAAACGCAGACTTCTCCAATGTATGTGTAAATAAATCCTTTGTTAAATCTGTAATTTAAAATAAATGTCAAAATCAATCAATGAGGTGTTGAAATACATCTATGATGATCTACGTGTTAGGTTTTTCTCTTAGAAGATTTAAAATTAAGTCCTGAGTTTCAGAAATAATGAATCACAAGTTGTGTTTCTCTATTTGCTCCCAAACAGATATTTATAAAAGTTCGGTTTTTCTAATTGTTCAAGAATTTAAAAACTCCTCATAATATATTTAACGATTAATAGTATTTAGTTTTATCACAACTTTCTCCAGAATATAAATATATTTATCATTTTTAATATTTTTAATTAATAATATATTTAATTTTGTTTGAAATACAATTTTTAAATAAGTAATAGTTCCAGAACTAATAGAGAAATGGATACATTTAAAAATCAATTCCGAAAAACCGATTTTTGTTTATAACAAACAAAACAATGTTTATATGTTAAAATTTTTGATAAGATAAATGTTTTATCTTTTAATGAGTTATCCAAACATTTAAAAAGAAAAATGTAAACAAAGTTATGAGAATATTATGATTAGACAACAATGTAAAATGTCTACTTTTATGATAATATAAGATTAATTAATATGTATCAAGATAAAACACATATTTTGAATTACATATTAAAAATTCAAAAAAGGTTAAATTAAATGAAACAATGTATTAAAACATCTAGTAAAATCCGTTAGTTTATAAAAAGTAAGAGATAAATTTTAAAGTTAAAAAGAAATCAAGTAGAAAGTAGTTCGTTCATTGTAGAAACTCTTAAAACCTTCTAACAGGTAAAAGCCTAATATGGGCAAAACATGAAAGATAATAGGTAGCAATATTTATGAACTCTGTAGTTGTACCTAACTTGTTGTCAACAGTTCACAAGAAAAATATTTAAAACATAAGATTAAAATCTTTGAAAGAAAGAAAAAATTTAAATCTTCTACTATTAAAAAGTTTTAATAAAATATTCGTATTTACCAATCAAGAGTACTTGAATAATAGTATTTGTAGTTCATTTAGAAAATATACAATTCAAATTGCGACAAATACATAGAAACTGGCATGGGTTATCACTTATCATAAAAACATCAATATAGAGTATTTAATATTACCTATACATATATATATAATATACATAAATTTCTTCAGAATGTACTATACTTTATGGTGATATAGCTTCGATTTTTAATCAACGCCACTACTAATAACAATTAATAATTAATGACTCAAACATTTATCATCGTATAATAAGCATGTCTACAAGGTAATATTATTTATTCAACAGTCACTAAGGTGGCTGCTTATGCCATCATATCCTAACATGGACACTCAATTTTTATTTGTGTGTTGGTATTCTAAAACTATGGAAATTAATCGAGTATATGACATTAGTTATGGGTAGTTAATTTAAAAGGAAACAATTTTATATCACTAAACATAATATTGTATTTTGCTGGTTTGACGCTCTTTCTTAGCGTTTGTGAAAGAATATATAATTGAAAAATACATTGATATAAACATTAAAAAAAAATATATATATATATATATGTGGGTATATAATATTATTATATTGTGTCGAAATAGTATAAAGTCACTCCCACTAATGACAACATAATGGACAAAAATTTACTCATAAATTTGAAATATTAAAAATCTACCTCGGGTGATGATAAAAAACAACCTTGAAAAAGGCATGAACGTGAGTGACAATTTACTGAAGAGTGGAGGAAATGTTATGGTATTTTACTGAACTGTATAGGTAGGTAGGGTAAGCAAATATATTATAAAATATTGATAATTATTTATTACATAGTTGTTGGATACCAATAACGTTTTAAATAGCTTAGGTTCATTTTTTTTTTTTATTGGGGATTTATACGATACAATAATTTTAAAAAATTTAACTTGTGATAGGTAGAATAATTTTATGCAATTGAATGAATTTTGAACGTGTTTTTTTATGTTCAGTTCGTTATCAGTTTCATAAAAAATACCGACAATTATAGGTCATCAATTTCGAGTGTATAGGTAGTCAGACGTAGACAGTAATATATAATTATTATTTAACCGAGAAATTCGTGTCAATGGTCGATTTAATTATTGTTATTATTTAGATTTCGGGTTTATAATCGTTGAATTTTCTAATCGACAATTATAATCATTACTCAATTACTGTATTATTACACATAATGATAATGTTGTTACTGGCAATAATGTCTATAATGGCACGCGGTAGGGTATAATAATGATAAAAAAAAAATTCCAAGAAAAATTAGTGCCGTTAAACAATACACGAACATAAAAAAACAATTTGCGTTTATGTAATAATAAAAAAAAAATATATTATTGTGTAATGTTCGTCGGTCGACGTTGCGTTAAAAAAAAAGGCCGTTGGTATTTTGCTTCAACGTTAAAATATATAAAATATAGTATTAAGTCCCCCAACAGGTGTACGCGGACAAAAAAAAAAATTCAAAATGACACTATCCTTTTATCATACGCAAATTTGATAATATTTCTACTATTATTATCATCAAGACGAGGTCGACAGAGATATTTTTTATATTTGTTAAAAAAATACCCAAGTAGGAAATTCAAGGTTTTTTTTTTTTTGTATTCAGTAACAGAATATTAACCTTTCTTATATATTTATTATTTTTATCCTACACTTCCTCCTTGGCTAATCGACCTCACGGGAAAGTAACAGTACCTCGTGCATCATATGTATACAATATATTATCTTATGTAGAATGTACACCTATATGATGTGTATACATATTAATAAAAAAATATTGTAATACACACACGGTCAGATACTCGTGGGTGTCGGTTACCTACAAATGACATCATCGATGTGATTTATCATTAACAACAACACAAGTGTACGGTTGGACCATCGCGGCGTGAGTCATCGCGGCACTTTATGTTGTGCCAAGAACCTCAGCAAAAAAATAACACAACTGTAAACATACAAAAAAATCCTCGCACGCCCGACAAAGGTCAATAATATGATAGTAAACTATAAAAAAAAAAAAAATAGCCAACTCCGTGGACTGTTATTCGAACGGTAACGGCCGTTTTCGAAAAGGACTTTAACGGCAGCGGCGGCGCTTACCTTTCGGTCAAGTTGTCCATAAATTTGTCTACGGTGATCTCGTCCAACAGGACGAAATCTCCTATTCCCGGTTCTTCTCTGGTGGCCATGTCTGCGAACGTGTAAACGAATAAAATACCGTTGAAATAAAAACACTAACAAACAATAATTATTAACAACCGACGAGCGGGCGACTACCGCGTTAAACACATACTTAACATAGGTTGAAATTTAAATATTATAATAATTCCGCGTTCACTTAGAACACCGCCAATAACAACGCACGTTTGTGCCTCACTGTTAATTTGATAATATGATTATTATTATTAGTATTATTGTTATGGTTCGTATTTTTGTATGCGATTGCCGGTTGTTTTTTTTTTTTGTGTTATTCTTGTTTTTGGCGACGACCGAGAGACGTCCACCAAATGCTGACGAGGCGACGGGCGGCGGCGACAACGACTAACGGAACGCCGGGCGGGAGAGACTACTTGCCGCGGCCGCATCCGCCACCGTGTGCCATCGTGTGGGTGGCGGCCACAGTGCAACCGCGCCTTCCCCGCCGAAAATACCGTGCGCCCCGATTACCGTGCCGGCTGTACAGATACAATTTTGTTTTAGTACCTAACACATAAATGTACTAATTACAACGTTTGAACATTGTTTTTTTTTTTTTTTAGATAAATTTTGATATTTTAGAACTAATAAATAATAGTAATCAAATAATTGGCCATGAATCATGATTAAATAGTTAATTTAATTTAGTTAATCATGTGAATCATTCAAAAGTGAATCATGCTACTTACATAAATTGTCTGTATTTACTTATCGGAACCAGACATATCACCAGTTTTATTTAAAATGCAAGTGATGCAATAAACGATTTAAAATGTTAATTTGCTATTTTTTTAAATAAATTAAATTTACCATTAAAGAGTCGGTTGATTATGCTGAATATACGATTCTAATTTTTTGCTGGAAATATATAAGATGTCAGATGAGGTATACATTTATATATACCTTGGTCATACGATAGTTCAAGACTTAAAAAGTATAGACAATTGATTGGGGCAGTGAGGATGAATAAATATTTTTTGAATGATGATAAAAACTGCTAGTTGTGTTGTACCTAATACCTACTTCATGCCAGAAAAGAAAATAGGTAGGTACACTACTGAGTTATGAGTATAAATTATAATAGTGTTTTACCCGACGTCATAGATTATAATGTGTTGGTGCCAAAAGTAAAAATATTAAATATTTAATTAGGTATACTGTACAGAGAAGTGTTCTACAGCGAGGCCCAGTATTCTTCATAATAAATGAAGTAAAATATTATCATTAATGGTAATTTCAAAAAATATTATAAATAGATATAATTCATACATTTTTAAGGGAGCTAAAAAACACGATGTTTTTCGACAATTTCCAAACAATTTTGATTTTTAACATTTGGTTTTTTTTTTAAGATCATAGCCGCATTCTTAGTACATTCTAAGCATTCTGATCAATGACGTAGGTTAAACAATACAATAAAATATAAAATTATACAATGAACCCCCTGGAGGTTGGTATACTATAGCTATGGCCACAAACTAAGGTATGTAGGTACTAAACATATTGTAATCAAAGCACACAATACCTAGTATTGATACGACACTGAAGATGTTAACAGGTTAACATTTTTTTTTTTTTATAATAGTTTAATATAAAGCACATTTTACTCAACTATAGGTATTATTTTGCTTGTTAAAAAATAATAAAAAATATTGAGTATATTAACAACTGAGCAAATAAATCTGTATGTTTGAATTTTTTTGAGCTGGCTTAGTAGTTCTATTTTTTTTAACAAAAACTAAATTATATCCATTTTATTTGTGTAGGATTTTCTTGCAAAATCCAAATAAGATCCAATCGAATTGGTTTTTGTAATCTCTGCTAAATTGTTATGAAAAACATGGTTTAATGCAGTTTATGTGTTGTGTGTACTTGAAAAAATTGTTGTTTTAAAATTGTCTAGGGATTATTTCAATTTTTAACATAAATTAAATTATCAGAATATATTAGATTTTAACTGCAAGATCGATTTTTTTTTAATTGTTCAAGAATTAAAATTTGGAGAAATGATAGGTATATTATTAAACTTTTATACAACATTTTTATAATATGTAAATATATTCTAAGTTTTTAAAGACTTAATAAAAAGTTAGTGATAAGATCTGAAAACTAAACAATAATTGAATAATGTAAACAAGAAAAAGAGAAATTTGAAACATTTTTTTTTAGATACAGATAAACGACAAATAATTCATTTTTTTATTTTAATATGCTTTTATTTCACAATATTACAGCACGAGATAAATAATTCTATAAACATTATTATTTAATATATTTATTAATTAATAACGCAATTTTTTCTTAAATAATCTTTACCTCATAGAATATTTTTTTTCTAGATGAGATAAAAATATTACACAGTTATTTTTTAGATAAATGCTAAATATACAGAACAAACGACGTAATATTTAGAATATATTATTTCTTCAATTTTTAGCACTGTAACATAATATGTACGCTGTACGGTCTCTTAGAGGTTAGCTAAACTTGTTTTAGGAACTCGAGTATAGATAAAAAACACTTGTTCAGATGTTTTTAAACATTTCAACACAATTATATTACTTTAGGGATCAGTTTAATAAGTTACTCATGAGTCATGGATGCCACATGACACATCATATTCGCAAATAGCTAGAGATGTATGGCTATCACGAAAAGGCGTTGTCTTTAGATGAAAAAAAACATATTTATAGATTCATATTGATTAAAAATGATTTAGATTTTAAAAATGTCCAACTGATTATTTATATAAATTATCAAAAAACAGAAGGTCTGCTGGCTCTGCAACGTTCTTTTAAAAAAAGTAAATTTCTAAATAGGTACCTATTAACGAAAAGTCAAGCCATAATTATTGTTCTCGTGTAAAATATCGAATCATACACATGTTGACTCAAATAGTTTAGAGGAAAAAAGCTCGTGTGTCGATCCAAGAATACTATTTTTTTTTTTTTTTACGAGTGAAGTCCCGAGAAAGCAGCCAGAAGCGTGAAACCTACACGATATTTACAAAACAATAATATAATACCCGCAACAACGTTTTACAAAAGCAAATTTACTTGTTTACATAGTATAATATTATGTGTGTGCTATTTGCTATATGTATAATATAGCGTTTTGCAGTGAAAGCCACAGCTGGACTCATCCGAAACTAAGGTCACGTTCTCGATAGATTGATTGATTAGTTATTATGTACTGTTTATCTACGACTCGAGAGCCCATAAATATCAACCCAAATACAAGTTTATTTTTAAAGATACTTGTTTTCTTGGTCATAATTATAAATGAGGATATCTTATCTTGAGTGCTTAATAGTTTTACAATCTTTTCTTCTACTTTATTATTTTTTCTTAGCTGGACCCACGATAACTTTTTTACCGCTGGACCGATTAATTAAAGTTACAAGTTTATAGATCAGAAATCGTGCCCAAAAAATACTTTAAAAGGTAAAAAAAAAAACAGAAAAAAATTCACCCTTTCCTCAACAAAATCGATAAAAAGCGTCTTAAAAATGTACACATTTTTTATCTTAAAACTGCGGCATGCTAAAACTTTTTGGGAATAAATTCGAGTTACCTACTTCCAAATTTGTGTTGAATATTATTTAATTACAGTATAATTATGAATTTTACAAATATTTACAAATTAATCAATTAGGTACTTTAATAGACATTTTAATTTCAAAGCGTTTTATTCACTGGAACTTTATTGAAAAATGCTGGACGAAACACTATTCTTGTACTTAGTATGCGAGTCGCTACTATAGAAGCCATTTAAATATACTTATCATAAATCATGAGTAGGCAGCGCAGGCACTTTAGTGTAATATGAATACAAATTTCAAAAATAAAATATAGTACACTGTGTACAATAGTCCATCAATAATACAAGTGACACATACATACGATAGGCACAGGGGGTCACTTTTTTAATTATCTAAGAAAATATTTCAAAATACAGTACGTCAAATCAAATTTTATGACAACAAACAATCGTCATTTCGAAAAATGTGACAACCGATTTTTTTCTCGTACCTTCATTATGCTCTTTTAATTATTTATAAATAAGGTAAATCTATAAAAAAAATTATAGTTTATTGTTATTAATTATAAATATTTATAATGGTACCTTACTAATTATTTATCTAGACCGGGTGACATGTCGCTGTAGTTGTATATATATTTTTTTACCTATGCGTTTAGTTTTTTTTTAATTTCTTGCACCGTAATGCCCTGTAAAATAACATAGATCATGATTCAGAGGGTAAACGTCCTCTCGTCATGCTAATCCCGTGTTACGCCAGTGGCTTTAGGTTATCCAACTGCAGTTTTCTTCAATTCGCAAGACATGCACGTTTCTTTTGTTCGAGTTCATCAACTTCTCGAATGAACGCAAAACAGTGTAATATAATATACGGGGATCTGCAGACATAGGTTACATTAAAATAATAAAAAAAAATACAATTATAGCGCATTATTGTATTTGCCTAAGACATGCTTATATGCCTATACACAGAACATACCTACCTGACGATTCGTTGCACACGTACCTATGATAGCTGTACACTCGAATACCTAATTATTGCCGCATAGGCTCGTTGTTTATTTATTTTTTTTTTGCTCTGTTTTAACGCATAATTAGAGGTTTTACAATCATTGCACGTCCTTTTTGCAAATGAAATACGTTAGCAATAAATTATTCCATTGAAATTAGTTCCTGCAATAATTATTATCACAAAAGCATAAATAGGCATACTATTAGGTACTCGTTACGATGAGTTTTCATCCCAATTCCCATATGAACTATACAGGTAGTTCTATTGTACCCATCTACAACATGTACGATATTTTACTTACCATATTACCATTTAAAAATCGTTTTGTGCACTGAAAAAACCTCAACTGGAAGGGAAATAGTAATAAGTATTTAAAAATGGGAACCGAGTACTTGATTTTCTATTTCAATTTCAAGTATTTATTTGAATCATTCTACTTTTTATTACTATTTTAATCCAAAATATTCAACATTGAGAATATTTAAATATTTGCCTATCACTACTGACTTTTTACATTTGTCGCTCCATACAGCGAAAAAAATGCTTTCAAAATTATGACAAACGCGGTTTTTAAATTTTAAAAAGTTATAGGTTTGGACTAGAGATTCAAGCATGTTATTATAATATTACGTATGGAAAAATGTCCGTCTAAATTCATTACAAAATATTTAAAAATACATTTTATAAATTATATATTTAAATAAAAAATTAACGATTGTTGAAAAAATGAATTAAAAAGAGCATAAAACAAATTTTAAATCAAAATCATGTGTGAATTACCAAAACAAATTTTAGTAAAGCGCCAAAGTGTTTTACCTTGTTATTTTTTTTATATTTATTGAACTTTTAATTTAGTTTTCTATAGTAATAAAATCCATACGCTATATCCTAAGAGTATAGGACTTTTTTTTCGAGAGAGTAAACCAGAACTTTTATTCTACTTAAATTGTATTCAGACTGTTGAAATAAGACTCATCTAAACTGTCATACTGTTTCAAACTTTTTTTTTATTAAAATATTTTCTTTATTTACAATCTATACAAAATATGTATAATCAGCAAGTCTGATGACAAAGATACAGTGACAATATTGTATGAATAGGAAGGCTCTCAACTGTGCCACCTGACCAGAATAGTTGTTTCAATCTTAGAAAAATAAATTGTTATTATACTTCTAAGAAAATTGTATTAAAAAAATAAAATTCTGAAATATTTAGAACATATTTTATTTTCTTGAATTTAAATTTTAAACAGCTATATTTTTGGAATTATGAAGGCTATGTATGGTATATTATTTAAGTAATTATATACTCGAGTAATCAAGTACAAAATTAGTGTACAACTATTAACTAATACTTTAATTTATTAATTATTTCGTCTAATAATTAATATAATATTGTAGTGCACATTGGTCTCTGAATTAATCAATTCAACAGACATTTTTTTTTAATACTTAACTGGTTAACCGTTACCATCGTTACTTATAATCAACTTTTAAGAATAAAATGTACATTTACTGGTGTCTAGTTTTTATCAAATCCGTTCCTATGGGGTCTAACGAGTAATACTGGAATTTCGGTATTAAAAGAGTCATAATATAGAACACGATCTGTACTTACTTTGAAACCATCAGTATACATATACTATATTCATAATATTCATTTATAAGTTACAGCTTGTAGTTGTGCCGTATACATCTAATTTTTTTTTTTACAGTTCTACTTGATTTATTAAACTGGTTTACTTTTGGGTCTTATACAGACAGTTAGAACGAACGGTGTGTGCACTGTGCAGCATAAAGTACACGAGGTAATATTTTTGTATTTCCAGCTAAATTCGTAGATGGATAACTACCCTAGGTATTTATTTTGAGTACGGATGGTGTGACGACCTTAATAATTATTTACGGCCGTTCTCACACACTAGTCAATTTTATAATTTTATAGCACAACAATATTAAAATTATATAGTTAATTAATAATTAAACCCAACTAAATTTAATATTATCAGCTTAACAACAACACAACTTAGTGTCGTGTTGTTATCCAAGTAGGTATTTGAAAAACAAACTGTTTAAATAGCATAGTTATAGTTAAACGTTACCTACCCAGTCAACATATTTCCTTTTATGTAGTTTTTATAACGTGTTTTTTCTCAGTGTCAGTGCAATAATTGAAGTGTACGTGCTCAGCCCAAATGTAACTACGAATATGATCTGATAATATATATATTTATATTAAATGCTCACCGATTCGTAATGCGGTAGTACACATACACATGTATCGTATGGTACCATTTTGTACCTACAGTTATGTTAACCTTGGCATACAACACAATATTGCATAAACAGTATTGTATTTCTAGAGAAGTTGTATATTTCTTGGTACCTCAGTATATTTAAATGAGCAGGTACGCTTGAAAAAACGCGAGTAGTACTATACTTTTTGTTTTCAATTAACAAAGCGTGAAACACTCCATGGTTATGCGACAAAACTCATTCGATAGGTACACCTAATTATAAGTACATAAAAACAAAAGGTGTTTTTATAAACATAGGAGAAAATAATATAGTCGATATTTCGGTAATGAAATTCGAAGTTTCTGATCTCCACGTGCTTTGTCGTCATTGGTAGGTATTTTTAAAAAACAACTGTACTATGGCCGTGATCTTTTTTCCAAAACTCGATTCGTCAGGGTACAAACAACAAGATGGTGTAACTACCTTATATATATATTTTTTTTTTTAACAAAAAAATGACCATGAATGTTTTTCTCCGCAGCCCTTCGATTTTAAACACCTTTAGTTTTTAGAAGTACGTTGGTAGTAGAATACAATTTTCAGGCATAAGTCCGCTAATAAACCGGAAGGTTATACTTATTTAAATGCATTATTCTTATACCGAACAAACATAATTTATATATATATATATATATATATATATACATACAATACAAGCATTATTAGGTATAATATATAAAAGAGTTCTACAAGAACATTAGCTAACCTTAATTTAGCAGATGATCTTTAAAATACATTTTTTTTGTTTTGATCGCCGAAAAATTGATTCCCAAGTTTCAATACAACACAAATATAAATGTTTATATTTCAATTATCTAGCGATTATTATTTTTCTTTTAATAATAAATATATTATATTTATTGGAAGCGTTGTTTTTAAAAACTAATGTTAATCATAATGTAAGTAAACATTAATAATTACTAACAATTAAATAAAGCCAACGAAATGAGACACTTAGTATGTCTAAATTTTCAATACATGTGATTGGGTTTTTATAAAAATTATTAAATAAAACAAATTAATTTTAATTCTTCAGCAATATTTTATTCATATAAAATTATAATAATTGATGAGGTTCGATTCATTAAAATTTAACGATTGATTTGCATTTAAACTAATTGTTTGTTTTTATTACAAAGTTTGAACAGAATTCTTTGAAATTAATAATTAAAAAATGTATTTTTTTTACCCAAAATTCCTAACAAATATCATATAAATCACCATTTTCTAACTCTAAAATTATTATTCAGTGAATCATTTTTAACAACTTCCTATATAATATACTATGACTAAATAACACATATAATACATAAAAACCAATATCCGGTGGCATGACTAACAGATATTAAAAAAGTAGGAACTCACAGAAAATATCATGCAGTTTTAGAATATATAATTCCAATTTAATACAATATTTTTAAGCTCTTACACACTCCCAGTCAATATTTTTTCTATATAATTATTTTGAAATCATTTAGTCGATTTTTATTGGGATGTCATTATAAACAAATATAAAATTATAACAATTATAAGATGAGTCATTTCAATTACAGTTATTATTTAATTAAAGACATTACGATTTTTATAAGTCATAATGATCTTTTTTCGGCACCAGAATGTTTTTTATGTGACAATTACTCCACAAAAATTATATTTTAACATTTAACCTCAGCGTTATGATAATTAATTATACCTAAATATTACTGAAAAGCTACTTAATAAAATGAAAATACTTACCACTATTTTCCTTGTAATATGGTTTTGAATTAGAGAAATTCTTCTCTCCTGGAAATTCGTTGTTGAATACATAGGTATGTCAATTTTTGAATTTAGCACCTGTTCGGAAACCAGTTCACATGAATTCAATATCATACTGATAATAATACACACCAAAAGTACTTCTTTCAAGGACGTTTTTATCGAATGTTCAGTTATTAAAACAATACCAATTGATCATATTAGAATCACATAAATCAAACTTTAATATAGTATACTATATTAAAGAAAAAAAATCTTAAATAAAAATTACTAAATACTTTAGTACAACACTTAAATAAGGGTATTACCAATTTTGATCTTAATTTAAAAAGTTAATACCAATATTGTTTTACTTTAACGCTTTTACTTTTTGAAAAAAGTACCTCGTATCAAAGATTTATGACTTTTACCCAATTAGGAGGAAAAAATTCCTTAGCTGAATGAACTAAATTTCTTAACACGTTAATACGTCCAAGATACGATTAACGTAAAAAACACCAGCACTTTATAAACAAAAGTTTTATTTTAACGTTGCTTTATAAAATAATTTTACCATATATGTTTAGTTACCAATTGGTGATTGGCGTTAAATGATCATTACTGACAGCATAAATTTCCAATTTCCACAAAGAACGTTTATATAATATAATACATTTAATGTAATTATTAACCAGTTTCATAAAGTACCGTTGAGTTTTAACAAAACGCAATTGCAATAATCATTCATATTATGTTAAGTTACGTAAAATATAATACGATCAGGCGCTGTTATTTCTATAGATTTTTTTTTAGTAAACCCAATGCAACTGGCAGGTGTATGCCTTTAGCTGTTATAAATAATAATATATTCTTTGATATTAATACCAATGTCCAACGGTAAATAGAAGTACGACTGTTTAAGAAAATTACATTATAACGCTAAACCACAAATGTATGTTCACGACGCACCTTACACAATTATTAATAACAAATAATAATAAATAAAAATCATCTATAAAATTATTTATTTGGAATTTCGTTTCATCAGTTATTTATAAACACTTTAATAATATTACAATATGTACATACAACGTAGTTAATTGCACAACATGTAAATTATTAAAGTAAAATAATGTTTAAATTCGCGTTTTTGTCGCGTGATCTGAAACAAGCAATAGAGATATGACACATACATGTTTTTAAAAATTCATCAAAATATTATGTTAAAAATCATTTCACTATTCAAATTTATAGCAGCACATCATACAATCAACAAATTTCAGAAGTAAATTAAATAATAAAACATGTTTATCAATAGTATAGTACATGTGTAAGTAATTGTATATTTATTTATCATTATGTCGAAAATCATAGTTTAGTTAAGATTTATTATTATTTCTAAAGAACCTCATAATATAATAACGACAACAACAACAATTACCTTTCCCAATGTCAGGCTCCAGCTCAAGACACCAGACATTTCCCACTGAAATTTATAACATCAAACATATTTTTTTCCACAAAGACAAAATTCAAAACATCATTTAATTAAATGTAATTATTATTAAAAATAATAATGATAATAATAATATTAATAAATCAATTTGTTATTTAGGTATATCATTTTTTTTTGGACATTGGTATAATTTATTACTTTGACCCTTAAATTTGTTTTGTACAAACCTGGTATATTGTTGGATAACACGCTGTAAATAAGGTAAAAATAAATTAAACAAACAAACATGTAACACATCAGAAAGGTTGAATTTATATTATTTTATAAATGTAATTTTTTTTCTAAAGATTAATTATTATTAAACAAACGCAATTGTGTTTCATTATAATATAAGATAAGATAATAAGATTATAAAGTGTGGCTTTTGAACATTATTTACCAAGTTTTGTACATGTAAACAAGAACTTGGAATGTCCAATATGTAACTGATTGGAAGCAAACAAATTAAAAATAAAATATAAGTTTTAATTTAATCTATTGATAATAATATTTACTTTTTACAAACATAAGTTTTATTAACCGTTGTTATTCAGTCGTAATAAAAAGATAAATAAAAATTAACAAAAATCACCAAATGCTTTTAAAAATATACATTTTGGGACAAAACTTGGTAAATTATATTTAAATTAATAAAAACATTTTACTTAACTAAATTTTAAAAGTCCTTAACGCCAAAAAAAAGTAATTAAAAATCTGTCTAGCAAAATAAATTGTGTGAGCTTACTAAACGTGTTTATTAATATTACGCTATACAAATCCAAACTTGAAATATTTGACCATTCCAAACTGTTAAATTGAAATAACTCACAATGTAAAAATTTATTTTTGTTTTCCAATAGCAAGAATTTTTTTAAATGGAGCGTAGAGAAAATATGTAATGAACACATCTTAAATAAGAATAATAAAGAAAACCATATAATCAAAAATAACATGATTACCATATATATAAAACCATAACTCCAAACCGGAATACGGCAGAATTACCTAAACTATATATATATAAATATATGCTAATTGCCAATATATATATAAATATATATATATATATACTTTTTAAGAAAAAACATTATGCTTTATCCACAGTTTTTGCACTACAAAATGTTATATTATTAATTTAAGTATTTTATACACAGGTAAACATAATTAAATATATTTATAATAATAAAAAAAATGATGCGCGTAGAAGACAAACTATGTTATGGGTTTTTTTTTTATATATATATGAATGGACCTGACCAAAATGAAGATATCCTTGTGATCTGAACGTTCTGCAATAATACATTTAATAGTATATTTTTGACGTACATCCTGAAAGATATGCCAAGTAGAACATTCATGGATACTTTTGTTTTTACAAAATAACTCATGTATACATATCAAATGTTATATTAAAATATATATACATTAATTTATATATAATAATATATATTATATATTTTCATTATTTTATCACCTACCTCACTCTACTGCTGAGGTGGATCTTGTTGCGGCATCTGCTGGTAACCAGCATAAGCATTGCCACCAGCTGGATACGCTCCATATCCGCTAGGCGCAGCTGCAGGATTCTGACCACCGTAATAGTTGCCTGCACCGTATGCCATACCATACTGAGCGCCGTACATACTTGACACATCGGTCAATGGCTGCTGTTGCCCGGATTGCGGGCTAGAGGTATTGGGCTGTTGTTGAGGTGATTGATCGGTCCCGCCGGGTGGTTGGCCGTTGGATGGATTTTGCATGGCCATTTGCTGTTAAAACATAAAATTATAATAATAATATATATATAATATATTTTTCAGCGGTTACAACTTAAGAAAAATTACAATAATTAAAAAAAATGTTGATGATAATCACTGAAAGTGATAAAATGGATTTCCAAAATATGTTTTTCTGCGAAATCAAACAAATTGGAAAATGGTAATTTAATGTATTATTGCCGTGTTATTAGTTTTTTTTATTTTTCCTAAAAATAATAATAATGAGAGAGGACAGATATTTTTTGTATTCGTATGTTTATTGTATACACTAGATCAACTTCCACTTTAATTTTCAGACCCCAAGGCTGAAAACTGCCCCGTAAAAAAAATAAAGTATCGCTATGAATATAAATTCTTTAATTAAGATATTTGGTTTACATAAGTTGTGTTGTACACCATTTTTAAATAAGTAATCTATTTTATACATAAAATCAATATTCTTTAAATTATAACAAAACTATTAAGTTGTAGAAGTTTTATTTGGTTATATAGTTTTAGGTTTTTTTTTTAAAAACAAAGCGTGATTTAGAATTGTTAAGCCAAAGTGCTGTAGTTGGAAATAGAAAACACATACGTTTCTAGTTGTTACTATATGTACACATTATAACAGTTTAACTCACTCTAGCTTTAACTTGTTGTTCAACCATTTCAGCTTCCTTGACTTTACCAATTGATCGATAGTACTCAATCCACTGTGCACTATAGTCAGGAGTACCAGCTCCAGCTACAGCAGGCCCTGCACCAGCACCACCTGCAGCGCCATTTGTCGCAACAGGATTGACAGCCATTACACCATTCGGAGGAAGAGCTCCTGGTTGTTGTTGTTGCTGTTGCTGCTGTTGAACATTTCCTGGTGGAACACCATTAGCTCCATTCATTTGACCATTGAACTATTTTGAAAACATAATGTACACGTTAATGATCAACATATTATACAGTTTAACTAATTAAATAATTAGTAGACTAAACATTTCATACGCGCAACTAAAAAATGGATTACATTTTGTAAAGTCCACAGGCGAGTGAATTCGAAATCAAATTGAGAATATATTTTTATAAAAACTATCAACCAGTGAAGGTGAGATTTGTTGTTATTTATCAGAAATTAAAAAAAAAACTCGCATGTAAACATTTTGTAATTACTTAATACATGTTTATATTGTTCGTACTTTCATTTGTTTGGCTTGTTGTTCAATGAATTCCGCTTCCCTATGCATGCCCATCGATCGATAATATTGTATCCATTGAGCACTGAAATCTGAACCGCCTTGAGCTCCGGCAGCAGCTGGCATTTGACTTAAATTGCCTGAAATAAAAAAACAATAATAAGTGTCATATAATGCTTCGAAGGAACGTTTTGAACTTGTTGAATGTTTATTATTAATATTGTGCTATAAAAACAAATGAAAACCATATTACTCTGATCTGCTGGCGGTTGTGCTTGTTGTTGCATTGCTGGATTCCACGACTGACCGTAAGCATTCATTTGACCATCTTGTCCACCCCAGCTCATTTGAGAACCATATGGTTGACCCATACCACCATAGTTCTGAGAACCACCACTGGGATCCTGCTAATAAAATACAAATTATATACAAAAAAAAAAAAAAAACAAGCTCGGAATCTAAATACTAAAATTGTGAATCTAGCGGGAAAAATAAGCGAGTTCAAGTAGGGCACTTGACCGGAACGAAAATCCTAAGACACGATTGGTATCGCCGGACGCCTTGAGACCCGAGTGCGCCCGATTAATTAGCACCGATAACCTGGTTGTTATCATATACGCGGCGAATCCTCTGTGAAAAATAATAAGTTCCACGATTTTTCCACAAGGAGCGCTAACAGTCACTCATTTTTTAGAAAGAACTTTTGTAGCCGCAGATAGAACATGGCGAGGTATAGGCCGATACGCAACCAGTCTATCTACAGCCGTGATTACTGTTATAGATTTTTTGTTTAACAGTCGAATTCCTTCGATCATTCTTATTTTATATACTGATTACTTATCATTTGATTATTATTAAAATCATTAGTTTATTCCCATCACTAATTAACATATATATTAACTCATGGATAAACAGAAATAAATCACTAGCCCACGCAGACATGGTCTGCGCTATCTCACTAGTTTAATGATAATAACAGCTCAAATATGACTACATATTTAACTACTTGTAATATGAAATAAGTGCCACATAACTAGTATTTGATTTCCCCCCAGAAAACAGGACCAACATTGACAGTGTCAAAACATTCACAATGTGTGCTACACACTGCCGCCTTATCCACTTGACCCAACCTAATAGCAATTAAATACTTATACTTATAAAACGACTTTTTAGTTATTTTCCTAAATTTAATGTTGAAAATTTAACAGCTTTAATGAAATAAAAAAGTCGTTGTCCAGGTGTATTTAAATAGAACTAATTTTACTTACGAATCCTAATTTTTCATTTATCATGCGTTTCGCGTTTTCAATCTGCTCAGTTGTTCCTCGTATTACAAAGGTTTTTTCATTGCCAGCGTTGTTTTGCCTTCTATCGATTTCACAATGCGCACCAGTTTGCATGTTGATTTGTTTTATGGTTTCACCACCTGAATGCGAAAATTATGACCAACAAACTGTTATTTGATAAATTATAAAAAGTAAAATAAAAAATAAATACATTCACTCTTTATGTAATAATATTAATTTAAAATTTATATTTTATTACCTCTAAAAAACTATTGTATAATCATAAAATAATAATAAAAACCCTTAACCATAAAAATTATGTACGTACACTCCGCGTAGAGTATATAATTTTTATGGTTAAGGGTTTTTATTATTATTTTATTACTAATAACCATAAGTGCTTAAGTTTTTTCTAGATATTGTAAAAACCACTACCAAATTATCCATATAACACAACATCCACAATAATTTAGATTTTTTTGAAATTTCAATTAGTGATGGGAATCCGAAAATCCGGATTTTTTCAAAAAAACGCTTTTTAAGTCATTTGAAAATCATATAATAGTTAAATACTATTACAATATAAAGATGTGTATTGTTGATAAAATTTTTTTAAAAAAACTCTGAACTTTGTTATAAAATGCTTTCGGATTTCAACAAATCCGAAATTCAAAAGCAGTTTATCTCTTTGGTGTTTTGTTTTATTTTCACATATTTATCAAAAAAATGTTACTTAGATATAGAGCTTTATATTGTAAAATTATTTAACACTTATATGATTTTTAAGTAGCTTAAATAGCGTTTTTTTTGTGAAAATCCGGATTTTCCGATTCCCATCACTAATTTCAATATATTTATTTAAAAACTATCAGCTGAAATAAAATCATTGTCAAAAAAAAATCACGAATCACAAAAAAATAAAAAATAATTTTACAGAAAAAAAAACTATATAGCCCAGTATAAAAACCATGAAGATATAATTTACAAAATCCAAGCAGAATGAAATTGTTGAAAAATTATCAAAATAACAAGCCAAAAAACATGTTATCAATGTCTAAAAGTTTCAGCTGAGCCCGACTGGTAACAGCAAAAATAGTCATAACTTTCAAAACTATAAGTTAAAGAGCCGAAATTTTTAACACATATTGAGGTCAATAATCTATATTCTATATAACTATATAAATAACAGATATCTACGTCCAATATATCGAGAGAAAACAATTCCAGACAAAATGAAACCTAATTACCACTAAATTTTAATCAGTTTATCTTAGACAACTAAACAAACATATTATTGGTAATACGCATACTTAAATTATTATATTTTATAACGGAAAAACACACATCCACAGACAGAATGCCAAATATTCGAAAAATACAATTTATACGAAATCGTAGATTTCTTTTTGGGGAAACAAAATTAATAAGCTTATTATTTATTCAAAATAAAAAAGTATGTAATTTTTTCATTTGATAGTATTCTAAATGTAGCAACACGAGCACTTGTTATACGGCAAATATATGTATAATGTGGACAGATTACGTCTGTTAAACATTCAATTCAATTGATCAATTTTTCGTTTCTTTAAAATTTAAAGTACCTTTTCCAATGATAACTCCGCATTTTGCCGAAGGTACAGTAAACGTAGTTTCGTTTAGTGGTTGAGTTTGACCGCTATTGCCCCAATTTTGACTTCGGTTGAAATTTCCACCACTTTGTCTATTGCCACCGCCGCGGTTCTGAAATTATAAAATTTTTTTTTTTATAAAACAGTTTATGTGAAGTGTGAATAACAGTTGTAATTTATTCACCAAGGCACTATCGACTAATGCGTCAATTCTTTGTTTAGCTTCGGCCACCTGATCAGGGGCACCGGTTATTAGGCATCTTCGGTCATCTGGAGTATCTTCATTAAGATTGATGAACTGCACTTTAGCTCCGGTTTCAGACTGAATTTTTTTTATCATGTCACCTCCTTTACCAATGACTAATCCTACTACTTGTTTTGGAACTCCAACCTAAAAAATAAACATTTTTTTTTTTTTTACCTAAATGTCACATTTGTATGCGATCAAAAAATAACCATATACATAATATAAAATATCTATGACTAACTTTGGGCAAGTTAATTAATGTTTGCTGATTTAATTAAACTACTTTTATTTATTAACTAATATTAAATAAGTAATAATTATTATTATCGATAGATTTTTTTATTCTTGAATGTATTCGACTTACCTCTACTTTACCTCCATAACCAGAATGGTTACCATAATCACCATTATTTGAACCATTCCAGTTTGATCCATTTTGATCGAAATTGGACTGTAATAAACAATAAAAAATATGTATACAGTTATGAAAATAATAGTTTATATGTACATTAATTGGACAAAATAAGTAGGTACTTTGTGAAATAACGGAAATTAATAATAAGGGAAAAAATATTACCGATCCTCCATCTTTGTCATTAAGCCCGCCGAGCATATCATATACTAATTTCTTTGCGTGCTAATAAAAAAAATATATATTCATATAGTATAACTATTTTTGTAATTATTTTAAGTTTTATATGCATCAAGTCATAGTATTTACCTCTACTTTAGACGTTTCACCAGATATCCTTAGGGGTTTTTCACTTTCTTGACTGTTTGGGCCATCCTGTATGACTATCATTTTGGCTCCAGAACTTTCTTGTAACATTTTTATGGTCTCTCCCCCTTTGCCTATAATAAGCCCTACTTTGGCTCCGGGAATCATTATTTGGGCCTGAGTGAAAAACAGAAAATTTACATTTTAAAACGAATGAATTTTCTAGTTACCCCTACGACGACTATTGTCATCAGTGATTAAAGTACTCTGAGGAGGGCTAGGAAATCTATCCAATGATAATTGTTACCGTTTTGGAACGCGCATATTTTACCCGTATCGTCCTTAATGGTTTTGTAAAATTATAACTCACCTGTGAAAAGGCTGGTTGAGAAGGCGGAGAAGATATATTAATGCCTTCAATTTTCGCTCCTCCCGTTCCTTCAACAGACACTTTGTTTTGAACTATATTTTGAATCAGTTCTTTAGCCAAACTAAACGTTAACAAAAAAAAAAGTTGTTTTTAATGACATCACACAATTAAACGCTATGTTGCGATTAATATTTACGTTATGCTTTGGGCGTTTCCGGTGAGAGTACAAGATCGTTCTAACAAGCCAGGACAATCGGGGGCCATTTGTATTTTACATCCGGTTTCTGCTTGTAATCTACTGATCTGTCCTCCACCGCGGCCTATAACTTTGCAAAGGGTTAACGCACGTGGTACATCAAATTTATTGATCCTAACAAACATTTACATTTTTATAAACATTAATACTTACTGAGGCCGACCATCTTGTCAGGTACTTTTATCTCTTCATTAATAACGTTGCTAAATTGGGATCCAGGCCCACCGATGCCTTGGATGCCAGCTGCTGCTGCTGCTGCCACTCTGGCGGCCACGGCTGCTGCTTGTGCGGCGGCTAAAGCCACCGGAGATGTCGCTAATCTTTTCCTATCAGGCTCTGAAAAATGAAACACATAATTACATTATCAATATAAAAATAGAAACCCATTCAAATAGTTTTAGTTCTTCAACTAATATTACAATCAAAGAATCTTACCTGATTGGCTACTGTAATCGTCTAATGGTCTTTTGTGTACTTCTGGAGAAATAGATCCTGTAGTTGAACTGGCTTTTGAAGACGGTTGAATTTTAGCTGCGATCTAAAAAAACCAACATGTTTAAAAAAATTAGGCTTTAAGATTCAACCAACTGTTATTATTATATCTTATGAATCAATTATCGTAATAAACATGTTGATAAATTTGTATTACGATTAAAACTATTGGATGGACTCATATAAAAAACAATTAAATTGGAAGTTTAAAAACCCTTGATTAAAATGCATTATTCAAACTTCTAATAATTATTGTAAAATCATTACTCTCAAAAACATTAAGGATAGACTTAACTTGGGCTGGTATAATTCTAGTCTAAAATAATTTCTAAATATTATTTAGACACGTTTATTTTAGGATGGTTTAAATCTAAAAATTCCATTAATTAAAATATAATTAAGCGTTTAAATTACATAATTAGACTAATACCTGCTGTAATGATGTCTTTCAAAGCAAGTCATTTACATTATTAAACATATTATCTGAAAAATCTCCCCTCTACAAAAAAAAGTAATTCTATCTAATAAACTAAGATTAAGATTTCAGTTATTTTTAAGTGTTATCAAATACATTAAATTTATTAGATAGGTAAAAACAAATCACAAGACTGAACTCGATTTAACAAACATATACAATGCATTATAAACAAATCACTTATTTCTGTACAAAAAGCAATTATCTAAAGAGCTCGAGTTACTATAGATTATTATTATAATTTTGTTGTTTTATTTTATTGATTTTAAAATGTAATACCAAAGTTAACAGTAGGTTCCAAGAACGATCAAAGAACGTGTTTTATCATTTCATTCAATTCATTACAGCTAGGCAAGCACTTATTACATTTGTACATTACAGACAACACGTAAAATTTATTGCCAATCGTAAAAGAGTAAATTGAAAACAATTAAGCATCAAAGGGTCCTCATAAGTGTTACGCTCAATTATTCCAACAATTCGGACGGGGACGAACTAAAATTTACAATAAAATTCCAAAAAAATGTACGGAGACGTTTCAGCGTGCAAGTATTGATGTATAAATATAAGTATGTAAATCGATTTTTGGCATTTCAATTTTGGACACAAAACCTATATTAACATTGTGTATTCAATGCATCCATTACGTTATCGTAACGGTTGTTGTATTTCATATGCCCGTGGACTATCCAAGTATATTAAAAATCGAATATCCATGGTTCAAGTAGTTTGAGTCGATCGAAAACGAAAAATGTAGAAATTTGTTTGTTTACCACGTACTCGGAAATAGGTATATCGCACTAACACACTGATAATCGTGGCAGGTGTCCGTGGCCATTACCTAAGGGACGCCGCCGTAGACGACGGACACGAGGGCCTTGTTGCAAACGTGATAATCATAATGTCGGCCCTCGTGACGTCCGGCGCCGGGTTTTTTAAGGCTGGAAACCGGGCGGCGGCGGCGGCGGCCAAAAGCCGTGCGCCGAAGCCCGTGTGGTGGCGGCGGCTGTCTACGTACCTCTTTAGCGCGTTGCAATGCCGCGGCGAATGCTTGACTCTGAATTTTTTCCGTTGGCGGATTCACCGCTGAATAATCACTCATTGTGAAACATGAAGAAATTCGTCGATGATAAAATGGATGCTTCCCGCTGATGTCTAACCCAAATGCGCCTCCACTACTACCGCTATTACTACTACAACTACCGCCGCCGCCGAGCAATAGTGCCTACCGTGTATTATTATTACAATAATAAGATTATTAAACCAAGTAGATAGGCAGGTGATATTGTAATTATAATAACGCGGGACGCGGCACTTTTTTTAACAGCGGAAACGTCGTCGTCGTACACAGTACCCGGGCGTGCAAAACAATATTTAACATCAATGCACGGTTGAAAAAAAAATGGTACGAATTGCACTCGCGGCGCGGCCGTAAACAACACGGACAATTGAACGGTGTGTGAATTGGTTAGGAACAGAAGCGGTCTCTGTCCGACGAGTCCGTCCCACCTTCGGTAGGTGCATCCGTCTCGCTCGCACCTAGCCCGTTTGCCGACGGCGGCGCGGCGGCGGAGGGGCCGCACCGTATAGAAATGCAAAACGTGATTACTACCAGTACCGCGGCCGGCCAAAGACGTTCGCAATTGTCGGTGCGGCCATGGAAGAAAAAAAAAAAGATACAACACACCGGCGATTGACAGCTGCTGACGTCATAACCACACTAAATGAGTACCACGATTGGTATACCATGAACGGTTAGGTATTATTATATAGCTTTGGCGGCAATTTTGTAAACGTTACCAAGACAAAGTTTACATTATTGTTTTGTTAATTTACGAAAATGTTTTTTCATCTATACACAGGGTGGAGCGATGTATTTAAACGGGCAAATCGCCCGTTTCACTCTGCCCCACCCTTTTATTTTATTGAATCGAAAATAGGTAATCTAAAATATTTATTATATTTTTTTTGAAACTCATAAAAGTACCTATTATTTAAAACAATAACATAATAGGTGTTCGGTAAGTATACAAAGTTTATGTAACTAAAAAAATATTTCTCCAAATCCTTACAGTTTTATCGGGAGTTATTAACAAACTTGAACAAAAAATGCTAGTATCATTCGAAAATGGTTGGCGCCCTAGATCCTAACAATGAAATCTGTAGTACACATACTAAAACTAACTTCTTAGTTCTTAGTATAGATTTAACACTAGCCAATGTTTTTCGAAATCCTTCAAAAGTGGTAGACAAGCCGCGAAACATTTCTGTATGTTGTAACTTTGTAGATAATAAATTTAAACTTATGTAACTTGCTGAGAAACACTAATTGGTTGCATTTTTACAACATGCTAGGACTGGGCTATCTATCTTAATAATTAAATGACTTCGACTTTCAGAAATCTATTTTTCAAAGCAAAAACTGCCGCAAAAGGGATGGGTGTAGGTAAGTCTGGTTCAAGAATAATAACATTTTTGTTCTAAAGTCATATCTAGTTAGACGATAGTTTAATTTTTGATTGTAAATTTACAAATTAATAATCAAGTAATTGGTTTAAAACCAATTATCTTTAACTTCGATATCTCTTAAACAAAGTAATACAACGCTCCACTATTATACATTTTAACGAATTTAAGGTACTTCCAATCAGATTTCTGTGAAAGAAATTCGCCATAATTTATATCAGTCAAGTAAGATTATAACAAATCATAAAAAATCGAACATGGAAGTAGAGAAGAATATAAAAATAGAGTTTGGTACGAATGAAATAATATTGGTTAACATTTTTTGGTTTATCTAGGACTATATTTAACTCAATGCCATTATATATAAAACAAAGTATTTCTTAATGATTTCAGTCTTAAAAAAAAAGTAATTTACTTCATAAAAAAACTGCCGTACGTTGGTTATTATATAAATTGCAAATCTTAATGTAAAATAATTTCATTGGGTGTGTAGAAATTATTAAATATTAATTCACTAACTTAATAGGTAACTTATTTACGCCACAAGCATAACTTAATGGGTTCAATTAATCAAATAATTTGTGTAAGTATCTCGTCCCGTGATCTTTTTTTTATATAGTTATTCCGTTGTACTATTCATATTTAAAAGTAACCCTACTTTTAACTTAATACGAAATCTACTTTCATAACATTAACATTAATTTATTAATATGGTACTATAGTGTAGTATTAGCATAAAATATTAGTATAATAAAGTATTCGTAACAATATAATATGTTATGTTGTTTGCAACAAAAGAGTACGACAAGTAAGTAGGTCAAAAATTTCAAAACAACACATAATACGTGTCAGAAAACAACTTGATATAGACCAACAGCAAACCATGTAGTTTTTAAGGTTTTAGAAACTTAAAAGTTTATGATACCAACAGGTGTTTGTCATATGTCGTTGTGAAAAATTCTGTATTTAATTTAAGAAAATGTACCGTTGGTTTTGGTACAATACAGAAATATTAACTAAAATTATGGGTGCAAGATGTATAATTATAATTAATTTTTAATACTCCTGCATCTAGCTATTGTCTTAAGGGCGTGAAATAACATAATATCACAGCTATTTTGAACAACTTTAAATATGTACATTTATTTTCAGGTAAAACGATCAAATATTTAATAACAAGCTACCTAATATTCTATTTTTGCGATGAAACTGAAATCAAACATATAGACTATTTTAACATGTTAAAACCAAAATAATTAAAACCCTAAATTTTTGGTGGTTTATACTTTATTTTGAATCAATTTAAGGCGTGTACCCAATAAAATTCCACTCCCTAAACCTAAAACAAAAACCACCATAGTGTCATTTAATATGTCATTTCCGACATAAACGATCAGTGATAGTGACGTGACATAAAACAATAATTAGTTGAGAAATAACCATGTCATCAACTATTCAGAAAGACCTAACAACTAAGACCCAACAACGAACCTTTTTTTTATATTTCGAATTTTTCGTTGGTGTCTTTATTTTTTTATGTTTTTTGAAAATATTACATTGCACGGTTAAAAGTGCGCTGGACCTAAATGTCTTAATACAGTTACTCGATTGATTTTTTAATACTTTGGATCATCTGTATTATCATAATTACAAACTGCTGTCTGTTGTCAGAAAAAAGTAAACAAATACTTGGTATTTTGGTAAATTTTCATTTTCGTTATAATATTGAAAAATAACGAAAATTAATATGTATTAAAAGAGGAAAACTACAAATTATTTCCCGATACAATGAGCGTTTTATATTATCCGGTCGATTTTTGTTAAAAGGATATATTTTTTTCCTCACTGAAATAATTCAAATATTATAGCCAACGGTGCGATTGCTAATGTGAGTAAAGTCTGACTTGTATGTTGCAATAGTCTTACACGCTAGCCAGGATAAGTCGCCACTTGGCAAATCCAGTTTATTTGAAGATCTAGTGGTAACTGACGGAAAAATATGACCTGTAACAGTTTCAAAAACATTAAAATATACCATTCATTTAGATTTCATTGAATAGGGCGATAATAGCGATTAGCGACATTAGCCGCCCCGCCTTCGTTTCGACACGGGTGCGGCAAACGCGTTTCACCAGTGAAAACTAAACATAGATGGCGTTAAGCGATTCGGCCGAGTACGATCGCGCGCACAAACGACCAAGACGCGCGGTCTCAAATCTGAGCGGTCCCGTCGCCGCGTATCAAACCGAAGGGCCCGCCGATCAGTGTGCCGGCCTATTGCTTCCCCGACGAACGCGCGCGCTCACGTGTAGCCCGCGCCGGCGTCCCGTCCGTAATAGTTGGCCGTAACGCAGAAATCAAAAACCGTGTGTGTCGTCGTTCTCTATGGTCCGGTCGCCTGTGGACAACATGTTGTTCCGTTGACGAACCGGCGGCGGAGGGCAGCCAACCACCTCAACGCGGCGGCCGCCCGTTACGGGTAGATGACCGTGTTTTGACGGCGCCGGCGGCACCTGTTGCCTGTTGCCGTTACGCATAAAATCATATAGCACACCACCGGTCGCAAGTACCGCGCGACGACTTTTGGCCCCGCCGGCATGTCCTCGCACAGCAGTTCCATGCGGACGTTCCGCAGTTCCGACTCGGCAAGCGAAATCGGTTCGACCGAGACGTCGTTCTCCGAACGGTCGCAGCCGTACTTCGCGTTGTGCTCGCCCCGGTCTAAGTCGGCCGCGTCCACGGAGGCGACGTCCGCGACGGACGACCAATCGGTCGTTACCGGTACCGCCGTGAGACACCAGCCGTGCCGTCGGTCGTCGAGCGCCAAGACCAACAAGCCGAGGTCGGCCGTTCGCCGGGATTTCGGCCACTTCAACTCGTTTCCGGACACGCACAAGACGACGGGTGGCTCGTCGTCCACTTCGTACTACACACCGCCGCGGAGTCCGTCACTGAGCGTGACCACGCCGACGGACGTGCCGCGCCGCAGCCCGACCACGTCGTCGTCCACAGTGTTCAAGTTCCCACCGCCGCCGTCGTCGTCGTCCGCTTCCGGTCAGCAGTCGGCCGCAATGGTTCACCACTACGGCCGGCAGCCGCCTACCAACCCGAGCACCCCCCGGACTTTGCCCAGAAGTCCGTCCACTGGAAGTGCGACCACCGCGTCTTACAATACCAATAGCGACAGCGTGTGCCATACTCACAGGTAAACCAAAAGTGCTTGCTTTTTAAAAAAAAATTAATAACTATAGTAATTGATACGAAAACAACGCCAGCACAGTGTAATTTATTATCACTGAAAGTGTTCAAATCAGTTTCAAACAAATTCCTTGATGCTTATCTCAAAAAGGTAAAATATACATATAAGTAGACCATTTTTTTTGCAATAAAATCATAGTACCTATAATTATCTAAAGTCTAATTGAATTAGACGTTTTAAAATAAATTAATTTAATAAAAATCACCTTATCTTAATCAATCAGTTATTTAGATTAAAAAAAAAATAAACAGTTTTTACATAGATGAAGTTTTGCTTTATCTATCTATTTATTTTACTTTATATATGATTTAAAGACCAGAGAAACGATAAAAAAAAAAGTTATCCTAACTTAATTTGTTATTCAATTATGGTTTTTAAATTTCTAATTAAATATCTAGATAAAAAAGAGCTTGAAATATAAATTTTAAAATGTAAATTTAGAAGGTACGTGAGAAGGAATAGGAGAGGAGGGGATAATGCTAATTGTGAATGAGGTGGAGAAGGGATGGTGATAAGGAAGAATCGATAGTTCCTGGATAGCTGATAGGAGAATAAACTGATCAGAGATGATTGATAAGAGACAGCGTTAGGCATGTTCGCGATCCAATGTCTTTCCTACAGGTATGGGAACGATTGAGTTTAAAAATTAGGTAATTACCAAACTCATTGTTGACATCAAAGAGCGATTTATTAATCGGTAGTGCTAAGACTAGATAGATATAATAATAATTAATTATGATTTGTTATGTGCCGGACCCCGGGTCATCGGTGGTCCCCTTTACCGTTCCCTGCCATCCCCGAGGAACCCAGGCCGGGAAGACCAGTAATGATAATAATAATATAGTTTTTCAAGGTTTGCGGGCCGCCTAATAGTCGCAACAAACAGCGGAAACCACTTACGGCCACTTACGAAGACCGGACGCGGCCATTTTTATTTTATACACAGCAATGGATGGGTGGCGGCAGAGGGGGAGGAAACCCGGGAACGCCGACGGGATGGAGGATGACGAAAACGGGCACTAATGGAAAACCGAAAAAGACACGAGCAAACACACCTGTAGAGTGTGCGAGGTAAAAGAAGGTAAAAAGAAAAAAAACCAAGAAAATCCCACCGGAAAAAAGAACCGTACCGTTTTCATTCGGTCGACTTTTAAGTAGATTTGACGATTTCACAAAAGTTATGTGCGCCGGCTTTTGATTTATCTTTTTTTTTTTTTTTTTTAACGTATTCATATCAAGACGTGGAAAATTTACATATCATTTTTGAAATTTCTGTATTCGTATTGTATCAATACAAACTGGTGTAGTCTGTGAAATGCTGAAATTAAATCAATGGAATTTCCATCGGGTCCGTTCGCCACTATATCGGACGTTTTGTGTTTTTTGAAAAATTACTCAATACAAACTTGTATTCAGTTTATACATTTAATAAGCAGATAGTAGTGCAAAAATATATTATAATATAAATGATAAATAAAGTTCTTACGGCGAACACAGGGAATCCTTTGTGATTCAAACAAAGAGACTAATGGAATAGCAAACCCGATGCTTTCCAGTTCTTGAATTAATAGACTGTGATCAACTCTGTCAAATGCATACCCAAAATCAGTGTAAACAACGACAGTGTGCTCACCTTTTTACTAAGAACTCTGGTTAAAAGCTACCTATTTATTTTTCAACAGATAATTACCGTTTTAGTAAATTGAACAGTAATAAGTATTTTTGAACGTACGTATGTAATGATGGACATGGTTTACAGCCATATTATTATATATCAATTATGATCAGAGGTGTAGTGGAAACTAAGTTCAAGTTGGGAAGCTACATTATAATTGAACCTCAAAAATATTTGGTCAATTAGTTAAAAAAAAAAAAAAATGATTTACGACAAAGAAAACGGACATAAGAAAATGGTAAAACCACTAACAGACAGAGGGTGTGATCTTTTTTTTTTTTTGGAAATATATATATTTTATATGCATTTTACTCACTCAGTAAGATCTAACTTTTTAAGAAAGTCTGCCCAACGAAATCTGACTTTACCATCGTTTTCGGCATCAAAAATAACATCTTACCGTTTATATTATTATACCATATTACTATGTTAGTCACAAGTTACTAAAAAAATAGGTATCAAACTAATTTTACATACCTAATAACAAGGCAATGAGGGGAGACTTTCACCCTCTTAACCCCTCCCCACGTACGCCACCGACTCGGTATCAATGTTTAATACCTGTGATAAATGTTAACACACCACAAACAAAAACTTTTTGATATTAATAAAAACTTGAAACGAAAACGGAATTTTGTGTATAGATAAACAAAAATAAAAAACCAACGGTGACTATATTCAATAGGATTTTGATGCTGAAATGTATGTTTAATTAATACAGCCATTATTTTTAATTAATCGTACAACTTTGAACCATTTATACAACACAGAAAATACATTATCTATAAAAAAATCGTAATCCCACAACTTGTAAAATATATTATTGTATTTGATTTTATTAACTTTTACGTGATTTCCATTTAATCTGCCGGATAGTGTATCTTATTCAAATTAAATATACAAAAACAATTGGTGTACACATTAATTATATAAAGTTTTGAAAATGTCATGAGCTCATAAAAAAAAAACTTTAATATCAACGAATTAAAATCAGTTTTTAACGTAAAAAAAAAAATAAAATCGCAGGACTATTTTAAAGAATAGTTTTAGAGGGTAGTTTAAAAATGTCAACCTACTCGTTTGCATCAAGTTAGTTAAACAAAATATGTAAGCTAGTGTTTGAACAAAAAAATATTACAATTTCTTAGCTCGAAAAAAGGAACTAGCTTTATTTATTTATTTTTTTTTTTTGAGGGATTATATACATAAAACTTACCTTTAAAATAATCAGAATGCGGAACGGAAAATAAAACTTTGTCAACAACGACTTAAGAGATATTTTATACAAATGACACACACAAAGTAGCTTATATATTTTCGTCCGTAGAACAATAAATTATTATTCTTTTGTGGTTTTCTCCGAAAAACTTTGTCTGTGCTTGATTTTGCACGCTTCTTCCGAGTAAACATTAAAATAAATGAAATGAAATTGTGTTTTCTTAATGGTTCACGGTTTGTATTTAAACTTTTTATTTACCTAAAATTAGCTCTGTCGTCAACACCTCAAACGTCTCGAACGGGGGTTCTTATTGAATATTATTTGCTTTTAAATATTGTCGTGATACCGGCCGTTTTTTGTAGCTTTTCTTTGTAATTTCGTGGAAAAGAAAAACCGTTAAACTTAAACCGCAATTATTATTATATTGTACGTCCGCTGAACCGTCGTCGGCCATCGTTTTGTCTGTAATATAAATTTGTAAGTATAATTTCTCCTCGCTGGCCATTAAGTGTTTTATTATGGTCGTTCTTACATATTTCATTCGTTCTTTCTCGCACAAACTTACTCTCTGGCACAAAACTATTGTCATATTATTATTGCTCATCGTTGTTTTCATCTTGGCCTTCGCCGACAACTCTCTTTGAACCCGTTTATCGTCTTGTTTTACACCGCCAATTGGCAAGTTAAAACGGCCATTAAGCTTTAGTGTTGCATTATTTCTAACGATAACGTTTTGTTTTCAAAACCGTTTAAACCAATTATTATTATAGCACTATATAGCCGTAGTTGGATATTTCAAATGAAACTTCTTATGCCACGCCGGCCTAAGAAGACATACCGGACCTTTGTTTCGACCACTCAGCGACTGGGCGGCCATACTTTAGACGAATCAAATTTAAAGTAATTGATAATAATTATGCTCTTCTGGGACTACACAGGTTAAAAAAAAAGATATAAGTTTCAATTCAATCTCGTGTCCCATGACGCACACAGTTTTCTTTTTGCCTTTAACGGGGGGTTTTTTTTTTTATATAAAAGTCATTTGGTTTATGTTCGATGCAAAGAATATTTAATGGATTCTACGGAGTTAAGAGGTAAAAGATTGGCGAGTTTATGCGACCGAGATTTACCCGGATACATTGGTATAGGTATATTATATTGCACAGACATAAACGCAGAAGGCATTAACTAACTGTATTTTGAAATCATTCAATTTAGCTTTACGGTAAATCCCAACATTTTTTTTAATATATATATATGCATATATTAACATTTGGCCATCCAACATGTCTGAGTAGGCCGAGTTGTGTTAAAAAGCAAATGAAAATGAGAAAAAACCCACGGTCTGCATGTACACACTTAGTGACAAGGTAAAAACCATAATATTCGTACGAGGTACGTTTTTTAAATTATTTAAATTATTCAAAAAAAAAAACAGCTGAAAAATTACCGAAAACCCCGATTATGCATGGTTTGGGAATTTTACAAAATATACTTTACATAACGACAACTTATGTGTGTGTCACGGGACACACGGGTGAAGTTAAACTTCAATGCGTTATTGACAATATTAAGTGTTATAAAGTTGTTGTTATTTTAATATTTGATATATTATTGTTATTATTTTTTTAAACCAACACAGTCACTTCAATTCCGTGTTATCTTCATTCGGTCCTGGTTTTCAAGTGTGCAAATATTCTTATAGTTTCGTTATTTAGCCTGTTTTAAAATGTTACATTTACAATCTTGCATCATTTTTTACTTTTTGCTTAAACTGCTCTCATTAGGCGCTGTTAAACGTTTTAAGCTAAATTAAATCCTTAAAACGTTTGTTACATTTTGTTAATAAAACTAATTTCATCGGATGATATATACTCTAAGGATTGTGCTATGACAAAAAACGAAATCATAAAAAAAAAACAAAAAGCTTTTAGTCCAAGACACGAAATGGTTTTTGAGAAATTTTCAGATTTACTTATCCCTTTTAGTATAGTACATCTATGTAGATGCGGCACAAATCTAATTAAATAACTTTCAAGTTGTTTTGGTAAA